TCTCTAGGCTACTTAATTTTAATAGGGTTAATATCTGAGTAGAGTACTATGTTAAGGTCTAGTACTGATTTTTGTTTTGTGTTTTGAGACAAGCTAGCCCAGGCTGGCCTTGAACTTTTTTTTTCTTCATTTTTGTGGTACTGGCAGTTGAACTCAGGGCTTCACACTTGCAAAGCAGACACTCTGCCACTTGAGCCAGGCCTCCAGTCCTGGCCTTGAACTCTTGATTCTCCCGCCTCAGCTTCCCAAGTGCTGGAATTACAGGCGGCCCCACCATGTGTTACTGAAGGTGTTTTTTAGTACTGATTTTTAAAGGAGCACCTCAGAACTTTAGTTTTGAAGAAGTAATTTTTCTTTACAAAAGGTATAGTTAAGGAGCTGCCTGATGCAGCACAGCTACTGTAGAAAACCAAGCCCCAAAGGGCTAGGGAGGTAGAAAAAGAACGTGGGAGTGGGTGCGAGTGTGCACCTGTGTGTGTCCATGCCTCCCAGTGTCTCCCTAGAAGGCCCTGAAGGAAGGGTCAGGTGAAGCCTCTGCCTGGCAGGGGCAAGCGAGTGTCCACTGTGGGTTGCACTGTGCATCAGGGGCTTAGTGTGCCATCTGAGGGATGAGGCCTGCGACAGATGGCACTTCCTGGATAGCAGAAGGAGGGCCTGGGGTCCCCGCTGTGGGTTGCATTGACAGCTCAAGGCCTGCCCCCAGACCTGAGTCACAGGGTCTTATCAAGAACCATTTTAAAGGGGAACACTGTGAGCCACCTGTGGCAGGTGCCTGTGATTTCTGGTGAAAGCTGCAGGCCTGGCTTGCCCACGGTCACAGTCACTTCATCAGTGGCCACCCTAGGACAGCCATTCCACCTGAGGTGTCCTGCCCAACTCCATCCGCTCAGCCTTCTGGGGGAAGGAGGTGCCGCTCCAGCTTTGAAGCTCGCCTGTCCCACTTTTCTGTGAACTGAACAGGTGGTGGTCGGGTTCTGTTTCACAGCCCAGTTTTATTCTGTTCTTAGGCTGGTGTCGTTTGCTTGAAGCTGTTTTCAACCTTATGTGACTTGCATGATGTGTTGAGATTTCCAGGCATGCTTGCAGATCACGGTGAGGTGAGCACAGACATTCCACACAGTGTGGGTTAGGTGGTATATGACAAGTATTCATGGACAGAACCTGGCCTTGTGTCTTCATCCCCCATGCGGTGGGAGTCTTAGTCTGTGACGTAGGAGGCATAGGGTACTGAGGGAGAGACTCTCAGTGTACCTTGAAGGACCTTGACGTGTAGCTGTTCAGCCCTGCGAGGACTTTTCCTCAGATCTGGCACCAAGTTTGCCCCTGAACCCATCACCTGTCTTTGCCTGTTGCTGCCCCGTGTTCTCTGGGCCAGCAGTAACCACAGGACAGAGGAAGGTCCTCCACTGGTGACTGGTAACGCCACATTGCTCCTCTCCGAGCAGCCGTTCCTCTTGGCCTCTTGGCCTCCTGTCTCTGCTGTGCTGGCTCTCATCTGCCTGCGCTCCTGCTGGGCTTGCAAGGGACCTGGAGGCCAGGGCACACTGAGCCCCTGCAGTTTGTGTCCTGCACAAGGTGGGGTTCAGCCTAGTCCTTCCCAGTCCAGGGCACCCATGTGAGTGAGCATGAAGAAGATCACATCATTTGTGACACTTGGGGCAGGACAGCCAGAGGAGCTGGAGGAGTGAGGAGAGCGAGGCCTGGAGACAGCCGTTTGTGAAATGTTGACCGGCAGTCTTTCGGCAGTTTTCTTATGCTGTTAAACTATGAGCTTCGTGACTGTTGAGCTTCTGAATGCAGAGCCCTGTGAGGCTCAGCCTGAGGCCGGAGCAGGTGGAGGCACTGAGCACCTGCGCAGCCTTCAGTGGCTAACGTGGGCGGCTTTTGTCTGTGGGAGTTCTTGGGTGCTTGTGAGGCCAGTGCACAGCCAGTGGACTTGTATTTAGATTAGGGGCAGTTAATCTTCCATCCCCAGGCTCACTGACCCAGGAAGAAAACCTTTTAAAAAAAATTTTAATAACATAAGCATAGATTATATAATTTTATTCCACAAAATAATTACAGCTGCTTTTGAATATTTGTCATTTGTCAGGCACTGCCTTACACGTGCTATTTCACTTAGTCCTTTTTAAGATTTTATTTCCCTTTATCCTATAATTTTGTTTAGCACTCACTTTTGTTGAGCACCAGAGATGAAAATGTTCTAGACTACCAGCAGGTGTGCCACAAGAGAGAAACACTGTCTCATCCCGTCACTCAGCTCTGCAGGGAACTTGGGAAGGAATGTGCCAGTCCCCGACCCTTTGAGCTCTGTCACACCTTGTCCTTTCAACTCTGTACTTATGGGTGTGTACACAAAGCACATATGCTTTCTGGACTGTGGACTGACGGCCTAGACCATGGGTCTGGTTGAGTGGGTCAGGCTCTGTGCTCTCAGTTAGCACATCAGGAATTCTGCACCTAGCTCTGTGCTCATGTTCATTTCACTGGAGAACATAGTCTAGGAGTAATGCACAACCCAGGCAGAATCTGGATGAGAAAGATTAAGTCTGTGATGAGATTGGTGCTGCCCCTGCTGACCTGTGGGCATGGTGTCTCACAGCTACCTTCCCGAGGAGCCCAGTGCTGGCCCTCCACGCAAGTGTGGGACTTGTCACCTTCGCAGCACCTCACCAAAGCCTGCTGCAGTCCTGCCGGGATCCACAGCTACTTTTGGTTCTGCAGCTGTTTTTGGTTCTGTTTCGAGGCAGGAAGTTAAGTTTCTCTTTGGTCTGGTGTGGGTGTCCTGTGCAGGTGGCACAAATCTGTCAGATGTCTCACTGACTGGAAGAACTCGGTCAAGCCTTGGTGGTAGCCAGGCTATGTGTGGTGGGTGCCTGTTGCACGTACTGCATGATGAGAGCTTGCCAAGGTGTCCTGTCAGATAAAAAGCCTTCACGTGTATTTTCTCAAGTGTCCTGCTCCAGACTCTGACAGCTGTGCTCTGGTCAGTGTGAGCTTTGGGCTGGATCTTGAGCTCACCATCTTCACCAGCCTTGCAGGACAGTTAGTGCCCCTCTGGCCGTCCCAGATCTGTAGCCCACAGCAGGCAGCGAGAGGGTCGAAGGGCAGCTGAGCCCCCCTGCACACTTGCTGTCTGAATGCTGTGACCGGCAGGGCTTGCAGCCATTGGTCACTTGTTTGCTTATAGGTTGTTCTGCAGGCTTTGGGTGTGTAGGCCTGTCCCAGAAGGGTCCAGCTTCACACTCGTGCCTCCACTTCCAGTGCCAGAGAGCTGGTAAAGTCAGTACAGCTTTGGGCTTGGGGTTAGTGATACTAAACAGTGCAGGCACAGAACAACTCAAAGTAGAAATCACTCTGGGGAGGAAAGGCAGGAGTCAGTAGGAACCATGAGTAACGGGTGATATCTCCTCCGAAGGATGAGACCAGTAGCAGGGGGCTCTGACATTGTTACCCAGTCCAGAATTGGCTGGTTGCTTAGTAAATTATTACCAAACACAAGGGCTATCAGAAACCTTTGTTAGATCCCCGGGTGGGGCTGTGTTCCACAGCAGAGCCAGAGTGGGGCTGTGACACGCTCCGCCCACGGCTTTCTCTTCTGTGCTGGTTTAGTGTGGATCACAGAAGGAGGGAGATGGGGGCAGTGGAGCAGGTCTGAAACACTATGTGGACCAAGTAATCCTAGTGTAGAAAGACCGTGCAAGACTTGTGCAAAAGAGCAGGCAGGCCAGGAGTGGGCCCTGCATTCTAGTGTGCTGGCAGAGAGGAGGTCCTGGGCGGGAGGTCCCTGTGCTGGGCAGGGGCCATTCAGGAGGCCAGGGCAGGACTATGGCTTGAGCCAGGGCTGGACGACAGCCTCAGAAAGACCAAAAAAAGAGATAAGTTGATGCAGAAAAAACAAAGTTGAGTTGTTTTGCTTTTTTGTTTATTTGTTCCAGAGACAGGGTCTTACCGTGTAGCCTAGGCTGGCCTTGAATTCCTGCCTCTGCCTCCGGAGTTGCTGGGTTGTGTCACCACACCTTGCCAGAAGTTTTGTATTTACGTATAGTGTACATATTCATTGGTCTTCATGATTAATTTTTATGAGACCATCTGGACTATTTTCATGAACATGGTGTGAATTAAAGTGCTTCTGGTCGTTTGTAGAGCTCAGCCATTACACATAGATTTTTGAAGTTTCCTTTTACTTTTATCTTCCTACAAATTTTCAACCGCAGGTTAAGATTCATATTGCTATTCTGAGGCCTTTTTTAAATATCCAGTGTGTGCACAAGCGTGCCCGAGTGGATGTGTTTTCTCAGAGGAAAGTTTGAGTCGTTGCAAGGACATAATGATGGTGACCTGAGGAGAGAGGTGATCTCACACTTTTAGTGTGAGAACTCGAGCCTGCTCTGGGCCTGTGGGTCAGCGCCCTGCACCGAGCCCTGGCTCTGAGGTGCCCAGGGGCCCTCCACCCTCCACGGTGTCCCAGGGCTGCTTCCTGACCAGGAAAAGGCATCAGCTCGGTTCTGGTTAATGACAACGAAACCTTATTCCAGAAGACTGAGAGCACTTTGACCTCTTCAGGAACTGAAAACTGTTTTGAAAAAGGCTCTGGGTTACTTTCATCATTTCTTTGAAAGTGCCTCAGTTTTTATCATTACAAGTCCTGTCTAGGATTTATCTCTCTCTCTCTCTCACTCTTTCTCTGTTTTTTTGGTTTTTTGTGGTGGGGTGTCACTGTGCCTCCTTTCTGAGTGCTGAATGACAGAGTGCTGGGATTACAGATGTGCATCACCACACCTGGTTCTTCAGTTACTTATATGGGTACATTAGGGGACCAGACATGACAGAAGTGTCCCTGGACTGACTTGTAGCTGAGAAGACTTGTCTTCTTTGTTACAAACAAAAGTCAAAAACAACACCTGTAAAGATGAAGAATTATAACTACAATGGCAGGAGCTGTGTTAGCGTTCTGACAACCCTTTAACTCTGAGGTCCTCTTCTCTCCCCTCCTGCAGCATGGTCTGAGACGGTGAACATGGACTTTTCTCGGCTGCACACGTACACCCCACCCCAGTGTGTGCCAGAGAACACTGGCTACACCTACGCACTCAGGTGAGCAACTGCTCAAGTGAGGTGGTACCTGCCCGGCTTCTCCAGTGTCCAGCTGCAGGGGGCATTGGGCACTGCCAGGCCAGCCTGGGTTACGTTTGAAAGTGAGAACTCTGCATCATTCAGAGCACGAGTTGCCTGAGCCACGAGGCAGCTCAGAGAGCTGTACACCTCTGGGCTGGCTCATCCAGTCACACAGGTGTGCTCATCGCAGGCGACTTGCTGCTTGGTGCCCACCCGCTTACCTGGCTGTGACCTGGGAGGGAGCCTGGTCACAGCTGGTGTCTGTGATTTGTGTTGACAGCTTGATGTCTCTGCAGCAACAGAAATAACATGGAAAGGACTGGCCTTTCGGAAGGTCATGGTTTCAAGAGTGTGACTTTGCCTTGGGGCAGACGCTATTTTCTGTTTTTCTCTTGGTCTCAAGTCCTAAACCGTGGCATGTGAGTCTTCAAAGGGGCCGACTGCCCATGCAGTTCATTTGCCACATAGCGAGGACACTTGCCTGCAGCTCAAACCTGCAGTCGGGAACCTGTGTCACTGGGTTGGCCAGGACCTTCCAAGGGAAAGACGCTTGGGTGCCTGGTGAGATGTGCCAGGTGTGGGGAGAGGGCGGTGAGGTCTCCAGTGGCTCGTGGCCACTGAGCACCAGTGGGCAAGGCTTTAGGAAAAGTGCTTTTGAGCAGTGGTGCTCAGATCTCACATTTGAGATCCATCTCTGACTCACGACTCTGGTCATGTCACAAGTGCCCACGGTGCACTCAGGGGCTTTGGTGCTATTTTGTCTTGTTATGTTTTGAGACAGAGTCTTGCCTTGAACTCACTATCCTCTTACCTTCACCTCCTGGGTGCTAGGGTTGTAGGTGTGCAGCACATGCCCAGCTGGCTCTGTTTTTGTTAGGAGCCCTGGAGAATCTCAGAACAGAACGAGTGGCCAGCCAGTGCACCGCCTCCCGTTCACAGAAAAGTCTATTCATGGTTGGCTCTTGTGACCTGCCCCAAGGATAGTGTAGAGTTGATGTCTTGGTTCCTATGGTGGGCACCTTACCCTTAATTCCAGTGATTCACAACCTTCCCCAGCCAGACCTGCGGTTGGCCTGCAGGCAGATGGGCTGCGAGTGGAGGAAGGTGGGCCTGCTTGCCCACTGTGCCTGGATGAAGAGCTTTCTGAAGGCAGTGGAAACTAACCAAGGATTTTAATCCCCAGAGCAGTGTTCAGGCACCACAGGACAGAGTTGGCCGGGCCTGTGTAGGAGACAGTGAGAGCCAGGTGGCCTAGAGCAGACTGTGCTGAGCTGTGAGTGCATGGGTGGGTGGAGTGGGGTGGGGGGCCTCGGAGTGGGGCCCAGAGGTGGAGAGAGCTGGATGAGTTTGGCTAGTAGCAGAGGATGGGGGACTCGGCAGTCAGGAGCAAGGGACGAGAGCCCCAGGGTGTGGCTCCTGTGAGCCCTTTTCTCTGTACTCACTTCTCTATCTCTCCAGCCCCCTTGGAAATCTTCACCTTCCAGGTGCTGGATGTGGGACAGCTGGTAAAGGGGCCGCCCTCACCCTGGTGTTCCCAGCCAGCACTGCTCTTGTCTAACTCTGACAACTGCAGTGAACATCCTGGTTGCTTGGTGTATTCAGTGAGCATTATGCAAAATGTCCCACAGTGGGAACGTTTGAGAGCAGCAGGAAGCCGGTCTGCCACCCAACTCCAGTGTATGTTGCCCGGCCTCCTCCCTCCCTCTCCGCTGGGCTGCTCTGATAACCAGCTTCAGAGTGCCAGAGTCACAGCGTAGCAGCAGTGTGGAGTGCTGCCTAGTGGGTCCCAGTGAGCTGTGTTCCAGCTTTCACATCCCTGAGTGTTTTCTGCGTGGCTTTAAATCAACCTTGCAGGGTCCTCATGCTGTATCTGGGCAATTTCTCTCGAGTCGACCGGTGTTCACTGTGAAGTGGATTTAGATCTGAAAGTCTGGCCACTTTTTGATTGTTTTGAATTTGGATCTCACTGTATTGCCCAGTCTCGCCTAGAACTCAGGTCCTCCTGCCTCAGCCTCTGGAGTGCTGGAATTACAGCATGCACCACCACATCCCGCACTGCTTGTTTGTTTCTTTTCTTTTTTTTTTTCCCCAATACTGGGGTTTGAACTCAGGGCTTCAGCCACTCCACCAGCCCTTTTTTGTGATAGGTTTTTTTTTTTTTTTTTTTAGATTAGGGTCTCAAACTATTTTCCAGGCTGGCTTTGAACCACGATCCTCCTGATCTCTGCCCGCTGAGTAGCTGGAATTATAGGCATGAACTACGGTGTCTGGCTTATTTGTTTCTTTATTGGCGGGGTTCCATGGCTGGTGGTGTGATGGGTGTGGTGCCTGGTTGTCCCTCTTGTAGGGTTGAGGTTGCCCAGCAGCCTTGCCCAGGTTGACTACTGGAGACCTCCATTGTCCAGTCCTCTTCAGCTGCTTATGCTTTGCTGTTTTGTGCTATTGTTGGCCATTGCCTTCTGTTTACCATCAGAGAGGAGGCCTCTCGCAGGAGCCTGCTGGCCCCAGGCCTATGGCTGCTGCCCTTCTAGGCGGTCTCTGCTTTTCCACCCTCTAATGGAGGTGAGCTGCTAGCAAGAGAGGTGGAGGTGTCTGTCAGTGATCATGCATGTGCCCAGGCTCCTCCTGGGAGCCCATGCTGCCGGAGCCAGGCAGGATGAGGCTGGGCAGCCAGAGATTAGTCAGCTGCGTGCAGCCCCCAGAGAGCTGGATGGCAGAGCCCGAGCACTGAGGCTCTCAGCTGAGCACAGTGTCTGGTCGGAAGTGGGAGGGGTGTGGCATCCTGTGAAGACTGTTTGTTTATTTTTTGCCATGGGCCCCGCTGAGAGTCTGGGTGCTGATGGTAAGAAGGAGCCAGATGGGAGTTGCAGATGGGGAGGGAAGTGAGCAGGACAGGTCCTTGGAGAGTGGGAGAGACTCGGTGCAAAGCACACAGCTCAGCCTAGGGCAGGAAGGAAGGAAGGGTGTGTGAGCAAGGGTTCCTCCCACAGGAGCTGAGCCCAAGAGTTGCAGGCACAAAGACTGAGCACGAGGAATCGGTAAGTCCCAAGATGTGCAGGTGAGTCAGCAGCTGCTGCCCAGTTAAAGTTTGAAGGAATAGCTGATGGCCTGCTCAGAGCAGAAGGGACTCTTTCTAACTACTTCACCTCCATTCTGGTCTGCCTTCACCTGATTGGATGTGCCCCACCACATTAGTAGGGCCAACTGCCTTCTCAGTGTTCTGAGTCACATTGATCTCATCTGGACACCCCATGCCAGTCAAGATGGCACACACTGCTAACCACCACAAGAGGAAGGAAGGAGGGGCATGAGGCTGGGCCATTGGTGGATCTGGTATGGGGGACAAGGCAGCTTTATGATAAGGGATAGAGAAAATGGTGACCTCCAAAGGGAGGACTAGGGACAGGTGACCACCAGCACACAAGGCCCTGAATGGTGGAAAGCGGAGAGAGCTGCCTGCCTTGCTGAATGGCGCTTGAGCTCGCCACAGTCAGACCACGGGGGGAAGGAGGTTGGTTCAGTCCAGGGAAGAGATGGGCTGGGGACCACAGGGGCCAGAGGTATAGGTCAGTGCCTCAGGTGGGCAGGTAAGGGGTGACACGGATGAGCCACAGCCCCAACTCTTAGGACAGCCCTGCTGTGCCTACACACCCTTCCCACTGACAGTACAGAGAAGAGTGCACTCTTGTCTGACTGACTGTATACCTCCCATGATTCACTGCTGCCGAGCATCTGTATGTTTTGTTATTTTCAGTTACTAAAAAGCACATCTAAACTGATATTTTACAAAGATAGTATAGCTGATAAGGCAGAAGAGGTGAGGTCTCGTGTTCTCGAGGGCAAGACCTGTAATTGGTCTTTCACAGAGTTTTGTCTGTATCAGCCTTGTATCCTCACTGAATTCCAGATAAGTCCCTCTAATCCTGGATTGGACACCTTAGGTTTAAATTTTCTCCCCTATCAACATTGTAGAAAAATTAATAAACTACTGTAAGACTTGATAGGGTTGTGTTGCTGGGAGCAGGCACGTCAAGCCCCTCCTTCATCTGGCTCCTGTACCCTCACCTGGGGGGTCTGCGTGTTGAGGGACGGCTGAGCATGCAGCCTGGCCAGCCTGGGGGCAGCTGTGATGTGCCTGAACCACAGTCCCGGCAGGACTAGGGAGGTGAGCAGCCAAGACCCCAGAGCCTAAGTTAGGCCCTCACCGCAGGGGTCAGGACCAGAGATTGGGGTGTGGAACTTGAAATTGCTAGTCCCCTCTTTCCCTTTCCTGTTGTCCCTGTGTCCCCACGCACTGTCCATTACCTTGATCAGCTCAGTGCTGCCCAGCTCACAGTGGAAGCAACTGTGTAGCTGTGGTTACCAGTGAACAGAGAACCTGCTGTGTGTCCTTGGGCACAGATGTGCAGGTTTCTTCTGCCATTTGTTTTGATATAAACATTGTGTCAGACTTTTCCTCACTGTGACAAACTGCCTGACAGAAACAGCTTAAGGGAGGGAGGGTTTATTTTGGCTCAGGGTTTCAAAGGTTTCAGTCCATGATCACCTGGCTCTGATGCTTCTGGGCCATGCTGGGTGGACAGGAGGCAGAGCAGGGACTGGAAGCTAGGGTATCCTCCAAAGGCAGCACTTCCTCGGCTAGGCCCCACCTCTGCAAAAAATGCCTCCCAAAATTGTATCAGCAACTGGGAACCAAGGGTCCAATCCATGAGCCTGTGGGGCCCCTTCCTTTAGAACCAAAACTAGCAGGGTGAGGTAGGGTGTTCTTTGCTGTTGTGCAGCAGAACACGGAGGCCTTCTGTGACAGTGCACTGTTCATCATGTTTTGTTGGCAGGGTCACCACCTTAGGTGATGGGGACCGTCTCCCATTGCTGTATGTCCCCATCTTCTGCACACAGTGCAGGACAGACTCTTTAGACAACTTGCACCCCTGTGCTGTTTGTAACAACCATGGGGGTCAGGACATGATTGTGCTGGGAGGGCTGTCCAGCTTTGGGGGACCAGAGTCCCACCTGGACCATAAGCCAGCAGCTCAATTCTGAGGGTGACTGTGGGGTGGCCAGTGGAACTTGGGTGAACCGGAACAGTTGCGGTGCCAGTCCCTGCCTATACAAGTAGCATGCTTTAGTAAGGTGTTTCCTAAGGCTTTCAGTCTTCTAAGCCAATGGCACCGTGATTCTGAAAGTACTCCTGCTATGCAAAACACGGAACACCCGTCACCCCTGTAGATCCCTAGCCAGGCCTAGCGGCCCACCTGGTGAGCATCTCCCTCACCCAGACGACCACAGGGACACCTCACGCTGCTGCGCCTGGCTCTAGCAGGCACACAGGCCCTTGGTAGCCAGGCCTGACTCTCACATGCTCACCCCCCTCCTCAGATTCTCCCACCTGAGCCATGAGCTCTGTGCTCCTCACCTTGCCCACCCACCATGACCCCTTTCACATTGGGAGGCGCTGAGCCCGCTCCTGTGTCTGCCTCTTTCCTGGCACATATCTGCAACTCCTCCCCTAGGGTGCCTTGCATACAGTCCTGTAAAGCACCTCGTTTCTGTACATGTGGCTTTCCCCGGGATGACCGTGTCACTCACATGTTGGTGGTGCACCACCCATGGACACAGAGTGGACACTTGGGTCATTGAAACCTTGGTGGCCACCAGAAGGTTTTACTGTATCTTTTTACTCAGCTGCATCGCTGTGATGGTTGCATGGAAGGTGGTGGCAGTGACTGTGTTGTGGCTTCAGTGTGTCAGACAAAGTGCGCCGTTGGTTCTGGAGCTTAGATTTGTCTCATGACACCTGTGGCTGCTGGGATTGGATCTCATGCAGTGACAGTGTCCCACAGTGGGGATTCCTGTGTTTGAAGCCTGTCCTGAAGCAGCTGCTCTCAGGGAAGCTCCTGTTCTGCACACCCTGGGGTCTGCAGTGAGCGAGCTGGGCTAGGGTGTCCACAGTGGCTCTTTCTGACTGCTTTCTGTGCTACCTTCCTGGTGCTGTGAGGTCATGACCCAGTGCCGCTCGTGATTGGTCCCACTTGCTGCTGCTTGTGTGGTTGGTTTCAGACCCAGGCTGTGAGCATCTCATCTCTGGCACATTCTTCCTCCAGTTCAAGTTACTCTTCGGAAGCACTTGCTTTTGAGACTGAGCACCGGTTAGACCCTGTGTTTGACTCTCCGAGGATGTCCCGCCGCAGCTTACGCCTGACTGAGGCCTCATACAGCACTGCGATTGGCCAGGCTGTGAACGCGCGCTCCAGCGCCACCAGGACTGCCTTGCTCAAGGACAGCGCAGCCAGGTGAGCGCTCAGCTTCCTCCTGGCACTACTGGTGCCAATGAAACCAAGTTTGCCAGCTCTTATGGCCTGTAAGACCAGGCTTTCCTTCTTGAACGTTAGAGTGTGTGCACACACGTGTGCTCGGATCCACCCTGTTTTGGAGTGAGTGAGGGCGTTGGATACAGAGTCTGCAGGGTGTAGCTGGTGCCTTGAGGCACTGAAGAGCGTGTCCTGGGAGGTGGAGCTGTTCGTTAGGCTTGCGGGCAGCACCCTTGTGATAAGCTGAGCCTCCACGGCCCATGCCCACTGGTGGTGGACAAGGGAAGGATCACCTGTTCCTTAGCACAAACGCAGACAAAGCCCAGTGGTCTATGGACACTCCTTTCTGTCACCACTGCTGTACAAGGAGGGGCAGATATCCTCACCATGTGCATGAAAGTGACACCTTCTTTCATGTTGCTCACACTCCAGTGTGCTGCCACTCAGTGTGGATCCAGCTGTACAGAGGTAAACAGCTGGGTCCACACGAGTGACAGAGGCCAGGGTTCTCCACCACCTATCCCCAGGGACAGCCTGCCACCATCAGCCTGCGTGACCCCACACTCAAGCCGAGTGGCCAGACACTGAGTATTTTTAAAGGCTTTTGCTTTTTGCCAAGTGTGGAATAGGAGAGCAGAAGTTGGATTACCACCTGTTCTTGTTCTGTTTAACACGCTCCTTCTCCACCAGCGACTGAGAAACAGCGGCTTCTTGGTTAGAAAGATGGGATGGCAAATTTTTAAAGCACATCTTTTTTTATTTTTAGGTCATTTTTATTTTTAAATTACTTTATGGTTTGGTGCCAGTGGCTCATGCCTGTAATCCCAGCTGCTTGGGAGGCTGAGATTGGGAGGATCATGGTTCAAGACTGGCTGGCAAATAGTTCATGAAATTCCATCTCCAAAATAACCACAGCAAAATGGACTCAAGTGGTAGAGTGCCTGCTTTGCAAATGGAAAGCCCTGAGTTCAAATCCCATCGCATCCCCCCCAAAAAAATTATGTTTGAACTTCTTTTGTGTCATTGGGCCCAAAATAATCTGAAATTATTCTGTGCTTACAATTTGAGACAGAGTTCTTAGATCCCACCTTAAAATTCCCTTTACAGGTTAATACATACTTCATTACTGCCGAAAGGCCTAAGAAAATGGTTTGTTGTAAAATGTTTGTTTCTTCTGTCATACCTCTTGTGTTGGTGAAATACAGTCATTTGGTATTTAAACTAGAAGAGTCTACAGACGTGTTTCTTATCCTTTCTCAGGACAGTGAACCAGCGCCAACGTTCAAGCAAGCCAGCTTTTAGTATCAACCACCTGTCGGGGAAGGCTGCATCCTCCAGCGTCTGCCAGGGCAGCTCCTGCAGCCTGCAGGGCACTTCTGCCCGTCGGCCTCCCGTGCTGGACGAGTCTCTCATCCAGGAGCAGACCAAAGTGGACCACTTCTGGGGTGAGTGATTGGGGGGTGGAGGTGGCCTCATGCCCAGCACAGTGGTTTCTGTGGTTGCTCTGGGAGGAAGGTGGGTTATGGCCAGGTTTGCTACCAGGGAGGCAGGGCTCTGGATGCCACCTGCATCTGCTGCCTCAACTGCGGCCACGGAGGATTACTTACCACAGCGTGAAAGATTAAGGACCAGGCAGTAACCTGATGACTGTTTTTCCAAATGCATTGCTTTTGTAAGATGTTTAAACACAGCAGTGTAAAATTCACTGCTGGTTCCAGAAAGCTCTAAGTAACACAGTGGCCAAGGTTTTTTCTGAGTCATTAGACAGTATTGGGAGAGACAGGCGTGGTGTACATGTATAATCCCAGCACTCAGGAGGCTGACCCAGGAATTGACAGTTTGAGGCCAGCCAGAGCTACATAGACCCTGTCTAAAAAAAAAGAAAAAAAAATGCATGTGTAAGAATTGACACTGAGAAGCAAGTGGCTGTGCCCTGACTGAAGTCTGTAGGGTATGTCTGGCGTCACCAAGTCTGTGCCTGGGGAGGACCTTTGAGTAGAGAATGTTGAGTTGAGCTTGTGTTCCGTTGCCCTTCCAAGGCAGGTGGAAGAGCCAAGTCAGTTCCTGAGGTTCTGTGCACTCTTTTTGGGAAGCCTGGTGCTGTTTTACTCAGGGCAATAGAAGCACACTTCTGGTCAGGAGGTTCCACCTGGGTGGCTGGGCTTGGGGAGTGGCCCAGCCTGGTCCCCCACACTTCCTGCCTGCCTCTTGGGTCATTGCTGTGTGCTCATGTGCGGGGTTCTCACCAAGATGTGCCCCCAGCTGGAGCCTCAGGTAGTGGGTACCTGTGTCAGGAGAAGTCCCAGTTCCAGCATCTTGGGGATAAACCCGCCCTGCGCCACAGAGCTGGCTTCCTGCCACGGCAGGCTGTTCTTTTTGGGGTGTGCTTTGTTCTGACCACAGCAAAACGTGTGTGTTTCAGGTCTGGATGACGATGGAGATCTTACAGGTAATTGTCTCTGTCCTTCTCTGCACATGTTCCAGGAGTTGTCTTTGATGTCTGCAGACTGATAACAGGCTTCACCTGCTTTTTCAAAACTTCAGGTGGAAGTAAAGCTGCCACTCAGGGAAACGGCGACCTGGCAGCAGATGTGGCTGCCAGCAATGGGTACACCTGCCGCGACTGCAGCTTGCTCTCAGCGCGCACAAGTGCGCTCACAACTGGCCCCGCCACCCACAGGCCCACCTCAAGGGTTTACTCCAGGGATAGGAATCCAAAATGTAAGTCTCCCCCGTTAAAGTTAGAGGACTCGGTGTCCTAATGCTTCCTTTTCTTGTCATCAAATGGACTATCGTGTGCTACAGATTTGAACTCAAACTTGTCCTCCAAAAGTCTGAAGAGGTGCACCCAGTGAGCTTTGCCCTCCTTTTCCAAACGGCACCTTGCATATGTGCTTAGTGCTCTGTACCTAGACGTGTTCAAGGTCTATAAATTTGGCCTCAGTGTGAGCAAAGGAAATTTTCTCCTGAGTGGAATAACAAGGTGGGTGGCCACTCAGACGCTGGCCTGTTTCCACAGAGCAGCACTGTGTGCTGAAGGACTCGCACTCCTCTGCCAGGCACAGAGGGGAATTCAGGAGCACGTGTAGTTCTGGAGGGACGTGGGGCCTGGCGTTGCCTGTCCCCTCCTGAACGTGAAGATCCTATAGGCACAGGTGGGTGGAGTGGGGTTGGGACACCAGGTCTTCCTCCTGGGCCTGCAGGGAGGGCAGCCACATATACTCTTTCAGGGTTCCAGGCATGGCTGTGATGCCCAGGAGGCTTAGGGACAGTTCTGTTCATGTGTGTGTCCTGTCTCGGCCGGGGCTTAGATAGTAGTTCAAATGATGGTTGGATGTAATGGAAGAGTAGGTAGAATAAGATCAAGGGCTTATCGCTCATTTTTAGCTGCTTATGATGGATTTGCTGTCTTACCTTTGTGGTGGAATCTTCTCGTTTAGTCTGCTGTGGTATGGTGTTCTGACACCATTCCTGTCACAAAGTAAAGAACCATAGGAGGAGAAGGAGGTTGACAGACAAAATGAGGGGAACCTCCTCAATGTGCTCTATGCTCAGGACTGCATTGCACTTGGTGTCTCCAAGCTGGCCAGCCAGGGGCTCTGCGGGTGACCACAGCAGCCCCGGTCCCTGTTTGTAGACTGAGGCCTGCTGGTGAGGCCACCTGGCTTGGTCCCGAGCTAGGTGTTACGCCCTCAGCACCAAGTGTCAGGCATGGTGCTGGGCACATGAGATAACTTGGGTCAGCTCCTTTCCTGAGCTAGAGCTCACGTAACCAAGTTAACCACCAGCTGTCTTCAGACACACAGCCCAGACTTGTGCAGCCATCACCCGAACTCTGCCTTTACGTACTTTTTTTTTTTTTTTAATTCATATGTGCATACAAGGCTTGGGTCATTTCTCCCCCCCTGCCCCCACCCCCTCCCTTACCACCCACTCCACCCCTCCCTCCCCCCCCCCAATACCCAGCAGAATGCCTTTACATATTTTTGCAGCAAGGTGCATTTGTGTCTTTACCTAAATACTATTGGACCGGAGGTGTACCTCAGTAGTAGAGCTCTTGCCTAGTGTGCAAGACCCTGGGTTCAATCAGTCCCCACACCGTTTAAAAAGAGAGAGAGAAAAGCCTAAATAAAATCAAAGCCAGGCATGTGATGCACTCCCATAATCCCAGCACTTGGGAGACTGAGGCAGGAGGATTGATTGCAAGTTCAAGGTCAGCATGGGCTACATAGCAAGACTGTCTCAAAAGACCAAACAATGCTGGGAGCTGGTGTTCACGCCTGTAATCCTGGCTACTTGGAAGGGTGAGATCAGGAGGATCATGGTTCAAGGCCATCCTGGGCAAACGGTTCATTACCCACCCCCCATCTCCAAAATAACCATAGCAAAATAGACTGGAAGTGTGACTGAAGTGGTAGAGCGTCTGCTTTGCAAGCTCAAAACCCAAAGTTAAAACTCTAGTACCACTTTAAAAGAAAAAAAACAAAGACCAAACAAGTTACCAGCCAAACAAACAAACAAAAACCAAATACTTAAATCCTGTCAGAATATAGATGTAGCCGTCTAGCTTTTAAAATTTTAAATGCTAGTTAATGTCATTTTTTTGGTGCCTGCCATTACACATACGGTTGTATCAGTCGAGTCAGTTTCTGGCGAACTCCCAAGTTTTCTGTTTGTTTCTTGAGTGTGCTTGCTGTGTGCCCTTTGTGGGTGCAAAGGCCCATGTGGACTGCGCACCCTCAAGTAGAATGGATGTCCTGATGATCCTCACTTTACCTTCACTGAAGGCCGGCCCAAAGTGCTATCCCTAGACAGGGTAAAGGTCCCCTCCCCTTACTCTTGTTTGTGACGTGGGGACGGAACACAGGGCCTTGCATGAGCTCTGCCACTCAGCTGCAGCCCCACCCCACCCTTGCCAGGTCTTGGTGGTGGTCTCTGGAATCTCTCCAGCTCAATGGGTGGAAAGCAGAGTGCATTTGGTGCGTCTCCTATAATGACAGGTCAGCTGCTCTGGTCAGCGTGGGCTCGCACTGCCCCGGACAGAGTGCACAGTGGCACCGGCTGCTCACACCAGATCCGTTCTTTTCAGCGCCACGTACCAGGTCACAATAGTCTCTGGTCTTCTTTTGAAAAATCCATCCTACTCAGACTTCACCAACTCAAGCTACCTCCACCCGGTGCTCTAATGCAGTGTTTCCCTGAGCTGGGGTCAAGGGAGGAGCTGTGGCCCAGCAGCACCTCCTGGCCCCGTTCCTGGCACCCACAGCTGCCCACTTCTCTCTTCTCACCCCGTAAAGAAATACTTTGTCAAGGAAAACTTGTCTGACAACCATGGCTTACAGAATCTCACTGCACTCAGGACAGAGCACCAGGCCTATTGTACAGCTGGGGCCACAGGTGCTGAATGCCAGTGAGTGCTCAGGGTGCCTGGGGCTAAGCTGCCTCCGCAGACTGGGGTCAGAGGTCCCATGAGGACCTCATGCTGCTCCCCACTTCTGAGTGTGGTGGAGTACAGATTGACAGACACCTCGTTCTGAAGCAAGGGCTTCCTTTGCTGCTGTTTCTGTCACTCACAGGGCATCCTTCCCAGGTTCTCTCCTGGCCCAGTGCAAAAATGCGTGCAGTTCTGCTTTGTCTTGAAGTTGCTCATCAGGGGAAATGGTGACTGCGGGAAGAGTAACGCGTGTCCGGTTTTTCAATAGGCGGTGCATCTCTCTACGTGGATAGGATTTTGTGGCTGGCCAGATGCACTTCATCGTCCTTTTCATCATTTTTAGTACAGCTTTTTCAAGTGGTTTTCATGAAGCTCAATCATGAATCAGAAAATTACAAATTGAAAAGTTATGAATCAAAAGAATCAGAAAGTTATGAGTCAAAAAACCATGAATCCAAAGGTATTTAAGGAATTTTTTCCTCCCTTCTGCACTGAACAATGCTTGGGCATTGAACACACCATTCTTCTTCTCTGTCCTCGCTCCTCTTCTCGGGCGGCGTGAGGGCTGGCTCTGCCTCTGCCTCTGCCTCTGCCTCTGCCTCCTGGTCTGTCTGCTACGGGAGCTTGTGCAGGTGCTGATGTACTCCCTGTAGCTCAGGTTCCTGACAGGTGGTCAGCATTTACGCACCTCGAGAGTTTTCAGAAGAAAGCTTACTCAGCTTTTGACTTTTGCTTAAGCAAAACCAGTTTATTTGAGTGCTGTTTAGTGTTACATTGTTTTAAAACATGTAGTCAAGTCAGTCTTTGTTTACTCGGGCCCACATACAACCAACCTGGTGGTATTTTGACTTGTTTGTCACACCAAAGCCCTGCCACCCGTATTCCCCTGAGCCATGTTTTGGGTTGCGCTGTATCATGCTGCTCTTGCTTAGGTGAGACTCTAAGCCTCTGTGGCCTGTGTTGCAGCTCTTCACAGTTACAATGGGAGGGTGACTGCCCTGGGACTGCCCAGAGAGGACAGCCACCCCAGTGTGGACGGGGAGGTCCTATGTGAGTATGTCTTCCTGCACAGACATCCTTGGTCTGGGAAGTGCTAACCCCATTGTAACGCAGACCACTAACCAGCAAGAGTGAGCAGCCCACCCAAGCTCAGTGTCCCCACACTGGCCTGTGGACAGCACTTCTGCCCAACTCCACACTGGAACCCTCTCTCCACTGTGCTGCATTCACTGGGATTGCAGCCAGTGGACTGTCCTGGTCTTCTCTAGCTGCATTTTGTTCACCGTTCTGATTGTCAAGGTCTGCATACTAATCTGTCACTCCACTCCTTGTCGCCACACCCACAGGTGATGACTGTAAAGGGAAGAAGCACGTTGAAGCGTACACAGCCACCTACGCGCAGCCATCCCATCCACGCAGGGCGGCGGGGGCCATGGGGCGCCTCTGCGCCTCTGCAGGTTGTGCCTTGTTTTGTTGTTTGTCCCCAGCCCTGCTGTCCTTGTTCTGCTTGTCGTTCCAGTGTCCTAAAGCACTTTAGGCAGCAAACAGGAGCAACATCAACTGTGGTCAAAGCAGTGTCTCTCAAAATTCTGTTATTATGTAGTGTGAGTTAACGGGTGAGAAGCGCTTGTTTGAGTGAGGGTGTAGCAGAGAGGAGGCCCAGCATTCCCTGCTCTCTCTGGCTGCTCGCTGTCTCCTGGCGTGGTGGCGATGCTGTGCCCATGAAGTGTCCGCGAGGAGGTGGGCTTTCCAGGTCATGCCTGTAACCATCCTGGTAAAGAGGACATGCTTGCTGGGCACTGGTGGCTCACGTCTATCATCTCAGCAACTCAGAAGGCAGAGATCAGAAAGATCCTGGTTCAGAGCCAGCCCGGGCAAATAGTTCACGAGACCCTATCTCAAGAAAACCCAACACTAGAAAGGGCTGGTGGAGTGGCTTAAGGTGTAGGCCCTGAATTCAAATCCCAGCACTGCAAAAAAAATAAAAAACACGTTTCCCGTTAGCTTTTTTTTTTAAGCTGCGCTTCAAAAATAATTGTCTCCTACTTATAATAAGCATAAAGTAATCAATTTTTTTCTAACTCCTCTTAGCTGCATTTCTTTGCATATCTGCCAAGTTGAAATGGCTGAACAAGGCCGACCTGCACATGTCCAGTTAGCATGAGGACAAGACCTCAGTGGTTGGTCTTGGAAAAAATGGAGCAAAATTGATTTGGAAAGCAGTGTGGCCAGGTGTGGTGGTGCATACCTGTAGTCCCAGCACTCAGGAGAAAAAAGGAAAACACAGCAGTTTCCTGCCATCTGTACTGTGTGATGTTGGAGGCCTTGTCCTATGGGACTCCTGCTGTGATTCTAAAGTGCCTCACCCCTGGAAAACTTTACATACCCAAACTTTCAGGAAGCATGAGCAATCATTTTCTCACCCAGCAGAGGTGACCGTGGAGCGTAGGACTTCAGGTTGTCCTAAAAGGTTGCATTTTCTTTCCACCATGAATTCTGCCGGCACCAGTCACCCCGTTTCTAGGCAGCTTCTGGCCCCCTTGGGTTTCTGAAGGCATGACCTCATGGCACCTGTTCGAATCTGCAGGCAGGGTTTTCCATGTTACTTTCCCCGAGCATCTCACTCCCACTCTCAAGAGACAGATGATGACTCAGTCATAGGAGGGTTGGGTTGGTGATGGGCACCTTCTGCTGTGCCATCAGCATGGCGCTGGCACTGTGGCGTCTGAGGTGCCCTGTGCCCATCTTCTTGCCTCAGGTCACCTTGTGATGCACCCACTACAGAGGATCGGAGTGGCCGGGCGGCTTGTGTCTGAGATGCTGTGGTCAGCCCTCTGGTTGGCCATCACTGCTCCAGGTGGTCATTTGGGGCTTTCGTGTTACAGTCTCTGCAGAGCTACTGGCAGCTAACCCTGCAACAACCAGTAAAGATGTGTTGTTGCTGCGTGCTTTGGTCTTGGTGAAATTCGCCATGTCCTGCAGTAGAAACACCAGCATACTGTGCCGCAGGATACATGAGCGCCTCTGGCCTGCTGTTTCCCTCTGTGCTGAGGTGCCTGGACTTGGGGCTTCCTGTGACATCCTGTCTTGTGCATGGCCAGCATTGTACCTGCTCCCCTGCTGTGACACTGGTGCCCTCTACTGCCCTGCACCCCAGCTGCATCCTAACTGCTCAGAGAGTCTGCCAGTGACTTCCCTCCCTGTGCTGCAGCTCCTCTGTACCAGGCTTGTCTCCGAGCGGCTTCCAAGCACATGTCCTGACAGTGCTCTTTTCTCTCCTAGGGAAGGCGGTCTCCAGAACGTTCTGGTGGCTGGGGATTGGGTGGTACCAGTTTGTTACCTTGATTTCTTGGCTGAATGTGTTTCTTCTTACAAGGTAAGGAAACCCATACCATTAGTGTGTGTTTTACTTATTTTTTTACTATATTGTTGTACTAGGGGTGACATTTACAAAAGTTCTTACAATATATCATAATGGTTTCACCCCCTCCATCACTCTACTTTACCCTCCTTGTGTGGTATTTTTAAGAACCCATTTGCCTCCAATCACAGGCTGCTGTTTGCTTGTTATTGTAGTGGTCATCATATTGACGTAGTACCTCGTTAACATACCGCCTTAGGTTGATCTTACCAGCCTCCTATGAGGTGGAAAGGCAGGTATCCTGGCTAAGGAAAGGAACTGTGCAGAGCCACTCCAGCTGCAGGGTCCAGTCAAGCCTAAGAGGCTTTTTCCTGCACTGCCACCCTAGTCACTTTCCACGGCACCAGCCCCACAGGGGGCACAGCCCAGGGGACAGGGCCTTGTGGCCAGTAAGTGTCCCGAGTGTAGGTGGTCAGCACGCTTCATGGAAAGGGCTCCTGTGCATATGTCACCAGGCCTGTAGATACAAGAATGGTGATGGGGCAGGTATCGTTCATAAAGTCACAGGATAGAATGGCGAACACTGCCTTTTTCTTTTCCCAAGTTAAAGGAATTTAATTTTTTCCCTAGGTGCCTTCGAAATATTTGCAAGCTCTTCATCCTGATCTTCCCACTGTTGCTGCTACTAGGTGAGCAGCCTGAGCACATGGGTGCTGAGCAGATCAAGCCGTGAGTGGCTTTGGGGACCCTGTACGCTGCACATGCTCAGCCGTCCTTCTGCTCCAGGTGCAGGCCTCTCCCTGCGGGGCCAGGGTGACTTCCTCTCTCTACTGCCTGTGCTGAACTGGACAGCCATGCACACAGCACAGGGGATGGACGATCCCAAGGATGTGGTCAGACCTGGACCCTCTGCCCCGAGCCAGGCTCTGCAGGTACCGGTGTACAAGTCCCCCTGGCCACGTGTGCCTGTGCTGGCCAGAGTTCACCCTGCTTTAGGGTGAATGGGCAGCTCAGTCACGATCTTGCTTTAGAAGGTAATTTTACCTGTCAAAAAAGCCAGTTTTTGCACATATGAATAATAAAACAATAAAAATTAAGAAAAAAGAACAAAAAAAGCCAGTTTTACAGCTCTGCAAATGTTCTGAAATTGCCCAAATGATAAATAACTAACCTCATTTTCCAGTTAGTTTTAACATGAAGCATGGCATTCGTTACTGTGCATGGTACAGAAAGCATGAGGGAGCTCGGTCATCGGCACAATCAGCAGGTCTCTTGCCTCTCCCTCCAGTGCCTGTCCTGCAGCCAGCACCCCACCTGCTGAAGTGTCGCCATGTGTTTCTCCTCAGGCTGATGACCAGGCTTCCCAGTGGCGTTGGGAGAGTGACATGGGGCAGCAGGTGGCCTCTCTGTCTGCACAGTGCCACAGCCATGATGAGAAGCTCAGGCTCCTGACAGTGTCACTTCAGAGACTGCAGGTGCGGGTGGACCGGATGGATGAAGGCAGGGATGGGCTGTCGTCATGGGTTAAGGACATTGTTGGGCAGCACCTGCAGGAAATGGATGCCACTGGGACCCCAAACGCTAAGGTAAGGCCTACAGGTGAGAGAAGACCACCTGTGGAGCTGTGTTAGTCACTGCCCGTCATTGTGACAAAGTACCTCATGGAGGAGATGGAGGGAGGGACTGGGGACAAGGTGTGCCCTCAAGGCCTTCCTCCTGGGAGCCACTTCTCCATCAAGAGTCACCACTGATTAGATCAGGGCCTCAGGAGCTGTCACCTCCCCATGGTGCCCTCAACACACAAGCCTTATGGGGAACATGTCCTGTCCAAGCCGCCTGCAGGCTCAGTACTAAAAAGAAGACTTAGCTGCATGTGATGGTATTGTGGCTTGTTTGTTTCCTGGCGATGCTACTCTGAGAAGTGAGGGCTGTGGTATAAACCGCTGCAGCCGGGAGGTGGGAGCGAGGAGCAGGTCCTCCTCCGTGGGGAGCACCTTGTGCAGAGCCTCACACGTGCCCTCCGCTGTGGCTGTAGAGGTGGCAAAACTGAAACGCACAGACACGGTAAGAACCACAGCTATCCTCATGGAGTCACCAAGCTCCATCCATCCCTGCGGTGGGACACTCGCTTGGAGTCGGCAGCACCACAGTCTGGAGGCTGTGCTGGGAAGCTCAGGTACAGGGCGTCGTGTTGGGCAGGTGGCAGGACCCAGCCTTTGTGTGCGGCAGCACTGGGGCCATCTACATCTGGGATACCCTATTTCCAATTGTAACCCTATAGCTATCACGGTCGTACTCCCCACTGCTCCCGTGCTGTGACCCGGGCAGTGTCCTCCCAACCTGCAGTGCTCCTCTTTGTAGCCGTGGTGCTACTTCCGGAGTGCTCCAGAATGATCTTGAGCTGTTGTGCCTTCCTGAGAATCGCTAAAGAAAGGTGGGAAGGAAACCACTTCTCAGCAGTCAGCAAATGTCCAAAAACCTTGTGCTCTGCCATCGAAGCTCTTCTAGGTCACCTAGGCTGCCTTGGGAAGCCCGAAAGCCACTTGCCTCTTCACCTCCTTTTCTCCTCGTTGAGACAGGGTCTTGCTCTGTAGCCCAGGCTGGCCTTAACTCTCAGTCTTCCTGCCTCCTGAGTGCGGGGATTTCAGGCGCAGCCAACCACACCCGGCCCTAGTCTCCCTGTGGACATTGTAATCACCTGGGAACTTGACCCTGTGATGTGCTGTGTCCTGGGAACTTGTGGTTCCTTCCTACTGTGTGTCCATGTCATACTTCACATGAATGTGAAGTGACCAAGGGACGTGAGTGGTCAGGGTCTCCACCTGTGTACCTGCTGTTTTTTGAGTCTTGAAAGGTGGCAGTGGCTGTGGAATCTGCCGAGTGAGTACTGATTGATTGGCTTCCCAGTGTCTCCTCGTGTTTACTGATACTCTTCTGTCACCAGAAAAGCTATTCCTGCAGTGTCACTTGGGTTTAAGATCTCTAGTGAGAGGCAGAGATGAGGATGTTGCTAGGCGATGGGTCTCCCCTCCAAGGCTGTTGTGTGCTGTGACACTGCTCACATGATGAGACCGAGCCTGCTGGACTTTCTGTTGCTCACCTCTACCATTTGCTCTTGTTTTCTTTCTCAGGCTGACTTTGTGACGTTCTACCATGAACATGGAGTGCGTCTCTCAAACTTGGAAGATATTCTTAGAAAACTGACAGAAAAATCTGAGGTATTCCTTCTTGACTTTATAGTCAGTCCCAGAAGCAGTTCTCTGAATAGAAGAGCAGTCAACTGCAGTTAATGTCAGCAGACACACCTTAGCCAGGAGTGGGCCCTCTTTTGGGGTGTTTGCTGTTGTGTTTTATAAAACTGGAGAGTTGTCTGAGTGTGTTCCCTTCTCCTGCGGTGACCACCCTATTATGCATGAGCTGCCAGCCTGACTCTGGTTCCTGGGTCAGGGAACAGAATAAGGCTGTAGCTGAGGAGGTGGCTGGGCTGAATTCAAACCCAGCCGCTGCTGGTTCCAGAGCCCCTGTTGCCATGGTGTCTTGGGCGGAAATTGTCTGGGGCAGAGAAGTATTGCTGCCGGCTGCTGGTAAAGCCAGGTGCTTGCAGGGTGTGCACTGCAGAGGCTGTGGGCTCTTGGATCCAGGGCTCAGCATCCAGAACACACTTCCCCTGGGCATCTGGGACTGCAGGAGTCAGACTGCATGGAGGCTGTCCAGGGCTTAGCCTCAACACCTTGGGACAGGCACGCTGAGACACCACATACTCACCCTTCCACATTGGTGGCTTTCTGTTCCTCAGCCTGGGTGCTGCTGGGGGGCTGTCCTATGATCTGTACACCTCGCTAGGCCCACTGCAGATCTGGACTTCAGTGAAGGGGACAGGTTCCACATAAGTACAGACAGCTCAGGTGAATCAGGTGATTTTATGAACTTAGAACTCAGATGTGTGTTTAAACAGACCATTTCTCACTCTCCCAGGCCATCCAGAAGGAACTAGAAGAGGCCAGGCTGAGAGCAGTTAGGTAAGATGACTCAGGCCACCAGCATTGTCTGTTCTCTGATGGGGTGCTGATGTTTGCATGACCGCAGTCACCTGTGTCTTTCTGGGTGCCCTCTGGGGCCACTCAAGGACAGAGGGCCCTGAGGGGCTTGTGACAGCCACTCCCTGTCCCCATGCCTGGCCTGGCTTCTGTGGCACTGTTGGAGTCTCAGGATCCCACATCCATGGACTGCCACCGCCCTGCTGCCCCCAGGTGGACAGGGCTCCTCACAGCTGCCAACTTTTCTATCCTTGAATTCTACGGCCTTTGTGCCGACGCTGAGCTTCCTCCTTGCCATCTACACAGCCATGGTCCCTCGGCTGTTCTCGGGGGGTGATCTCCTGCTTGTTCCTCATTTCCAGCTTGCCTGATCCCCTCTGTGTGGTTTCCTGCCTGATGTCCCCAGCTGCATCTTCTGTGCTTTTGTTCTCCGCCCTGCCTGAGTCTGTGCATGCCAACGCTGCCCTGTGTGGCTCCTGTGATCTCTGTGGCTGGACCTGAAGCTGTGTGGCAGGTGGCCCTGAGTTCTGGACACCTTCATGCCTTCCCCATGCCATGCTGTGTACCTGCCATGCCATGGAGCTCCCTGCTTTCCCCTCACTTCCCCATGCCTGATTTCAGTGGAGCAGGTTAGATGACCACACAGCTCCCCAGTGTTTATCTGAGAGCACTACGGACACAGCAGGCTGGTTTCTGCACACCTGTGCCCCAGGGTGTTTGTACTGTGCTCATGGGACCCTGAACCGTGGGACTTCTGTGCATGAGCGTAGCTTGGAGTAGCGCAGTGGTGCTTAGGATCAGTGCTGAAGTCTGACGTGTGATTCGAAGGAAGCAGATGTACGGACTTGCCCAGGTGGAGTGGTTCCTCTGAGCGTGTTGGTGCTGACCCACTTCTCCCTCCTCTGTTGTCAGCGAGGTGGAGGAGCCCCTCCTGCCCCGCATGCAACGTCTGGAGCTGGAGCTGGACCTACTGAGGTCGCAGCTGTCAGACTGGCAGCATCTGAAGGCCAGCTGTGAAAAGGTAGGAGGGGAGCCCACCGGGGCCAAAATGCTTCTTAAAAGTACATTTGAAGGCTCTTTTGGCGAGTTGTTTTTTGTTTTTTTTTTTTAAATGGCAGTACTGGGGTTTGAACTCAGGGTCTCACACTTGCTAGGCAGGCATTCTACCCACTCCATCAGCCCCTGAAGACTCTTTTTGTTGGTTTGTTTTTGTGGTTCTGGGGTTGAATCCAGGGTCTTTCACATGCCAGGCCAGTGCTTGTACCACTGAGTTTACCCCCAGCTCTGCATTTGAAGTCTGCAACCGTTTCAGAATGAGAGCTGGATTTCCTAGTCCAGCAATGTAATAGGCCAACACTTAGTGTGTCTTCCCACCTTCTGTGCACACAACCACGGACTGACAATGGTCTGGGGTGGTGGTGTCTGTGTGTTGTCACCAGAGCAGACTGCTGTGCTCTACACCTTACTTTCTTTGTCAGATGTCCTGAATGTTGCTTCAGCCCTGCCCCTTTGGGCAGAAGAGAACCTCCAGCTGTCGAGGATTCATTTGGTGGGCAGAGGCCTCACAAGTCAGTCACACCATAGATTTGGGAAGTGTTTGCAGTTCGTGTGCTAAAACTGCACAGAGCTCCAGACCTGATAGGAAAGAGACAGTGCAGACACAAAGCAAGTGAGCAGAGAGCCGTCTTACTGGGCTTGCAAGTTCAAAGGCACAGCCATCCTCTGTCCCCATGGGGCAAGGGAGATGCCCACCTTGAGTGCTGGCAGCCTGAGGGCTTTCTTGTGGCTGCTGGGGCTGTGCACGAGCCTCTGTGAACTGGTTCCAAATTGACGCTTCAGAAGCGGGTGGTACAGCCTCGGGGCTTGGAGTTGGTACAGGGCAGTAGCACCCAGCATGGCCCCTGGTGGGGATAAGAGCAGGGCTGAGGCCTGTAGACATGGAGGGAAAAGGGTGCCTTTCTAGCCATGGAGGGGACAGAGTGTGAATAGGGTGTGGACATTGAGGGGACAGGGTATGGACATGGAGGGGACAGGGTGCCTTTCTTGTGCTGTTCTCATCTCCTTTCCTGAGAAAGAAGCAAGGGGTTTGCACACGAGGTGTGCGTGATGACACACCCAGGCCTGGTCAGCATCCATTCAGTCACATCTGACACTAGTTTTATGACTACCAAACCAGATGTGTCTCATCTGTGGGGCTGCGTGCTGGGGGCCCCGAGTAGGAGCAGTAGCTGCCAGGCAGTGCTCACCCCTCTGTCTTCAGCTCTCTGCACGCTGCTGCTGTTCCTGGCTCTGTAAGGCATTCAGAGATCTTGAGTTTTTATGAAGGGGAAATGGCGTCACATTTAGGTTGTCTGTTTTACAAACACATGCTTCTGGAGCATCTAAGGTGATGCTGTGAAGTGGCTTAGTGGCCATAGGACCCTCAACTGCTGCCTACTGATGTCCCGGCAGGTGGATGCCCAGGTCAGAGATACCATCCGGCTTATGTTTTCCGAGGACCAGCATGACGGCCCCCTCGAGGGGCTACTGCACAAGCTTTCTTCTCGGTTCGTGAGCAAGGATGACTTGCAAGTGTTGTTACGAGACCTGGAGCTACAGGTGCTGAAGAATGTCACCCACCACATCACAGTGACAGGACGGGCCCCAACATCTGAAGCTATCGTGTCTGCTGTGAGCGAGGCAGGGATCTCAGGAATCACAGAAGCGGTGAGTAGTGCCACACAGCATAAGGAGCACAAAGCCACTGTCATTGCCATGCTGCACCTTGGAGTGCCGTCCTGTCCTCTTGTCACCCTCCTAAAATTTCCTCAAGCTGTCAGCCACACATCAGTCTCCCGGCTTCCCACAGCACAGCCCTGAGGTCTAATCCCTGCCTTCCTCATGTTGGTGGAGCCAGAGAACTGCTGTGACATGTCTGAGCCCTAGTGATAGCACCCCAGGCATGTTGCCCAAGTGTCCTGGGTTCCTGGCCTTTGTCTTGGTGCTAACCATAAGTTTCCTCTGTTGCCTGGTGCTGGCCTCCTGTTGCCACTGTTCATCTGACTGTCCATCCAGCAAGCACAGGTCATTGTGAACAATGCTCTGAAGCTGTATTCCCAAGACAAGACTGGAATGGTGGACTTTGCCCTGGAGTCTGGAGGTGAGTGAATGAGCATGTTAGTGGCAGGAGGGGACACTCGAAATTCATAAGGAGCTGGCCAAGGATGGAGTGTATCCTGCACCCCGTGAGTCCTAATGCTTCTCTCCATGACCAGTCACCTTTTGGGCACAGGCCCCCAGGCCTTGCACAGTGCTGCACTGAGTGAGGTCCTGGGGGTCGTGACTGGGCTGTGTGCTGAGTACCTATGAGAGAACACATGCAGGACAGCAGGCTAGCCATGGAGCAGGATGGGTGTTACCTGGTTCCCCAAGTGTGGCCCAGCACATCAGGAAGTTGGAACCGCTGTTCCACCCACACTGGTGGTGGCTTTGGAACCACACACCGCTGAACTTAGTGTGGGTCAGCTCAGGGAGGCTTTGCCACCAAAATGTGGTTTTCTGAATTTTCAAAATGTAGGAACTGCAGGTGAGGGGTAGTGGACATTGTCATGTCTTGGAAGATACGGAGCTTGTGGACACTGGGGTGTGCAGGAGGGCCAGGCCGGGGGGACACAGTGTTGGAGGGTGGAGTCCTGGGAGAGGGGACACTGCAGGAGGGCGAGGTCCTGGAGGAGGGACCACAATCAGGTGTCCCACAGAGGAAGCGAGACTTGCTGCTGAAACAGCCGGAGTGGGGTCCAGTCTTCTGTCCCGGAGACCTTGGTGTGATGGGCGAGCCCCCTGGGATGTGGACTCAGTCAGTTCAGATGCTGGTGGTGGTCAGCAAGGCCACTAATTCTCCACGTTTTGTCTAAAAGGACTTTGAGGGAATTGATTTAGATTTAGTTATGTTTTGAAAGTTAAGTTGAGTGACTTAAGAAGTAAGTTCTCAGCTCAGAGGCATCAGATGACACTTCAGTTTTGACATTTGGGCCATCCTTGTCATTGTTGTTGGTCCTGGCAGATTTGGGTGTCACTGACCCAGAACCCGATGACGCCATAAGGCCATGCTGCTGGCAGTTCCCAAACCCTTGCAGCTCTCCTCAGTCAGCAGAGACTTCTCAGGACATGGGGTGGTCCCAAGTCAGAGTCATGGCAGAGACTCAATTTGTGGAATGGGTGCTAAGGGGTCATCACACCCAGGCAGTTGCAGGGCCATTGCTCCTTCAAACACAAGCCTGTTTATTTGTGGATCCTGCAGTGGGGCAGATGGAAGTTGTTTTTGCTTCTCTTTATTAAATGTCGTATTTTCGAGTGTACACAGTGACTCGCTGCTCCCTGGCATTTTCCTTTTTGTTGGTACAGTCATTACAGTTTGTCACCATGGCCCATCAGGCAGGCCCTGTAAAGCTCACCTGCTGATAACAGCACTGCTGTGGGACTCGATTCTCCATTTAGAAAAACGGGAGGTTCACTCAGAACCGCTGCCCAGTATTGCACTGAGCTTTGAAAAAGTGAAGTGAGGGCCAGGCTCGGTGGTGCCCAGCTGTGATCCCAGCTACCCGGGAGGCGTAGGCAGCAGGAGCTCTGTGTGAGGTGGCCTGGACAAAAGACCCTACCTCAAAAATACCTACATCAGAAAGGACTGGGGTGTGGTTCAAGAGCGTCTGCCTAGCAAGCTCGAGGCTCTGCATTCAGTCCCATTACTGCCAGAAGACTGAAGGAAAAGTGAAGTGGGTAGTAGGTTAAGAGGCGGGCGTGCAGTCAGCAGCAGCTGCACAGTGCATCTGAGCGCTGGCAGTCAGGGTTGTGAGTCCACACGACAGAGGTGCTTGAGGACACGTCCACCAGTCTCAGCAGCATGAGGCACCCTGTCCGTACGTATGCTGTGTTTGTGCAGCGCTGAGGAAGCCCAAGGCTCTCCCGCGGGAAGGGCTTGAGCATTTTCAGACCACTGAGCTGCCTCCTGCTTGCCGGGCCACGCGCTGACGAGCACGCGCCCTGTGTCCTAGGCGGCAGCGTCTTAAGCACCCGGTGCTCGGAGACCTACGAGACCACGACGGCGCTGCTGAGCCTGTTCGGGATCCCGCTGTGGTACTTCTCCCAGTCGCCCCGCGTGGTGATCCAGGTGAGGGAGAGCTCTGTACCTGGGGTTTGTAATTTGGGAAAGTCAGACCCGGGTCATTTCAGAGTTGGTGTGCGGCGGCAGCGAGCCTCTGACAGACATTTGAAGGTCTGGCCCCTGTAGGGTCAGGATCACCAGGAAGTGTGATCTGTAGCTCTGCAGCGTCGCCTCTGCCCGCCTAACTAACCTCATCCATTTAACACGGACACTGTTACAAGTTTGAGTCCTCCTCAAACACTGGAAATCAGAAAATGGGACTTTCAGCCTCGATGTGTTTGGAGTTTGAACTCAGGCCTTCACTCTTGCTAAGTAGGTGCCGACTCCCAGCCTTTAACTCAGGCTCATGTAATAAGAAAGTTAAGCTTTGTAGGTATTGTGTAGGAAGCAGCATGGTATGTGTAGGGCGTTCCTGCCGGTCCCACACACCCTCCTGGAGCCACAAAGTTGCATCTCCTGTGAACTTTGTCCTTCTGGGTTCTATGGTGGCTTCATAACCAGCACAGTTGGTCACGTTACTCAGCCATCATCCCTCTCCTTTCCCCAGAGGCTGAAAGTCCCAGCTCTGTGAACCTGCATTGGTCCTGGTGACCAGCCCCATCCTGAGGCCACCTGAGGCCCTCGGACACCAGCTGGCTCATTAGCAAACAGAATCCGTCACCAAGACTTGTAGGAGTTGAGCCAGCAGACGGTGCAGACCAAATACACATTTCACAAGATCCCCCAGCATCATAGTTTGCACGGTCCTGTTGCTTTGTAACGTAGAAAAATCTTTGCCCGGGTGGAAGGAGCAGCTGAGTTTCCCTGTGTTGGAAGGACGTGCACATGTCCTTGTGGGTTTGGTCTTTTTGCTGTCACAAAATGTAGGTGTTAGATGCACACATGGCAGTGCCTTTCCCAGAGTGTATGACGGGATTTTTTTTCTTGTTTGAGACGGGGTCTTGCTATGTACATCAGGCTGGCCTCCAATTCATGATTATTCTGCCTCAGCCTCCCACGCGCTGGGACTACAGGGGTGCGCCATCACCTGGATTCATGAGCTTCTACCGTGCACACATTCTGTTATTTTGGTATTACCAGTCTTTTAATGCTTCTGTTTTATAAGTAGTTAAGAGCTTGTCCACCTTCCCCAGCCTGACATATACCCAGGGAACTGCTGGGCGTTCCGAGGCTCCCAGGGTTACCTGGTGGTGCGACTGTCGGTGATGATCCGCCCAACCACGTTTACCATGGAGCACATACCAAAGACGCTGTCACCGACCGGCAGCATCTCCAGCGCCCCCAAGGACTTTGCGGTCTACGTGAGTGCACAGACTTTGTCCCTTCTGGGAGTTCCCCCAGACACCTGCCGCAGAAGCTGGTGGCACCCATGTCACAGCGGCAGCTCTCTCCTCTCGCTCTGCCCTGGCTGACTCAGTGTCTGGAGATATTCTCGTTCTTCCCATGAGGGAGGGAGGCAGGTGGTCAGTCCAGTTCCTGTGCCATGCCAACAGCACCAGTCAGATGCACCTGGCTTGAGGACTCTGTTCTCTAGCTGGTTTTCTTTACGGTGTGGGCACGGAATCCAGGGCGTTTTGCAAAGACAGGGCTCTGCCACTGAGCCACATCCCAGCCCTACTCGCTGAGTAGCCTAGGCCAGCCTTGAACTTGGAATCGTCTTGCTCCTGCCTCCAGGTTTTCCTGTAAAATGTGTAAGAATGCACTAGAATGTGAGGAAACGCCTGTAACCCAGCACCTGCACAAAAGCCACTGTTACTTGTGGCATTCTTTGATTTCTCTTTTTGCCCTTTAAAAAATGTACTTGAAGTCAGATGTGGTGATGCACACCTATAATCCCAGATAATTGAGAGGCTGAGGCGGGAGTCCAGACCGGGCTACCACACAGTGAGAACCTGTTTTTAAAAAAAAAACCTTAAGAAACGCAGTTGATACAGTTCTGTTCACGAAGCCGCAGAAGTTCAGCTGTCTTCGTGGTGGCTGCACTCCCCAACGCCACTGCACACCGAGCTGGCCTGCTGTCTACAACCCACTCAGGGCGCAGCTCTCTCAGCCACGTCCTGGGGTCATTTGCCTCGTGGTGCTCTCTGGGACTCACGCCGTCTTTTTCATCGGGTGTCATTGGCATACCTCCTGCAGTTGCTGCCATCATGGGCTGCGGCATCCGCTCCTTGCCCCGATTTCTTGTGTGGCAGTTTTCATGCCTAGCTAGGCTAGCCCTTCCCCCATCCTGAAACAGACATTGGCAGCCCTGTACTTTCTGTTGAGTTTTACTGGGTTGGGGTAGAAGGTAGCCATTGTTAGGAGTCATTTCTAGGTGCAGTGGGATCAGTACAGTCACGCCGCTGCTGCCCTCAGCAGCATCCACCACCTCCCCCTCCCATGCTGAAGCTCTGTGTTTCGAGCCACTTGCTCAGCCCAGGCCTGGCGTCATCCTCTGTCCTCACCCTGCTAGTGTCGCCTGAGCAGTGAGGGCCACCGGGGCCATGCTGAGCTGCACCTCGCTAGTCTTAACTCACCTCTGCAAGGGGAGTGGCCACACCTGCCCACGGCCCTCCAGGGAGGCCTCGGCATTGCTGGGGAGGCGGGGAACCTGATCCTGGGCTGGTGTGGCTGATGCTGTGGTCTGTCTTGTCTCAGGGACTGGAGAGTGAGTACCAAGAACAGGGACACCTGCTGGGGCAGTTCACCTATGACCAGGACGGGGACTCGCTCCAGATGTTCCACACACTGGTAAGCACAGCCCCTCTCTGCGCACAGAAGCCAGTGTCCAGGTGTGCCCCAGGGGCAGGAGGTCACCTGGGACGGAGGGAGACGGATCTGCTCCAACCCTGCTCATCAACATACAACAGGGCACCAGGGTCACCTGTGCTGTCACCCGAGCTCTGCGTCCTTACCTGTTGTCTGCGAGACTCAGGGCTGGTGACCAGAAATTAGTGGGTTCTCCGCAATTTCAGGAGCAGCTTGACAGAGCCTTCCAGATCGTGGAGCTCCGGGTCTTGTCCAATTGGGGCCACCCCGAGTACACCTGCCTCTACCGGTTCAGAGTCCACGGAGAGCCCGCCAAGTAGAGGGCCGCCTTGTACATGTGTGTATATAGCAGGGGCCGGACCCGGCACCCCCAAATAAATGAACACCCAGGGCTGCAGGGGACATTCGTGGGAGTCTTGCTGCAGGGGTGTATTGAATGTATGTCCTCAGCACTCACGGGTGGGGACTGACCGAGCCTGACATGGAGCAGAGAAGGTGGAGCCCAGACCTTTAGCATGAAGCCGTGACACTGAGCTGCTGTGTCCCCACAGGGACTTCACGTGTTCCATTGGCTAAAGCCACACATTTCTTTCAGGGAAAATTGTCACCAGATCTTCAGTCCAACCCCTTCCCTCAGGGTGGGAGTTTTTCCTTCCTTCACTGCTGGCCTTGTGGTCCCTGGGGGGGGGGGGGACGGCACTGTGGTCCCCACTTGGTCTGCTCCTGATACACTCAGACGCGGCTGATACACTAAGGGACACCAGCAAGTGTCCAGGAAGGGTGAGGTGAGTCTGCTGAAGTGAACATAGTGTTGTCCGTAGATCTCAGGACTCCAGCACAAACAGGAACCAGGAGATGTCACCCTGTGGTGGCCTCAGGCCTTGCTGTGTTGTACTGAAGGGAACACTAAGTGCCACCCTCGGGAGGCATTCAGGACCAGCACGGTGGGCCCCTCACCACGGCTGGCCATTCTCGCGTGACCCCTGTGACACTCATTTTGGTTATAACTAATATTTAATAGGCTATTTTATGCGCAGGCTTTACAATTGTGATACCTGCAAGGCACTTAAAGGGTCGGGGGGTTCTAGGAGTGGCCTGGGAGCATGTGCCCCGCATACAGCGTCCCAGCGTGGCTGGCGCCCATGCATCCCATCAGGTGACCGGGCAGAGCTTTGTGTAGTGCAGGTAACACGTGTAAGTCAGAATTTCTACATACAACTAAATTTGGGAGTTGGGGTGGAGATATTTTGAATATTTATTTTTAAAGATGCGGGATAGGACTTTGTGCAATGTATTTTTGTAAATGCTTTTCAAAACACTTGTCTTTGGTGCTTCTATTGCACCAAATTGATGCGACTATTGAGATGTTTAAATAAAGAGTTTTAATTTTTAAAAGTGCATGTGATATTTGAAGCGAAAATAAACTTAATTTTTTTTCTCACTTCGTCTTGTTTCTGCCTGGGGCCTGGGGAGGGCGTCCCCGGGAGGAGCGGAGAGCTGGCCGGCGTGGGCCAGCGTGTGCACCAAGCGAAAGGTGCTCGGTGACGGGGACACGCTGTCCCTGGAGGCAGGGCGGCCGCAGAGCGCCGCGTCCTCAGGACCGCTTGCTCAAGTCGCCGCTGGGACCCCAGCCGCGCCCGGGCAGGCGTGCGGCGGGGCGCCGGCTCCCAAGCAGCTCCGCGAGCCCGGGGTCCAGAGCGTGTCGTGGAGCTGGCGGGGGCCGCCGGTCCGCTCCGCCGCGGGGAGCTGGGTCAGTGTCGCCGGCCGGCAGCCCGAGCCGCCCGCACAGAGGCGCGAGCAGGGCGTCCCTGGACGCGTGGCCCCGCCCCGCCTGCGTAAGCACGCCGCTTACGTAGCTACGCTCGCGCTCACGTGGCCGTTCCCGGGCTCTCAGAGCACGTGGACCGGGCCGCGCTCACGTGGCCGCCCGCGGGCTCCCAGCGCACGTCATTCCGTCTTCGTTCACGCGGCCGCCCGCGGCCCAGCCCGGGGCACGTGGCCCCGCCCCTGGTCACGTGCCGGCCGCAGCGCACCCGCCCCGCCTCTACGTGGCTCCTCGCGGCCGCCGTAGAGGGCGTCGCACGGCCGCAGGGACGGAAGCCGGGAGGCGCCGCCGACCGCGCCTGCGACAGCGTCAATCCTGCGCGGAGCGCCGGCCAATGGCGGCGGCGGCGATGGCGGAGCAGGAGGGCGCCCGCAACGGCGCCCGCAACCGCGGCGGCGTCCAGCGCGTGGAGGGCAAGCTGCGCGCCAGCGTCGAGAAGGGCGACTACTACGAGGCGCACCAGATGTACCGGACCCTCTTCTTCAGGTGGGCGCGGGCGGTGGCTTGCCGCCGAGGCCCCGCCCCCGCCGACGCCCATTGGCCGCGCCGCGGCGCCCCGCGCCCCCATTGGCCCGCGCCGCTGTCTGTCGCGGGCAGCCGTGGCGGGGGCGGCGGGCTGTGGACTCTTTCCCCGCCGGCCTCGTCGCTCCTGGCCTCCTCCTCTGGTCTCTCTCTGCCTTCTCCGTTCCTGGCCTCCTGACTTGGCCTCATCTGGCCTCCTTCCCCGGCCTCTTCATTCCCGGCTTCCTCCTTCTCTGGTCTCAGTTCTGGCCTCCTTCTTCCCCAGCCTCCTCTCGTCTCATTTCTGTCTTCCTCCTTCCCGGCCTCCCCCTCTTCCCACGGACAGTTGGGTCCTGGTCTCAGAGCTGCTTGGCCAGGTCACTCCCGCTTCTGTGGCCAGTGACTGCAGGGTGCAGAGGCCGTGCCACCTCCAGTGTGGCCAGCCTTGACCCTGGAGGCGCCATGTGAGGGCTGCGTGCCCTGCATGTCCCAGGGTGTCCCCACTTAGGCCGGCAAGATGAGCCATTGCCCCGTGTCTGCGAGTGTCAGCCTGCCAGACGATGCCAGCCGTCCATCGCCATCACTCGGGGTCCCTGAGCACCGTGGGCTGTCCCCACGGTCAACCCCTGGGTGGCCTGAGTGCTGGCCCTGCTCCTTCACACAAGGGGCACCAGGCAGGCGACAACTGGGCAGACATGGGAAGACAGCCCCTTCCCACAACGCTGCGCGGGCTGTGGGCTTGGCAGGGGTGGGTGATGGGCCTTGTGGACGGCCAGGATTAGCAAGAGCCTGGGGTCAGGACCGAGGCTCACAGGCATGTTCCTTTCTCCTCGTGTCTCAAGTGACCTGGAGGGCCACTGGTTCTGGACCCTGGCACCACGAGCCGTTCAGATTGTAGCTGGCGTGCTGGTCCTGTGGCCAATGCCTGTGTTGTTTGCAAGCTCGGCCGTTTCGCCGTCCAGGGAGGAGCCTGGAAACTAATTTCAGCTCTAGCAGCAGCAGGTCCTAATGATTGATGGCGACAGTGAGGGGAGCTGTCTCTGGACACGGCCTTCCAAGTGGCCTGAGTTGTGATCCCGCAAGTCTGACCATTGAAGGACCAGGCTGTGCAGTGACCCAGAGGCCAGCGTCCGTTCTGTGCAGCCCGGGGCATGCCCTGGCATCTGTTCTTGAGGATTTGTAAACGTTTGCCTGTGATTAATGGCAAAGTGGATCTTCCCCAAATCACCCGATCCCCGCGTTGGGTCAGCTGTGCCGTGACTAGGCACTTGCTGTCAACTTAGCATCTCAGAGATGAGTCCCTTGAGGGAGGGTGTGTGTGACCTGTAACGTCCACACCCTATCTGCTTTCTACCCACCAAGGTGAGCAGGGCCCAGCCACCTCTCCTCTGCGTTCTTGGTCGTGTTTCTGAGCCTCGGCTTCCCTTGTCACTTGGGAATGAGGGAGGTGACTCAGTGGAGGCACTTGCCACACAGGGCCCCCGGAGGTCTTGTGGAGCTGCCCCATCCTTCCAGGCAGTTCCCATGGGGCCACTGGAGAAGTCATGACCCCCACGTGGCACTTCAGAGTCTTTTCATCAGTACGTGTATATTTGCAATTTACACTGTGCAGGTTGGCGGTGCACCAGTGGCTCACTCTTGTAATTCCAGCTACTCGGGAGGAGGAGGCAATCAGGAGGATCGATGTTTGAGACCAGCCCTGGCAAAGTAAAAGACTGTATCTCAAAAATACCTACACAAAAAGGAGCTGGCAGAGTTACTCAAATTGTCGCGCACTCCCATAGCAAGCATGAGGCCCTGAGTTCAAACCCCAGTACCTCAGAAAAGAAAGCAGTGTGATGGGTTTTGACATTGGAACACATTTGTGAGACTCACTGATGGAAATGCTGAAGACAAGTCACCCCAACATGTCCACCCTAGGACTGGCCTTCCTGCCCTCACCAGGCAGCCGTGGGCTGTAGTCACTGGTCACGCACTTTCTCTCTGTTGACTTTTTTCCTTCATCTTGAGGTACTGGGTTCACCTTTGGGGCCCTGTGGTTGCGAGGCAGGTGCTCTACCACTTGAGCCAGACCCCTGGCCCCTTGCTTTCTTCAGGTAGGGCCTCGTTTTTGCCTGGGGCCAGCCTCCAACTGCTGCACCTGGCCGCTACTGGCTTCTGTAATTGACTGTGTCTGTAGGTTCGTGTTTGTTGCTGTGTCGTACTCCATGTTGTGAATATCAAAACAGCCATGGCAGTGAAGGTGGAGGAGGGGAAGAAATGGAAAAAACAGCAGAAGGATCTCACGGGTCCCTGTGTCCTACAGGGTTGTGGGGATTCTGCTACACCTGGCCACCTTGGAGCTGCTAGCCGCTGTCCCAGCTATGGTCACATTGGTTCTTTAGACTTTTCTCTGTCTAGACACAGGGAGTCAGTTCTGCGGGCCTGTGGATCATTGCTTCCTGGAAGAGTCACAAAATGGCTCTGGTGACAGCTTTGCCAGAGTGGCCTTTGCCTTGGGGGCTGCAGTGTTGGTGTAGTGTTTGTAGACCTTTCGAGAAGCTTGTGTCTTCATGAGCCAGTGAGAGGTGGGACTGTGGAGCCAGAGCTTGCCTGCCTTAGTGCCATCAATCATACTGCCTGGGCCTGAGCAGCTGAGCCCGGCAGGCCTTGTAGCTCAAGCTCACTGGAGCTGTCGTTGGGTGCCTGTGCTGGCTGCTCAGCACCTGGCAGGCCAGCTTCTGTCCAGTGAGAATACGGCCTAGGCCGAGGTGTCTACAAGCTGTGCTGCCTTTGTCTGGCCTCTGTACACTCGTCACAGGTGGTGTCGTATTGACTTTCTGTGTGTGGTCATTTCTCACATAATGGCACAGGAAAGCCAGACCACGGCCTGTGGGTAAGACGGGGCTGCCCAAGAGCATCTGGGGCACCCACCCACATCAGCGTGTAAAAGGTGCTTTTGGGGCATTGTCTGGCGTCCAGGTTGCCGGCTGCAGGGGGCAGGGCTCTCAGCTGTCCTGTGGCCTTGGGGCACCCAGTGGAAGAAGTTAGATTTTGTCTCACTGAGGACTCATACTCTCTAGCTCTTCTTAATCTGGGAACAGGCATTTTCAGTGAGGTAGGGCTTCCCAGGGGGGAAGTTCCAACACCGTGTGCACAGAGAAGCCTTTCCGTTTACCATCTCTGCCTCTCCGTGACCTCGAAGCCTCAGTAGTGCCCGGCCACCCTGGGAGGCTTATCTGCCTTTCCAGAGTTGTTTTCTCCATGGCTTCCCTAAGTGAGTGTCAGGCAGAAGAGCTGAGAAGTCTAGTGTCATGGGCTGACCAGACCAGAGACTGTCACCTGGGGACAGTGCCCACAGCCTGTGTCCACGTAGGTTGGGATGAGGCCGTGAGCCTTGAGCACACCACTTTTTCAAAAAACCCCACAGCAGTGCCAGGCATCTGGCTGAGTGGAAGGGCAGAGCCAGGTCCCAGAGTGCAGGGCAGCTCTTGCACCCTCTGAGTTGGGTCATGGCCCTTGTGACCCCCCCCACTGATCACCCTTAAGAGCAGTGCTGACCAGCCCTGGCTGGTGGCTTCTTTGTCAGGTGTTGGTGGTGGCCCACTGGGCCCACCCCTCCAGCAGCCACGTGCGGTCTCTTGTGGGGGCCTGTGTCCAGCAAGTGCTGCTATGGTGTTGGGAGGGGTCTGGCAGTTGGTCTTCATGGTTGACTGCACAACCAGCTCTGTGCATCCCTGAAACCTGTGTGTCCTGGTGACATGGACGACACGCTCCCAGGTCTGAGGCAGCATGGCATGTCAGTCTGGCTGCATCAGAGTTGCCTGTGCCACTGACTTCTCGGTCATGAAACAAGGCATTGTCCAGGGGGTTGTGGCTGAGAGGCAGGCCACTGTGTTCTCTGGCCGTGGTGAGGTGAGGTGTGCTGGGCTCGCTTGACTAAGGGCCGCTGTGTGCCTGAGTGACATGAAATCAAACTTCTTCCACTGGGCGCTCTAAGGCCACAGGAGAGCTGAGCCCTGCCCCCTGTTTCCCACACATGAAGGGTGGTGCAGGCATCCAGTGGTCGCTCTCAGTTCTCAGCATCCCTCTCATTGTAGGACAGAGCCCAGGCCGTCCTCCAGAACGAGGTGCAGCCATAGACAGGTGGTGTTCTAGAGGAGGCCATGGCTTATGGTACTGCAGTCTCTGCTGTCATTGTCCCCAAGCCTCTGTCCTAGAGCCCACATTCCTGGTCTGCTGCGTACAGACCAGCCCTTGTTCTCAGAGGACACGTCCATGTCCCTGGCTTCTGCATGCAGGTCCTGCCCTGCCCTGCCCCTGCTTCACCCCAGGTCCCTCGGCCTGAGCTGCTCGAGAGGGGCTCCTTTCTGGCTTGTGGCATGTTGGGCACTGGTGCCCTGCCTGCCCTTTGTCTTCAGTGGATCTGCTGGTCCCTTCAGCCCGATCCAAGCCCACTGTGGGACCAAGAAAGGTCCAGTGTCCCTGGACACCCTGCTTTCATAAAGCCTCAGCCCTCCAGTGCCCTCTGCAGGCCACTGCGTGGTGCACGTCCCACTCACGCCTCCCTTTTTGCAGGTACATGTCCCAAAGTAAGCACGCCGAGGCCCGGGAGCTCATGTACTCAGGAGCGCTGCTGTTCTTCAGCCACGGCCAGGTGAGGTGCTCCTGCCTGAGCAGGAAAGGAAATGGGAGCGGTGAGGAGAGGCCTGGTGGGGCACCACACTGCCCTTGGCTCTGTCCCTGGTTGTGGGCGCTTTGCTCTCTTCTCCAGGGATGGTCGGTTTTGCACATTGCTCGTCCGTGTGCAGAGCAGATGTCTGTCACTGTCCCCATGGCCAGTGTCCGCACGTGAGCAGCTATATCTCTGCTGTTCTGAGTGAATCTGGCCTTAGTTTCTGACGTTTGGCTTTGGTCTTTCTGTCTGTCTTGCAGCAAAACAGCGCTGCAGACTTATGCATGCTGGTCCTGGAGGCCCTGGAGAAGGCGGAAGCAGACGTGGGCGACGACTTACTCGGTGCGGGCCTTGCTGGGGGGTGCGGTGCCCTGAGTCTCTGCCCCGCAGGCTGCCAGGGTGGCTGCTAGTGCCGGCCTCCCCAGGCCCTTCACTTCGTCCGTGCCTGCCTGTGGGTCCCTGGCGCTGTGGGATTGCTGCTGTGGTGGGTGACTCCTCAGCCACAGTGACCGTGCCACCTGAATGCCCCAGGCATGTGGCTAGTGGAATGGGCGTGCAAGCTTTGTTGGGGATGTTCCCAGCCTGCACGGATGCCACCTGCACGTGTGCACAGCAGTTGGCCCCCCAGCCTGCTGAGGTGGGTGCCCTTACCCATCCCAGCCTAGCTCAGCAGTGGACGGGTCAACTGGGGTGACTCTGGACAGCCCAGAACCCAGGGACATGCACAGGACACCCACTTACCCAGCAGGGGCTTCATAAGCTGTGACATGGCTGTGCAGCGGCCCCTTGGGTCTGTGTTTTTTCAGAGAATCTGGCAAAGGTGTTCAGCTTGATGGACCCCAACTCTCCAGAGCGAGTGGCCTTTGTGTCCAGAGCCTTGAAATGGTCCAGTGGGGGTTCTGGGAAACTGGGCCACCCCCGACTCCACCAGCTGCTGGCCCTCACCCTTTGGAAAGGTAGGCCTGGGGCCGGGCATGTGTGGGGACGGGAGCCTGGCTGGGCCGAGCTCTCTGAGGCTCGTCCTCCAGGGTGGCACGTCTGCTGCTGACAGGGAGGAGAGGACTCCAGGTGATGTAGGTCAACTTTGCCCTTGCTGGCTGAACCAGATCTCTCTGCCTATGGCACCTCCACGGTGGCTCCAGGGCGCCTGTCGGTGGGCTCTTGACTTCAGGCCCCTATCTCGCAGAGGCCACAAGCCCCATGGTTTCCATGCCTTCCTCCTCTGGACCAGCCTTTTCCCTGTAGCCCTTCTTTCACCTCATTTCTGGCAAGGCGATTGTGGGAGTATTGGCCCTGTGAGGGTTGTGGGGTGGCTGATGTTCTGGGTCTGGCATCCTTGGGGCTCCTGAGGGCCCTGGCATAGGACAACACTCTTGCCCTCAGCAGGTCTTTGCCTCTGCGGTCAGCATAGGCAGCCGCACCTGCCATGGCCACCCATTCTGGGAGATGACGCTGCGAGGGGCATAGGAGCACCCTCCTTCGCTGAGCCCCAGAAAGTCAAAGGTCTGGCCAGAGGTGACGCACATCCCTCCAGAAAATGGGCAGAGCGCATTGTGAGCGGGCCTCAGGTGGCCACTCCTCCAGCAGCTGCTGTGGTCCACATGCATCCATCCAGCAGACAAGTCTGGGTGTCCACGGGCCAGGCACCTTGGACATGAGTAGCACTGCTGTGCAACTCCATTGTGAGGCAGAAGCCAGCCCTGGAGACAGGCTAGGGGAGGGGACCATCTACCTTGTGGGGTGGGGTTGAGGTGCCACCTGTTCCCCTCCTCGGTGCCTGGCACACCGTGCCTTGTGACTGAGAACATGCAGATTTCAATGACTCAAAGCCCAGACACTTCAGGGAACCTGTCCTCTCCCCAGGACCCTGCCAGCAGTGGACACCTGCAGCTTGGCTCCTTTCTCCTGCCCTCCCCATTCCTTCAGGGTGAAGCCACTGTATGGCCGCCTTCCACCCTGACCTGAGGAGGGCACTGCAGAGCTTCTGCTGCCTTTCTGGAGGCCAGATCCTCCTGTACTGCCAAGAGCAGGCTGTGCCACTTCCTGTCTGCTGCCTGCTCCATGGGTCAGGCCTCCTGTTGTGCATGCAGCCACCCAGGAGATGTTCTAGTGAGATGGGCTTGGATGTCCCATCCAGTCTGCAGTGCTTCCTGCCCACTGAGAATGGGGCACAGTGTCCCTGCGACCATCCTGAGAACAGCCAGTGTGGTCGCTACCCTCTGGGGATGGGCAAGGAGCTGAGACCTGGGCCATAGCTGCTCCAGGGGACGTTGTTGCAAACTGAGCACCCCGAGCAGGGTTGGTGGTCATCACTGCCCAGCTGGTTAACGTTTGGTTAACCTGCAGGTGTCTGGACTGAGAATCAACTTACTCGTTGCCCTGATCTTTTCCCCATGGAATTCCCAAATGCCAAAAGGCCTAGAGTGGGAGGACCTCACAGGAGTTGGGCCCAGGACCAGGGGCCTGAGGTGGTAGAGTTGGAGGACCCTTAGGGTCTGTCTGACTTTTGGGATCCATGGAAGAAAGAAGGAGCTTGGCCTTAGGGTTACTGTCATGTTTGTCTCTCCTCCCCCTCCCTCCCCTCCCTCCCCACCACAGACTGGGGTTTTGATTCTGGTCTCTTGCTTGCTAGGCACGTACCCTGCATTCTATGCTGACCACACCTGCAGTCTCTGCTTTACTTGTTTTTTGGTGGCACTGGGTGTGTGAGGGGGTTGAACTCGGGTTCTCAGTTGCTAGGTAGGCATTCTACTTCTTGAGCTACTCCTCCAGTGCATTTTTTGCCCTGGTTATTTTGGAGATGGGGTCTCACAATCAATTTCTCTGGTCTCAAGCTATAATCCTCCTGATCTCAGCTTCCCAAGTAGCTAGGATTGTAGGCGTGAGTCACTGGTGCCCAGTTTTATTTTTGAGAAAGTGTCTCACACTGTTGCCTCACGTAGCGACCCTCCTGTCACCTGAGTCACCTCGACAGCTAGGTCCTTGCTGTTATCCACGGAAGGCCCATGGTTAGGAGGAAGGCCGGTGGTCAGGGTTTTGTTTTGTTGCCATGGCATCTGTGTTTGAAACAGGCAGGGCATTGGTGGCCTCTGGGATGCACACAGTGGTTCCCTCTCCCCAGCCTCTGAGTCAGGACGGGAGGGCTGCTGAGATGGAGCTGCTGCACATGGCCTCCCCGTGCAGCTGTTTGGCCTGAGCACCGCGTGGCTGAGGCAGCTGTGAGCAACTGCAGATGGCCGCCTCCTGCCTGGTCAGCTGGGGCTTAGCAAGGACGGGGAGTGTGCACGGGAGGTGGAACGGTGACATCCACAGCACCCTCGTTCCCACGAGCGTGTGACTGCAGTGTTTTCTTTGCCTTTGCAGAGCAGAACTACTGTGAGTCCCGGTACCACTTCCTGCACTCCGCAGATGGCGAGGGCTGTGCCAACATGCTGGTGGAGTACTCCACTGCCCGTGGCTTCCGCAGCGAGGTGGATATGTTTGTGGCCCAGGCCGTGCTCCAGTAGGTATTCGGCAAGACTGGGACCTTTGTGCCGCCAGTGGCTGCCTCATCCCAGCTGTGCCCTGCTGGAGGGGACTCAGGCTCACGCACCCTGGTGGAGACGGGTTTATAACAGTCCCGGGCACCTGGCTGGGTGGGAGCTCACTTCCCCGACTACTACCGCAGTGCACAGACAGCTGCACCTGCACTGCCCTGGCCTCGGCCCTTGGTGCCAACCCGTGGGCCTGCAATCTGGCTTCAGGCCTTTTCACCCTCTCTGCCACCATTTGTGTTCAAAGTTGGAGTATCTGGTAAAGCCGATGGGCTGTCTGCATCCCCCACTAGCTCCTGCTCAGGGCGCCTGCGTCCACAGACCTCAGCCCTCCCCCTTCTCAGGAACAGCCTTCACCTGTGATCAGGTGTTTGCACCTACAGGAAAACCTTGCTTTGCAGGTGGGTGGTGGGAGAGTGAACTTGAGGTGGGGCTCGTTCCCAGCCTCAGCAACATCTGTGATTTTAAACAGAAATTGTTCAACGCCCAAGGCACAACGGCCTGGCTCTGTCATGTGTCTGGCTGGCTGTTTTTTTCTGGGCTGAACTTGGTACTGGCCAAGGCCTCTGTGCCCTTTCCTTGGTCCCTCTGGGGCTGCTCTGGGCAGTATCCTCCTTGACCAGAAGCCTCCAGAGCTTCCCACCTTCCAGCACAGCATCAGAGTTTGCAAGCTGTTTTCCTCCCCGGCCCTATGGGAGAAAGCAGAGGCCACAGGTCAAATGGTCCAGCAGACACGGCTCTGCCCTTGGGCAAGTGTGTCTCCTTCCAAAGGTTAATCTTCCTCACCTGGGGCATTGCCCCGCCCCACCCTGCCCCAGCCCGCTGCAGTTGTGGTCTCCATTAGGCCTGCAGGGGCACTGGACTACGTCCTGTGTGGCCTTCCATCCTGTAGTGCACATGGGAGTCTGGAAACAAGTCCTTCCCTTCTGTCCAACACCTGGGTTCTCACTTCCAGGTTTCTGTGTTTGAAGAACAAGAGCAGCGCATTGGTGGTCTTCACCACATACACACAGAAGCACCCGTCCATCGAGGACGGGCCGCCCTTTGTCCAGCCCCTGCTCAACTTCATCTGGTTTCTGCTGTTGGCCGTGGATGGGTAAGTCCGTCCATCCAGGGAGGTGGGTGTGCCTGGTGCCCATGGTGTCGTGTGGCTCTCACTGGCCATGGCCTGGTTTCTTGTTGCAGTGGCAAGCTGGCCGTGTTCACGGTGCTCTGCGAGCAGTACCAGCCATCCTTGCGCAGGGACCCAATGTACAATGAGGTGAGGCCTCGGTCCACCACCCAGCTGGGTGGCCCTGTCTGTCCGCTGCCTGGTGACCCATGACCTCTGACCTCTGCTCTGTCTCTTGCAGTACCTCGACAGGATAGGACAGCTCTTCTTTGGTGTGCCGCCCAAGCAGACATCTTCCTACGGAGGCTTGCTCGGTGAGCCACAGCACCGCACTGGGGGCCGGGGTTCTGACCTGGTGTGGCAGGCCGGCCACCACAGCTCACGCCTGCTTCACTAGACGCCCTTCGCAGATGGCCGAGCACTTGAGCTGCTGTACCACGATGGGGCAGCGTGCAGCAGCTCCTGCGTAGAAATAGTTATGGTCTTTGTTCTTTTTGCCTTTGGTGGCACTGGGGTTTGAACTCAGGGCCTCACTCACACTTGCTAGGTAGGCGCTCTACCACTTGAGCCATTCCAGCAGTCCTACACATTCTGGTGTTTCGGGGTTTTTTTTCCTGTGCTGGGGATGGAACCGGGGACTTGGATACTACCAGGCACATGCTGTACCTCTGAGGTGCATCCCTGGTCCTTCCATTTTATTTTTGAATATTGAGTCACATTTGTCCAGAACTCTTCAAGTACCCACCTCGCCAAGTGTCCTTGGAGGGCAGGCTCTTTACCATGGGCTGGGGGCTCCGTGGGTGTGGAGCACATGCCCTTCTCCTCAGTGGTGCCAGGTGACACCCCCCCCCCACACACCCCGGCACGGTCAGGCATCCCTGGGTGTGCAGAGGACACCTTGCGCTGTGCTGGATGGAGGACCTGCGGACGAATGGTCTTCGGGCTAACGGGTGTGACTTGGGTAGAGATAGCCAAATCGCCCTCTGTGACTCAGGCTTCCCTGTGAGATGCTGGGCAATTGCTTTCCTGTCTGTGCCTTTTTCTTTTTTTTTAACGTTCATCTGGCCTTTGGTTGTGGACGCTGTGAGCAGAGGTGCCTGCTTCTCTGTTGTGGTCTATGGTGGAGTGGCACCGCCTTGGTCTCCCTGAGCTCTGCAGTGGCCCTGGCAAGCTGGCCCAGGCTGCATGGCAGGTGTCTCACCTGTGCTCCTCACTCAGCTTGGGATGACGTGCACAGTGGTCATTCCCGTCAGGCTGAGCCTCCCCCATACTGCTGGTTCACTGGTGGGAGCATTAGAGCTGCTGCATCCCCAGGTCACCACTGTGTTTCTTGGGGCTGAGGGGATGTGCAGGTGAAGGAGCTTCTGCCATCCCAGTCCTCCTGGCTGGGTCACTGCACCCAGAGTGTGCAGGACTCCTACCGGCTCTGCCTCCCTCAGTGCTTTACAGACTTTGAGGCATCAAGTTCGGACAGATAGATACTGCCTAAGTCCACCGCCGTGGACAGATAGATACTGCCTAAGCCCACCGCCGTGCCAGGGTGACAGCTTCTCAGCACAGCATTTAGCTGCGTCTGTTTCAGGAACACAGGGACACACGTGCTGGCAGCTTCCTCTGGCTTGGCCTCTCGGGTGCTGTGGGATTCTCCCTCTGGCTGCATAGTCCCCTGTTGGAGGCTCAGGGTGTGAGTCGTGCAGGGGCGTCGCTGGCCACATGTGCTCCCAGCACTGCAGCCCACATAGCCCTGGTCGGAGTTCTGGGTGTGGGCTTGGTGAGCTCTGCCCTGTGGAGCACCTGGGCCCATGGCAGCTGTGCTCCTGGGTGGGCAGGGAGGCCTAGTGCAGGGCGCCACCCTGTGCTGACCACCGTCCTGGCTGTGCCATCTCCTTCTAGGCAACCTGCTCAGCAGCCTCATGGGCTCCTCCGAGCAGGAGGAGGGTGAGGAGAGCCAGGACGACAGCAGCCCCATCGAGCTGGACTGAGCCGGCCTGCGTGGAGGCACCACGGCCAGCACCACGGTGGACGGTTTCAGTGCGAGGCCTGGAATGCGGCCCTTAACCCCGTGGGCCCTTTGACGGGAGCCACCTTTGCGGAGCCTGCCCTATTTACGTACGGTGGCTGAGGGCCACACGGCCTGCCTGTCGCTGTGTGGCCGGGCCCCTGCCGCCCACCGTGTTCTTCAGATCACCCACAATAAAACACAGGCCTTGCTGCAGCACCCCGCTGCCGTCCTTGTCTCTGGTTCCTTGGGGAGGGCTGCGGGGTGACACGGCGGCCTGGTGTCAGGGACTGGACAAGGTGTGCTTGGCATCCTCTCACCAGTGTCCAGCACAGCCAGGGTGAGAGCCACCCGCACTCTTAGGTCCTGTGGGTGAGCAGGCTTCTTGTCTCATTTTGTTCAGACGTGGGCTCATGGAGCAGTGGGATGGGGGTCCTCGGAGCCGGCTGCTGCCTGCGTGGTTTGCCTGGTGTGGCCAGCCAGGCTGCTGGGTGTGAGCCCAAGCCTCGGCCCTGTGGCCCCTGCTGCCGCCCTGCTGGCCTCACTTTTAAAGGGCACTGCAGACTTTGTCACGTCCTTCACCTCCTCACTGGGTGATGAAGTCCTTCAACCCAGCACTTCAGGATTTAACCAAATAACAGTCCAGGAACGACCAGCTCCGCCCTTTACCGCTGAGGAATCCACGCTGCCAATACAATTACAAAGGGAAACACTTTATTTTTTCACAAAGTAAGAGTTTCGGGTCATGCATGGGAGGGGAGATACACCTTATTTACTGTGAAAATGGAACTTGAAGGCTGTGTCAACTGTTGAGTATAAATAAACCCTTTGTACTGGGCTCTGCGGCTGGTCCTTTCTGAGTGGGCTCTGGGCCTCGGGCAGGTGGGGGTCAGCTGTGGGGTCCCTGCTGCTGGGCCCGGCCCCGCCCTGCCCTGCCCTGCCGAGCACGCACAGCCTTGGGGGCTCCTGGGTGTGCTGGGGCTGGGCCTTGGGGGTCCTGGGAGAAAGTTTGTCCTGCGTGTGTTTTCCAGGGTTTGTCCAGGTTGCCTCTGTGGAGACAAAGTGGTCAATGGCCAGAAAGTGTCACAGTTCACTTGGCTGTGATTTTAGGAATGAATGTTGGTTTACTGAGCTCAAACCCACCAGGTTACAGGTGTCACAGTATCAGAGAGCTGGGGGCTGTGCCAGAGGGAGGGAGGGAGGCCCCGAAGGGGGCGCAGGGCACAAGACAATGGGGCCTGCTGGGCCAGGCTGGGGCCCCTTGCTGGGAACCTGCTTTGAAACCATGATTGGGTCCTGACCGACTGACGCGTTGGGAACACGTTGAGCAGAATCCAAGTTTTATTTGTGTGTGATTTTGCTCGGGTGAACACAACAGGTGGCTGGAGCCAGACACATGCTGTACACATGCTGTTCCCCCTGCTGGTGACCCTCCCACCCATGCACACCTGTGCTGTCCCCTGCAGGTGGCATGGCACAACTGCCACATGCAGACCTCAGGACGTCTCAAGGTAAAGCGCTGTGTTCTGTGGTGTATGTGTGCTTGTGACCATCCAGCATATGAGACAGCCCCGTCCCATGGCCCTCGTGACATCCATGTCAGGCCGGGCAGCACTCTGTCCTCTGGCAAGGGGCAGGGTCCCGTGGGTTTGTGTTTTTGTCTTTGAGAAATCTTCCCCACTAGTTACAAATTTGTCCTGTGTGGCCAGTGCTGTGGGGTTCGTGGTGCCTGTGACACTTGCACCCTCACTGTGACGTGGGCCGGCCTGGCCCCACAGTGAGGTGGATGCAGCAGGTCTGGGTTCCATTTCTGACCCAGGCCTGGTCCTCCTGCCGTGGGTGGCTCAAGGGTTGCAGCTGAGGACTTGGGCTTTTACAGAAGGTGCGGCCAGGCTGCCCGGTGAGCCTGACCAGGCAGCCCAGGTGTCCTGAGTGGTGAACAGAAGGGACCCTACTGGTGTCATCACCAACCTGGGCTTGGGGACCCCTGGGTGGGGTTGGGTGGTCTTTGCCTCCCAGGTCCCCAGTTTCCTCATCTGAAGAGGAGGCCAGGGTGCGGCTCAGTGGGAGAGGCTTTGTCCAGCAAGCACAGAGCACGGGAAGACACAGGAAGCAAAGCAGACAGGAGGTGGAGGGGCCCTGGCTGAATTCAGGGATGGTGCCTGACCCCGTGCTGGACGGGACCCCTAGAAATAGCCAGGACGGGCATGGGCTGGGAGGACGCCTGGGGTACAGCCTGGGGGCCTGGGCCTTGGTGGGAGACCTAGGAACCGCCACCTCTGGGCTGTGGCTCTCTGCTGGATGGGCAGGTCCTGAAAGGACCCTCTGGGGTCCGCAGGACCAAGTCGAGCCAGCTCTATAGGGGTCCTGCTGTGAGAGCTAAGGTTACTCCTGTGTCCCTTTCTGGTGTCCCCAGCTCCACCCCACCCTTCCCCAGCCTCCAACACGCAGATGGGAACATACTAGAGCCACACTTTATTCCAGGACGTGACACAGGGCAGCAGGACACCCAGCCTGAGAAACCCTCTTCCAGCTCCCCAAGGTGCAGCTCAGCCAGACAGGGCCAGGTCCATCCGGGCCACCCAGGGGTGGTCCCCATCCACACACTCCAGCCGGCCTGTTGAGCTAGCCAGGACCTGCTGTGCGGGGTTCCAGAAAAGGGGAGCCCAGCTGTGCAGGTGACCAGGAGCAGCACAGGAAGGACATCAGGGAAGAAATAAAAACAGGTGGCTTTAACTACTGGCCTGCCAGCAGCAAGAGCGGGGCCCTGGTGGGGTGGGGAGCTGGGCTGCAGGGTCACCCCTGCCTGTGGCGACCTCTTGGGGGTTCCAGCCAGTGTCCTCACAGGGTTCAAAGGCCACAGGTCAGGGCTGAGCACCGAGCTGGGCACGCGGGGTACCCACGCTCAGACAGAAGCCTCGCCGCCTCCTGGAGCTGGGCCCTGCGATGGCGCCCGGCGGCCCCTGGCCAAACTCCTCCCTGAGGCGTCCTGGGAGCACTTTGTGCTCGCTGTTGTCCTGGGAACCGCCCAGCAGCCCTGGCTGGGCAGCTGGAGGACAGAGGAGACTGTGTTCCACCCCGCTGTGACCCACAGCAGGTGCTCAATAAATACTTGAGGTGGGGGAGGGGGGAGACATGCGGCAGGTCCCAGAGTGAGTCCCCAGCAGCCAGGCCAGCCCTCGGCCACTGCTGTCCACAGCAGCCCAGCCCGCGGTCCTGCCCCGAAGCCCAGGAGTCCCCTCGGGCTGGGCTGGGCAGCAGGAGGGTTAGTGGGGGCGTCCAGCGGGCAGGGAGGTGTGCGGGTCAGCAGCAGCACGGTTGGGTCCACCTGCAGTGAGGTTCCGGAGTGTCACGTCCCAGCGGCCACAGCCCGGGGCCCCCTGGCCGCGCCCAGGCTCCCCACGGTCCAGCGCTGCCCCACGGCCACACGTGAGCTGAGTTCGGTGTCTCGGGTCTCCACGCCACCCCGCTAGGGTTTATGCTTGAAGTGGGCCTCCACTGGAAACAGGAAGAGGGTCCGGCCTTGTCCAGCTGCCACGCTCGGCCCTACCCTCGCGGGCCGAGGTCAGGCTGACCCCTCACCTGCGTACTCCTGGGGCAGCATGGGCCGGTCCACCACCCTCTGGAAGGCCTCCACCCACTCCCTCTGCTCCGCCTCGGTCTCGCAGGTGAACAGGAACTTGCGGTCGGGCGTGACGATGGTGATGCCGTGCGGCCAGTGGTGGCCCTGCGTGGACGGCGGGAGGCCCTGCAGCACGGTGTAGCCGCTCTCCTTGCTGCCGATGAAGACCTCGCCTCGGGCGAAGGCGTCCTGCGCGTGGGACAGGCTGGAGTGGCAGGGGGCGACCTCCGCTCCCATCCCCTCCCGCCCACCTGTGCTCAGGGAGACCGGAGGCCAAACCCGCGCCTCCTCGCCGCCCACGCTGGACGCGGGTCAGGAGCCCGGCCTCCCGCGGGTGAGGCCGGCCAGGCCTCCTTACCAGCGGGTCCTTGAAGTACATGAGCCTCCGGTCATCCATGGTGAACCATCGCTTCCGAAACCCTTCTGTCTGCTGCGGAGTGCGGAGGCCTGGTGACCAGCCGGCCGGCCAGAGCCCCTCCAGGGGGAGCACGGACCCCATTATTCCAGGCCTTGCATGGCACCTGTGGAGCGTCTGTCCCTCCCCCGAAACCATGTGCCCAGTGGCTGGTCCCCAGTGAAGAGGGCCAGCGGGCAGGCGGCAGGGACCAACCAGGAGCCCAGGACAGTGGGCTCCATTCGGGGACCAAAGCCCGAACAGACAAGGGGTGCAGAGCCCACCCCGAAGCCCAGGCCACGCAGGAAAGTGACGGCTGAGAAGGGTTGACCTGGGAGGGCGGCCAGCACCCCAGCCTGCGTCCGGCATGCCCTCCCGCAGTGACCCTCCTGACCCCCCGCGCCCTGGCCACCTGCGGACCCACCTTGGGCCCTGTCTTCTCCATGTAGCCTTCCTTCAGGTAGTTCCGGGACAGCTTCGGCACCAGCTGGGCAGAACCTCGTGGTCAGTCCCGGCCCTGCCCTCCGTCCCCTCCCCGTCCTCCGTCCACTGAGGCTGAGCGGAAACTCCCCAGAGCCAGCAGGACAGTGTGGCCCCTGGGCAGCCTCAGGCCATTTCTGGGGCCCTGGGATGCCTGTGGTCAGTCCTCACCCACCATGGGCTCAAACCCATCCCAGACTAGGGGCCAAGAGGACTGAGATGACCACCTCCTGCGTGTGCGTCCCCACCCCATGCCCAGTGACCCCAGGGCAGCTACTCACGTCTGCATCGCTGGCCCCTGGGAAGGCCACCTGCAGGTAGTGGAAGCGGGCAGCTCGCAGCGCGTTGAACCAGTCCACGATCTCCTGGGGGCCGAGGCTCGGTGAGGGGGTCCCCGGGCCCAGCCTCCCCCAAACCTCCTGGACCCCTCCACCCCTCAGCTCAGCTGGCCCCATGGAGGACTGGCGGCTGGGCAGAGACCGCAGGCAACCTAGAGACCAGGGCAGGGCTGCACAGAGAGCAGGGGACGGGGTGGGAAGGGGGGGTGACATCGAGCTGCCCCTACCCCAGGACACTGTGCTGGCCACCTCTCTCCTTCTGTAGCCAGCACTCACCCCGCCCAGCCCTGCATGTCCTCCCTGCAGTCCTAGCTGCCCCCTCGCCACGCCCCGTCCTCCTCCTCAGCCAGCACTCCTGATGTCCCCGTGCAAGGTCCTTCCTGTGCCTCTGGCCTCCTGTCCATCCCTAGGACTAGATGACCCAACCATTGCTGCCGACACCTGACCAAGCCGGGGCCAGGTCACCTGTGCCTCCTCCCTGGGCTCTGCCCGAGAGCCTGACCCCTGCCCTAAGGCTGCGCCCTCCAAGCCCGGCCAGGCCACCCGCCTGCCCTCCCAGAGCCTTGCCGACCCTCCCTGCAGACCCACTCGCCCTGCTGGCCAACCTGGACGTGGGCCCTTACCACCCCACTCCCAGATTCTGCCCACCATGGCCGCTGCCCCCTGCCGGGCCGCCTGGCTTTCACAATGCAGCCTTCTCTGGTCTCTTCCTACCAGGGCCGGGTGCGTCCACCCTGCAGGCCACAGCCCTCCAGGGTCTGCTCTGTCCTCATGGGGTGGCCCAGAGCCAGCCTGGGACCTGCCCACTGTCCCCGGGACCCCAGCTCGTCCATGGCTGTAACTCATTCCGCCGAACACCTGGCCCTTCTCTGCTGCCTGGCGGGCAGCCCAAGGCCAAAAGAGTGGGCAACGGGTGCAGCTGCCCCCGGCAACGCCTGTGGAGCCCGGGAGACCTGACCACAGCGCGGGCCCCATGGCCGCGGCCTCCCCCCCTCCAGAGGCCCAGCCTGGCTCTGCACTGGGCGTGGGGGCACCTGAGGGACCCACCACGCTGCCCGGCGCCCACCTTCCCGTCCTCGTGGTAGACAAAGATGTTTCTGGTGCTGTTGTCCTTTAGGTAGGTGACCTGCAGGCCGTGCGGGTGGCCTATCTTAGCTGGCTGGAAGGTGGCATTCAGGTGCTCAATCTTCATGACAGCCTTGGGCTCCTTGGCCTGGGAAGTAAGGTCCGGCGTGAGTGCCGGGCAGGGGCTGTTGTCCACACTCGAGGGACAGGACGGTGGACTCTGGAGGCCTGCAGCAGGGCCACCGTGCTGTGTGGCCTTGGGCAAGTTACTTAACGTCTCTGAGCCTCTGAACCCAGCCTGTGAATCGAAGCTAAGCGTCACTCTCCCCGGAGATGAGGAGGACTCACGTGTGGCCACTTGACAGCAGGACGGATCCCTGCCTGTGCCCTCGAGCAGCCCACCCCCCGTCTGTCTGTCTGTCTGTCTGCCCCCACGTCCTCTGCCCTTCTCTCCCCTCCCTCTGCACAGGGCTTTGCAGTCTGCTGTGCCAGTGCTCTTGGTAGGGGTGGCTGGGCAGTGACACGGCCAGCTGCTCCCTTCCCGTACCCAGGCCCTGGACACCGCCCTCTCCCCACCGGCCAGGACCTCAGCTGTGCCGTGTGGCCCTGGGGTCGCGCAAAGATGCCTGCGAAACTCACAGCAGTCAGGCCGCAGGCCCCTGGCCGTCTGGACTGTTCCTAGCCACTCTTTCCCCTGTCCCCAGGCCACCCATGGATGGGCGGGGGCCTCGCTGGCTACAGAACGGTCATGTGGCCAGCCTGCCCCCCGCTGGGCCTGAGCCCGGGCTGAGCACCGAGGCTGGACGTCCTCCGGCTTTCTGCAGGAAAAGGAGGCAGGTCCTTGTCGCCCCCAGCTAGCCGAGCATGGCTCTGGCTCACGGCAGGCTGTCAACAAACACTGGAGGAACGGGGAACCGGGTGGAAGGGCAGGTGCCCAGTGTCCCCAGTCCAGAGGTTCCAAAGAAAGAGTGACCCCGTGGACGGGTGGTGTGGCCCCGGGGAGGAGCCCATCCCTGGACGGCGTCCGTGCAGAGCAGGGTTCACTCACATTTGCACACCTCACTCGTGCCTTAGAGGTGACACTTCTGTCACCCAGCAGGCCAGCGGTCACCTGCCTCCACCTGTGTCCCTGCTCGGGGGGGGGTCAGTCCCACCCCGGTCCCAGGTGACCTGGAAATGAGTGTCCTGTGGCTGCCTACCCCACCTAGGGCTGTAGGGTGCTGGGCACGGTGACCGCTGAGCAGAGCCCTTGTCCCTGTGTCCATCCTGGCCTGGGACCTCCCGCCAGGAGAGGCCCCTGCCCTGCACCATTCCCAACAACCTGGGCCTGGCTCTAGGAGGCCCAGGGGGTGACAGTGGTCAGGGGTGGACGGGGGGATGGACCCACCGTGTGTCCTCACGGATGCCCTCGTGAGCTGTGGCTCCTGGGTGGCTTGGCTGACCTGAAACTCCTGCCACCCAGGACCCACGGCCGGCCCAGCAGACCCCAGGCGAGGACGGCGAGGACACTGGCCAGGGACGGTCCCCCACCCTCGCCCCTGCCCCACCACTCACGTCGTTCTTGTTGAAATACTTCAGGGCCCCCTCTCGTTCGGTCAGCACAAACTTCCGGCTTAAAAACTGCCCGTTGTCCCTGCCTCGCTTCCAGAGAAAGCCCTCGCGGTACCCTGGGGGAGGAACGGGCACAGGGAGCGAGTGGGACACCAGCCAGCTGGCCTTGTCCCACTCCCGGGACCCTCGGTCACCCTGGGGGCCACAGGCAAGAGCCACGACAGGAGGCGCAGGACTGATCTGTCTGGCCCCGCACATGGGCGGTGACCACTGCTCTGACCACAGCCCCAGTGTCCTCTCGGGTCCTCACACCGGGGCGTGTCACCTTGGGCTGCACAAGGACCTCGGGATGGGAGACAGTCCAGGGTGGCAGGTGGCCCAAGGTCATCACTGAGAGGTGACGATGGAAGCCAGGCGGAAACAGACGGGGTGACCAGCGACTTGGTCCCTGGGCCTCAGAGCCACAAGGACCCTTCCCAGAGTCCCGGGGCCAGCACTGCCCACTCCTGGCCGTTAGCCTGGGGACTCACTCTGGAGTCACTGACCCCAGAGCGCAGGCTTCAGGCGCTGCGTGTGGCAGAGGACGTCCACTCGAGGTCAGCACACGGGGTCTCTCCAGCCCCTCGTGCCCCTCCACTGCCGGGCTTCCCTGTGCCGGGGACGTCCCCATCTGTCCCCCTCCTTCTGTTTGGGGGACGTGCGGTCAGCCCCGTGGGATCTTCCTGGGCCGCTGTTCTCTGCCCTGTCAGCCATGGCGGGCAGCCCGGCCGCGCGGTGGGAACGTGACCTTCATCCAGGGGACACTCGGGTCCGAGGACTCTTTCTGGGTTCCAGGCGTCTTTCCTTGCGGACGAGGGTCCTGCTGCTCACCTGGTCAGGGAGCCTGCGAGGTGTCACCCAGGGCACCTGGACAACACGGCCACCGAGGCGGTGCCAAGTCACCGTCACCATCCCACACTGAGTCACCCCACGGCCCGGCCGGCTCACCTTTCTGAGGCCGCCCCTCGGTTCTGACCACCCCAAGACCCTCTCACGGCGTCCCCTCAGCTGCCCGGCAGCCCTGTTCCCGTCACCAGAGACAAGGGGCTGTTTTCTCCTCCCTCTGACACACGGAGCCATAGAAGGGCGGCAGCCCGCTGTCGGGAAGGAGGCGGCCGGCACCGCTGGGACCATCGTCAGCCAGCCTGGCCGGGGATGTCCCCGACGGAGCCACACAGGCTGCTCCCTCCTCCGACACTGGAACCCGGCACCTCAGAAGCCCGCAGAGCCGCTGACCTGCCCTTGTCCCCCACTGTGGCAACAGCAGGCAAATCCCTTTGTGCCCTCACGACAAGGCCCCATAGCCTGCCCCGCCCCAAGCCCAAGCAGGGCCACTTGGAATGTTTGTTGACCGACTAATCAAGCACCAAATCTGGACAGTCCACTTGGCTCCTCCTTCTGCATCAGGGCCCAGCCTCTCCAGGTCCAGCACCTGGATGACTGAGTGTGGACACCAAGAAGTGCCAGGAGCAACAAACTGGGCATCACCTCCTGGACACACAGGGCCACAGTGGGCACATTGCACACGCCGGCTCGTGTACACCCAGGACAACCTCCGAGGCCTGTTGCAAAGTGACCCATTTTACAGCTGAAGATCTCAGTTGGTCTGGGGCTGGGTCACCCGGCGCCCAGGCCCAGGCCTGAAGCTGCCACAGGGACACACCTGTCGCCCTGCCATACCCACAGTGCCCAGGAGGTGGCAGCAGAGCCTCAGGCGCGTGAAGGCCGCAGGGCGAGGCCAGCTGGGCACTGCCCCCTGTCCATGGCTCCTGTGGGGTGCAGAGCCCAGCACGGGGCAGCTCTGGGTCCTCCTAGAGGGCACAGGGGATGCGTCCACCGGCCTCTCTGGCCAATCCAACAGGAAGCCTCTGGGACACCTTGTTTCAGGCAAAGTGACAGAAACAGAAGCTGTATTTTCAGATGGGGACAGGCCAGTGTCCCTGGCGTGGTGGACACTGGAGTTTGGGTCTCTCTCAGACCCTCCGCTTCCTTCTCGGTGTGCTGGACAGGGGGCAGCCCAGGGCGGAAAGGCGGCGAGGCTGTGCCCGGCCCCCAACGGGCTGGCAGGAGGACACCTGTCACTGTGGAGTCCACGCTGTGGAGCCTCTTCCTCCACACTGCAGCCCAGTCCTGCTGCACACCCGGGCCACTGTTGTGCACTCAAGGGAACCGAGTTCTCCAGAAAGGACTGGCCAGTCCAGGACAGAGGTCAGTTCACTCAGCTCCCCGCCATGAGGAGCCGGGGTTTGAACTCAGGGCCTCACACTTGCCGGGCAGGCGCTCTACCACTTGAGACACTTCACCAGCCCTCTTTTGTGATGGGGTGTTTTTGAGATCGAGTCCCATGAACTATTTGTCCAGGCTGGAATCAAACCACAGTCCTCCCGGGCTCTGCCTCCTGAGTAGCTGGGATTACAGACGTGAGCCATCGGCACCCGGCTTTGTTTTGTTTTTTTTCAGACAGGGTCTCACTGTGTAGTCCAGGCTGGCCTCGAACTCCAGAGCTTCCTGCCTGTGTGCTGGGATTACAGGTGTGACCACCACAGCCCAGCCCGCCCAGGTTGGCGGTTTCTCACCAAGTTAAACACATACTTATCGTAACCAAAGAGAGAGAGAGAGAGAGAGAGAGAGAGAGAGAGAGGAGAATCTGGAAGTCAAGCACCAGTGCTCTGAGGAGTCAACCTGATATCCGTCAGCCGGGGAACAGGTACTAAGTTGTCATACCCCATGCCAGTGGGGCCACCCTGCCACCAGAGGACAAGCTCCAGTCTCCAGTCTCAGGCAGCACGGCCACGAGCCCTCAGGTGTGTTGAGAGAAAGACAGAGAAGCCAGAGCACGGTGGACACTACGCTGTGACCGCCCACGACCCCGGTCAGGTGGCTGAGACCAATGAGGGGCCGGGGGGGACGGACACCGCAGAGCTTTCTGGCGATCTCACACTCTGGTACCTTACATTCGTCATACTCCGAGAACTGTACTCTAAATAGGTGTAAATTATGCCTTAAAAAATCAGGGCAGGGAGCTGTGTGCTCTGAGGGTGGCAGGAGGCTAGCGGGGCTTGGGCCACACTGCAGGACTCCCACACCATCCAGCATCCCTCACTGGGTGCTGCCTGGATGGACCAGGACAGGGGGGTGCACCAGAGAAACCAAGGCCCTGTCCCCCAGCAGTGCCACCCAGACCCGGTCTGACCTCTGGGTTCCACCTGCTCCTGCTGCCCCCAACAGATATGGGGGGCTTGCCTGTTTCAGGGGGCTCTGCCACCAGGGCCAGTGGCCACACTGTCTCTGCCCACAGGCTCCATCCCCACGCTCACCAGGTCCTGCTGGCCGATTGCCCAGGGGTGACAAGCTGTGTCCCTTCCTGGGACATGTCTTCCCTCAGAGGCAGCACTGGGCAGGCCAAAAGTGTCCAGTGCCAAGGGATGGCTGTCCCCTCTCTGCACTGGCCCTGCTGGACTCCCAAGGAAGATGGGTGACCCAGACTCAGGGTGGGGTAGGTGGGAAGGGCCTGGCTGGTGACAGGGACTTCAGATGACATGTGTCTGGGATGTGTGGTTTTCGGCCTTCAACCTGCTGACACTGGGGTTGCTCAGTAGGGACCCTCGGCGTGGGTGGCCGTGAGCACCCACATTCATTCCTTCCTTCCTTCCTTCCCTTAACGGTCAGCCCCACAGCACGGACCGGGGTCACTGAGTGGCGGGACTCTGGCCTTGGGCTGCTGAGCCGGGTCCCTAGGCCAGGCCCAGAAGAGACCTCTCTGGTGAATCTGCCAGGCAGCCTCCAGGGTCTTGGAGCTGGTTGTGTGACCAGCCTCCCCAGGCAGAGCCGTGGGGACCAGGCTGGGTTCAGAGCTCCCTCCCCACTTCACAGATCCCATCTCCACCCGGGATGAGCCCATCCCAGGTGGAAAAAATGGCCAGGAAGTAGTCACTCCCTCGAGTCCAGCGAGACCCCAGTCCACTGGCAGCCCTGCCTACCAGGACCAGACCAGGCCCCACCCACTCTCAACGCTAAGCTCCACCCACCACCAAGCCACACCCACTCACAGCTCTAAGCCCCGCCCACCACCATCAAGCCACACCCACCAGGTCCTCCAACCAATCACTGAAAAGCCCCACCTCCCCTCACACCAGGACCAACCCCACCCTCAGCTGACGCCCACCAGCCACCCTCTGACCATGAACCCAGCGAGTAGCTCCTGGAGTGCTCCCCATAGCGCCCCTGCGCTGGGCACCATGCCAGCCCCACCACACAGGTGGGGAAACTGAGGCTGACCACAGCCCTGCGCTCACTCTGGGAACCTCAGGTCTCTTATTTGCCCTGTGACATTTAGGACAAAGGTCGAGGAGGAGCAGCCTGGCGCGTCCCTGCCTGGCACAGCCAGGCATCCTCCTCCTTGGGGAGGGGAGACAGGGCCAGGGGCCGACTCCAGAGGGATCTGGTGCCAGGCCTCAGGCCTCTGTCAGAGGCAGTTGGCCTGGACCCCAGACAACAGGAGCCATTGTCTGGGCCCCCATAAAAGGCCCCATTGAGGCTCAGCGGAGGCAGGGCGTGGCCTGGGGAGGGAGCCTGGGCAGCTGTCACAGGGCTACACCCAGCTGCAGGGGTCTCGGGGCCGATGCAAGGACGGAGGGACCACAGCGCCACACACCTCCAGCCTGGGGTGCGGGGCTGGCTTAGGTGCCTCCTGCCCACCCGTGAGCTGGGTGCACAGGGACCACACAGTGCGGGAAGTGGCAGGGCTCTGCTGCCACATGGCTCCAGTGTCCCCACGTGCCACACTCCTGGCCCTAGCAGGAGCGTGGACGCTTGGTGCACCCAGGACAAAGACCTCTCAGACTTCCAACCCACCGTGACTTCCAGGTCACCCAGGAACCACCTGTCTCCACCTGCTGCTCCCTCCGGGTAGCCCGGGCCGGGAAGGGTGCAGGACGGGGTGGGGCGTAGCCACTCCGGGGGTGACACTCTGAAATCAGTGATGGTCGCACAACTCTGGGGGATCAGGTTGGACACGCAGAGTGAAGGCCACACCAGCGTGGTCATCTCAACACCCTCTCAGGACGATGGCGCTGGGGAAACTGAGGCATCCCGCCCCTGCCTCCTGCCCTCCCCGCGGCCCCGTCCCGGGTTTTGTGACACCCCGAGGAGGACAATGGGTCATTTCCTGCACCGTCCGCCGTCTGGGCCGAGGTGAGTTTCCATGTTCTCGGCCGCGGTGACACAGAAAGTGGTTTCTCGATGCACTGGAGGAGGTGGCTCTGTTGTCATGTTCCCGACATCGTCCCTGGGTGTCACCACCTGTCCTTTGTCACTAAGAAGCATGTTTGAGCCACGTGGCCCCTCTGACCTCCTAGCGGGTTTTTCGGTTTTTTATTTGTTTTGTGGTCCTGGGGATTTGAACCCAGGGCCTGGCACATGGTAGGCGAGCATTCTGCCACTCCAGCCCTTTGGTATTTTGTTTCTTTTTTTTTTTTTTGAGACAGGGTTGTGATGACTTTCCCCTGGCTGGCCTTGAACTCGTGACCCTCCTGCCTCTGTGTTCAGAGAAGCCAGGATTATTGGAGTGGCCACTGTGCCTGGCTCTTTGGTCCGTTGTGTACAGCGGTGTGGACGCCCAGAGATGCTTGGCTCCGGTTACAGCCCTGTCATGCTGTCTGGGTCCTCGAGTCGTCCAGCGTTGGCCGTCAGGAGCTTCTGGGACCCCTGGACATGTGTCCCCACCAGGGTCCCTGCTCAGTCGAGGCCTTGAGCAGGTGACCGGCACCAGGTGTCATTGGCCCATCTGCGGTAACCAGCCGTCCGTTCCTGCCCTGCACGGGGCCCAGGCGTCCCTCGGGGTCCTCTGCAGAGCCCCAGGCTTCCTCCCCTCGTCTTGGGGCGGGGGGCCCTTCCCAGCCCTCCATTTCCCCTTTCTCCAGCGGGAGGGACTTCTGCATTTTACAGCGGCCGCAGCCCTGCGTGACAGCGTGGTGAGGGCAAGGCGCAGGAAGTGCCGGGAATCCCCTGGGCGCCCCAGAGGAGCTGTGTGTGTGGAGAGGGGACCCGGCCCAGGGCCACCCCGTCCACCTGCCTGCACTGGGGGAAGGGGAGCACAGGAAGGGGACTGGGCTCCACATTGTCCACCCCAGCAGAGGTCTGGGATGGACGTGGGGGGCAGGCCACCAGGCCAGAAGGTGGTTGGCAGGTCTGAGGGACAGGCTGTGGGTCCCCGACGCTCACTTCAGACCTAAGTAGCAGGTTGTCCCCCACAGGCAGGGCCCCCACTCTCATGCTGGTCACCAGGGAGGTCCCAGTGGCCTCCCCACCACCAGCCCACTGGGGCTTTGGGTGTGCCTGGCTTGTCCCCAGGTGAGGGGAAGGGGGAGGCTGGCAGAAGGGGCAGAGGGGACAGTGACCGCGGGAAGGCTCACACCCAGGTCTCAGGGCGCAGAGGGAAAGGCAGCTGGGGACGGTGGGCAGGACGCACTTTAAAGAAGGGGACAGGCCAGGCGGTGACACACGCCTCTGACCCCAGCCTGCATCCGAGGGCCGAGCTGCCTCCCGGGTCTGGCAGGGCAGGTGCCATGCGCTCAGCTCTGGCCTGTGGAGGCCAGCGGGGCCAGCCGGGCCCTGGCTCTGCTGAGGGATGCCCAGTGACCTCGGCGAGGCTGCTGCCCCCTCTGACGGGTGCTGGGCACATCCACTTCCCTTTTACTGTATCTGTGAGACAAGGTCTCCCTAGGAAGCCCAGGCTGGCCTCAAACTCACAGTCCTCCTGCCTCAGCCTCCTGAGTGCTGGGATTACAGGCGTGTGCCACCACCCCCGGACTGACTTACACCATGTCGCCACCTCCTGCACCTTGAGTGTGACTGAGAGACACCTGGCTCCTGGCACTGACCTCAAACACACATTTAGACGCTGACTCTTGCTCCCCCTCACCACCCTGGGTGCCGTCTCTGGACCTTGCTGCTCTATGTACCCCACCTCTGGACCCCAGACCCCGATTCTTCTCACGAGACCCACGACACCCCATGACAGGGTCACACACACCAAGCAGATTTTCTGGGCATCGCCTGACCCCTCCGCAACCCAAGTGAGGGGTGCTCAGGGCTGAGCCAGCAGGTGAGATACACAACCAAGTCCCCAAAATGCCACTGCCACCCCTAGATCGAGCCGCGCCTCAAGCCATCCCTGCTGCGGGGTCGATCCGTGACTGGCTCAGTTCACCATGGAGCCCGTCTTCCTGCCAGGTTCTGACAGGAGAGGAAAGGCACGTTTGGTGTCGTGGTCAGTGCCTCTGACGCCATCTTGTCACAGGTCACTAAGGCACCCATGCCGAAGACAATGGTCTCCTGGATGACGCAGGCCGGGTTTGAGGCAGGGCCAGCCAGGGGGTGTCGGGGCGCCTGTGGGCTCTGCCTCCCGTTAGCTTCTCATGCCGCCTTGTGCACACGTCACGGTCACCAGGAGAGGAAGGCGGTGGTGTCTGGGGTGGACAGTCGTCCAGTCGTGCGCTGAGTGGAGCAAGGCAAAGAGACCTGGTCCACTTCGGGGACGTGGGAGCCAGTCGGTGGCCTTTGGGTTGGCCCATGGGGAGGGGAGGGGAGGGGACGGCTCCAGTGGCCAGTCCTGTTCACAGCACAGATGGACGGCATTGGTGGAGTCCAGGAAAGTGGCCAAGGGACACAGCTTCCCCCGTGAGGGGTGCGAGGCGGGTCTGAGTGAGTGGGCGGGGGTCTCTCAACGGAGCCCTGCCTGTGCCACGGCCTCTGAGGGTCAGGCTGTGTCCGGGCTCCAGGCGACAAGACGCTCCCTTTTTATATTTGGTGGCTTGTTTTTTGGTGTCTTGAGACAAGGTCTTGCCATGCAGCCCAGGCTGGCCTCAAACTCCCAGTGCTCCTGCTTCAGCCTCCCGAGTGCCGGGATTACAGGCGTGCTCCACCACGCCCGGCTTCAAACACCATTTGTCACAGTCACACCACTTAGTGCAGCCAGCACCGCTGTGTCGTTCCTGACAAACACCCCGTCACCCCACAAAGGAGCCCCACAGCAGGAGCGGATGGACCCTCCGGTCCCTAGCCGGCCTCTGGGTGCACCTCCATGGACTTCAGTATAAACAGAACCTTCCGTGCCCAACTTCTTGTGGCGTGTCCCCTGTGGCGTGTGACAGTGACCATTTGTCCTCTCGCCAGCTGGGGCGGCATCGGGCTGCCTCCACCTGTGGCATCCCTGGGCGGTTCCGCCGTGGGCGTCAGGTGCAGGACTCTGTGTCCCCATCTCGTCCCTCTTCCGGGGACACTGAGGAGCTGCTGGGTCACAGGAAACTTTCTTTACACAAGGGGACACAGGCTGGGCTGGCAGCAGGCTGGCGTCATGTCAAAGGTCACGCTGAGGTGGGGTGGCCCCCCATGCAGGGTGCAGCAGGACCTCCGGGGACCACGGTGGTCTACAGGACGCCCCCGGTCTCGCCTGCTGGAAGGACTCGAGGCTGGGCGGTGAGAGGCGTCATGGGGGGTGACCCCTGTCCCACGCTGAGGGCACGGAGGGCGAAGGGCTCCTGGAGGTCCCCAGTGGCTGTGCTGGCCCAGGGCGAGGCCAGAGGAGCAGGTTGGAGCCACGGGAGCGGTCTCGTGGGGACTCAGAGCCCAGCCGCCCCACAAAGGCCATGGTGGACACCCCAGGAGGCTGCTGTGAAAGTGGACAGCGGGGATCTCCCCGCCCCATGGGGCTGCCCCAGGCCACGGCCCAGGCCCCCAGGCCCTAAGCCCGCCATGTGCCAAAGCCAGCCCACCCAGGCTGCCAATCCACGAGAAGCAGCTAGGATTTATTTTTTTCAGTACTGGGGTTTGAACTCAGGGTCTTCACCTTGAGCCACTCCACCAGCCCTATTTTTTTATGAAGGGTTTTTTTTGTTTTTGAGATGATAGGTTCTCGAGAACTATTTTCCCAGGCTGGCTTCGAACCACGGTCCTCCTGATCTCTGCCTCCTGAGTAGCTGGGATTACAGAAGGGAGCCACTGCACCTGGCTCTTTTTTATTCATGGGTTTTGAACTCGAGTCTTCAAGCTTGCTGGGCAGGAGCCACAGCTCCACCCCATCCAGATTTTAAATGAGGCAGAGTACAAACTGCTGAGTGGCCCAGGGGAGACGATGGCCATTGGCCCGGCCTGGCCGTGCCCTGTGGACCCCTGCAGGGGAGGGGCCCAGGGACCCCAAACACCACACAGGAACTCAGCTAAAGTCAGGAGGAAAACGGGTCGGTACAGTACATGCAGGTTCAAACCAGTGAGCGAGTTAGAGAGAGTTAGAGAGAGACCCGGGCTGGGCGGGCAGCTCACCTGCTGAGTACGGCTCCTGCTTCTCGGGCAGGATGAACTCCTGCCTCTCGTACTTGGCTCGGATCCACTGCTCTCGGAGGAGTCTGGAGAGAGAGGAGGGGACTCAGTGGGCGGCCCTGACCCCAGGGACGCAGCCCCATCCTGGGCACCAGACCCCCAAAATAATCAGTGCCCAAAGCTCACAGTGAGCACGGGGCGGTTCCCCAACTCAGGTGAGGTTCCAGCTCTTCAGATGGAGACTCGGCCACTTTCCTCACCACCCCGCCATCGCGGGGGGACCTTGTTGCCCCCCTGCTCTCTCCCAGTTCCTGACCCGTGGCCCGAGCAGCCAGGGTGACAGGTGGGCACCTGCGCCCCGCCTGCCCAGAACCCTCCCAGGACCCCTCAGGGCTCTACAGTGACGGTCGACCTCGGGGATCCCCCAGTGGCCTGGCCTGTCCCCCAGCTCTGCCTCCTCAGGCCTCAGCACCACCTGTGGAGCTGCTGCAACCGCCAAGCTCAGCCGGACATCCCACTGTGGGGACCTTGGGGCTGTGACCTTATGCACAGCGTCCCCCCACCTCCCGGCCAGGTCTGTCCCGGGCCTCACTCACACGGCACAGGGCACACGACTGGCTCCTCTGAGTCACATCTGTGACACCTGCCTCAGGAGCCCTCGAGCTCATGGCCGTCCCAGGTGGACTCCTGGCTCAGTCCTGTCTGCTGTCCACTCAGCCCAGAATGTCACCCCTTGGGAACGGGCAGGACGGGCACAGAGTCCCCCTGGTCAGACACTGGGCAGTGGCTCCCAGCCCACGCCTCACAGGTGGCTCTCAGAAACAGGCATCGCCGTCACACCCCTCGGAGGTCAGAAGTGTCCCCTGGCCAGTGGTGTCCTAGGGCCTCAGGAAAAACTTGCATAAATGCCCAACCGCAGCCTAAGACAGGGAAATCCTGGGGGAATTGAGCCATGGCACTGTCCCCAAGACCAACACAGCCCCATGTGGTCCTGATGCACGTGACGCTTATCATACACCACAGCTGTCCTGTGCCCAACTCCGGCCACCGCGAAAGCAAGGTGTGGCCTCAGGAGGAGCCTGAGGCCAGGGACCTCTGCACAGTTCCTCCGGCTTTGGGGTTTTGTGTGGGGTCGGTCACAAGCAACAGCACCAAGGAGGCCTCTGGCTTCTTGCTGGGCCTCAAATCCAGGTCTGTAGGGAGCCCTGGGTCCTCCAGCAGCAGTCCTGCTGCGGGCTGGGTTTTCTGCGAGTGTGGACGAGGGCCCTGCGGCTGCCCCCCGCCCTGTCTCTCTCTGTCTCTGTCTGTCTGTCTCTCTTTCTGTCTCTCTCTCCCTCTGGCCTAGGGATTCGGGGCCCTCCCTATTCCAGGATGACCTCCTTGTGGCCTGGTGACATCGGCAAAGGTCACTTCCAGGTACCGTCACAGGTGCTCAGGGGGAGGATGGACTTAATATGGCTTCTGGGGACAAGACTCAGCCCCTGAGCCCACCACCTCACCTGACGTGAGGACGTGATCCTTGGGCACCTGGGGGACAAGGTGGAGGCCAGTGGAGACTCCAAATGCCTGTCCACCAGGCCTGGAGACTGTCGGTCTCAGGGGAATCGGGGAGCCAGGCTGCACGGTCTCCCTCCCACCCTGGAGCAAACCCCTGAGCTGGGTCACGGCTGGGCCATTGCAGGTACCCAGGGGACTAAACCTAACCTGGCTGGCTTGGTGGCCAGTGTGGCTCGGCACAGCTGTGGGCCTCTGCTTCCCTGCTGTTAGTCCCCAGCCTGCTCTGCGCTCGGTGAAGGGGTGATGTCCCCACTTTTATTGTTACCTTCCCTCATTTCTGTTGGAAGGACGGCACTTTGCCTCTGAAGAAAGTGACCTCACAGCCGGGCACTGGTGGTCATGCCTGTAATCCCAGCTACTCAGGAGGCTGAGATTGGGAGGATTACAGGTTCGAGGCTAGTCCAGGAAAACAGACCCCATTTCCAAAATAACCAGCACAAAAGGGACTGGAGCTGTGGCTCAAGCGGTACAGCACCTACTTTCCAAGTGCAAAGCCCTGAGTTCAAACCCCAGTCCCACCAAAAAAAAAAAAGCAGAGAGAGAAAGAGAGAAAGTGACCTCTACCCGGCTGTCCTTGGCTCTGTCACCAGCCCACCTGGTTGGCTCCGTATGTTTTTCCTTTTTATATGGAAAGCAGAGGGTGCCCACAGCCACCTCCAACTTTGTGTCTACCTACCCGAGACTTGCAAACCCCGGACCCCCTGTCCTGTCCTGTCGCCTGGGCTGCCCCAGGTCACCCTGCTGTGGTTGGCCCCTGACGGGACTGTGACCAGTGCCCCAATCAAGGGGGAATTTGAACCTAGACTCGCGCGGTGAGAGACCACGTGAGGACTCGGCACGAAGGTGCTGTCCACCATCTGCGGAGGCCACAGAGCCACAAGGGTGAACTGTCGCTGCTCTGAGTTCTGCGTGGCATTCTTTGTGACGGTGACCCCAGGATGGAGGCACAGAGCACTGTCTGGTCCCCATCCGGGGAGGTCTGGGGCCCTGGAGCCTCACGGAGGCCCAGCAAGGACGACACTGGCCAGAGTCACACAAGCTTGTCCCGCAGCGGGCCCCCGCTGCCCTCACAGGAAATGGAGGCCGGCCATTAGGAACTTTCCTTCCTCGGTGCCGCGAGTGACACAGGAAGGGCCCGGTCCCAAGACTGTCACCGAGGCTAACAAGTGGAGGACCCTCTGAGTGCCCGCTCGAACTTCACACAGGAGTCGCCCTGGGCAGACCTTGCTTCGTGTGTCCCCACGTGCCCCGTCCCTCCCTCTCTTACAGCAGGGGAAACTGAGGCCCCTTGAGGCAGGTGTACAGCTGTCCTGCGTGGGACAACGGTCAGTGGATGCTGAGTGGAAACCTGATTTCCCAGATTCCTTTGTGGCCCTGGCCACTACACCCAGACACTTGGTAGCTGTGCAAGATCTGCCCAGCCTGCCAGATCTCAGACCTCCAGACCCACAGCGGGGACACAACAGGGCCACCTGGGGTCTGCTAGGCACAACACCCCCCCCACAGCTCCCTGCGGCCAGAAGACAACACCTGCCAGGGACCCACGCCACCCAGCGATGGAAGACGCCAGCTTGGCCCCCAGTACCACAGCCATGTGGTCCTGACAGGGTCCCCACGGGCCCTGGCCGCACTTAGGTCACCCTGTCCCCTTTGTCCCACCCAGGATGTGTGCTTTGGAGCCCAGGGGCCTCCGTCCACCTGCAACACCAGCCGTAACCAGAGCTCGGCACCATACAGGCTACATAGGGTCCCCACTCCGGCTTCCCAGCCGTGCAGGTGGTTTCGTGGTGACACTGGACACCGTCCCCACTTCCTATGCTGTGGACTCTGCAATTCATGTCACACGTACCCGCTACCTCGCACCACTGTGCACCACGCTGCAGGCTACAGACTCACACACCCTCGCACAGCACTCCACAGTGTGCACGGGGTTCCCACGGGCCCTGTGCAAGTGGGGTCCCTCCTGCTGGGACGCCCTGACAGCTCAGGCAGGTGGACGCTGCCATGAGCCCCTCCCTCAACGCCCAGGCCCTGCTCAGGCTGAGAAGTAACTGCAGCTCTTGTGCAAACGACCCCAACCACACAGCGGCCTCAGGGCTGTGACAAAGTCAGGTCTCAAAATAGCCACGCAGCCCGGGACCCTGAGTCATTCTGAGAACCGGCTGCCGGGGGGCGGGGGGGGAACAGATCCCCATGAGGGTGAGGGCTGGGGGATGGCGGGGCCCTGAGGAGTCAGGGAGGCCAGGGTGGGGGAAGAAGGAGCCCGTTGCAGGGCAGCAGGGCCAGGCCTGAGAGTGGCCTCAGTTCCCATCTGGGAAGTGGGGAACCACAGGCCCTGCCTCCCAGGCAACCCAAGAGTGAGGCTCACGGGAAGCTCCCGCCAGGAACCTGGGGCCTAGCACAGGGTGTCACTATCAGTGATGACTTAATATGTACAAAAAACAAGGTCACCTGTCACCAGGACACGCCCACCCCTTGCCACAGCAAGGCCCCAGACAGGCCTTGGCCAGCATCCAGACCCCTTCCCCTCCTCCATCTCCTCCTCCTCCATCTCCTCCTCCTCCATCTCCTCCTCCTCCTCCTCCATCTCCTCCTCCTCCATCTCCTCATCCATCTCCTCCTCCTCCTCCATCTCCTCCTCCTCCATCTCCTCCTCCTCCATCTCCTCCTCCTCCTCCATCTCCTCCTCCTCCTCCTCCATCTCCTCCTCCTCCATCTCCTCCATCTCCTCCTCCTCCTCCATCTCCTCCTCCATCTCCTCCTCCATCTCCTCCTCCTCCATCTCCTCCTCCATCTCCTCCTCCATCTCCTCCTCCTCCTCCTCCATCTCCTCCTCCTCCATCTCCTCCTCCTCCATCTCCTCCTCCTCCATCTCCTCCTCCTCCTCCATCTCCTCCTCCTCCTCCTCCTCCTCCATCTCCTCCTCCTCCATCTCCTCCTCCTCCTCCATCTCCTCCCCTCCATCTCCTCCTCCTCCTCCTCCATCTCCTCCTCCTCCATCTCCTCCTCCTCCTCCATCTCCTCCTCCTCCTCCATCTCCTCCTCCTCCTCCATCTCCTCCTCCTCCTCCTCTCCTCCTCCTCCATCTCTCTCCTCCATCTCCTCCTCCATCTCCTCCTCTCCTCCATCTCCTCCTCCATCTCCTCCTCCTCCATCTCCCTCCTCCTCCATCTCCTCCTCTCCATCTCCTCCTCCTCCTCCATCTCCTCCTCCTCCTCCATCTCCTCCTCCTCCTCCATCTCCTCCTCCTCCTCCATCTCCTCCTCCATCTCCTCCTCCATCTCCTCCTCCATCTCCTCCTCCATCTCCTCCTCCTCCACTCCTCCTCCTCCTCCATCTCCTCCTCCTCCTCCATCTCCTCCTCCTCCATCTCCTCCTCCTCCATCTCCTCCTCCTCCTCCATCTCCTCCTCCTCCTCCTCCTCCTCCCTCCTCCATCTCCTCCTCCTCCTCCTCCATCTCCTCCTCCTCCTCCTCCTCCATCTCCTCCTCCTCCATCTCCTCCTCCTCCTCCATCTCCTCCTCCTCATCTCCTCCTCCTTCCTCTCCATCTCCTCTCCTCCTTCCATCTCTCCTCCTCCTCCATCTCCTCCTCCCTCCTCCATCTCCTCTCCTCCTCCATCTCCTCCTCCTCCATCTCCTCCTCCTCCATCTCCTCCTCCTCCATTCCTCCTCCATCTCCTCCTCCTCCTCCATCTCCTCCTCCATCTCCTCCTCCTCCATCTCCTCCTCCTCCTCCATCTCCTCCTCCTCCATCTCCTCCTCCTCCTCCATCTCCTCCTCCTCCTCCATCTCCTCCTCCTCCTCCATCTCCTCCTCCTCCTCCATCTCCTCCTCCATCTCCTCCTCCATCTCCTCCTCCATCTCCTCCTCCATCTCCCCTCCTCCATCTCCTCCTCCTCCTCCATCTCCTCCTCCTCCTCCATCTCCTCCTCCTCCTCCTCCTCCTCCATCTCCTCCTCCTCCTCCATCTCCTCCTCCTCCCTCCTCCATCTCCTCCTCCTCCTCCTCCATCTCCTCCTCCTCCATCTCCTCCTCCATCTCCTCCTCCTCCTCCTCCTCCATCTCCTCCTCCTCCATCTCCTCCTCCTCTCTCCATTCCCTCCTCCTCCATCCCTCCTCCATCTCCTCCTCCTCCATCTCCTCCTCCTCCATCTCCTCCTCCATCTCCTCCTCCATCTCCTCCTCTCCCCTCCCACACACTCTGCCTCCGCTTGCCCTCCACACCCGTACAGATGTGAGGACCCCATGCTGTCCTGTTAGGACCCCCTTTGGGTGGACCTAAAGCAGGAGGCAGTAACGCCCAGGGTGACCACAGTCGCCCCCCAGCAGTTCCTGAGGCCGCGGTGGGCAGGCAAGGCCCCAGCGGCGACCCTGGGAACGCGAGTGGAAGGGCTGCCCTCTGAGACCAGGGCGGGCACAGCTCCCTCACGGGGCCTCTGCGGGCTCCTGCTGGGTGGGGTCCTGGGGAGCTGTGTTCACAGTGAGTCACCCCAAAGAGAAAAGCTCAGCAAACAGGACGCTGGATGGGGACCAGGTGTGGCCAGAACAAAGCATGGCTGGGAACAAGGGGCTGGGGGGGACCTGAGCTGCAGTCACCGTGACCAGGGAAGGAGGGGGTTGGGTCTGCACCCCATTCCCAAGGACAGGGAAGTCCTGGAGGTCAAACAATTTGTCCAGCCGTGCAGCTGGCCTCACTGCCTGTGTGACCCCAGGCTGCCCATGGAGTGAGGGGCCTCCAGGCTGGGGTCCCTGGTTCTCTGTGTCCTCTGGGTGTCAGTGGGGCTGGGATGAGTGACAGAGGGGGCCCTGTGTCCCCCAGCCAGGGCTGAGTAGCAGTGGACACTGGTCAGCAGAGAAGGGTTCTGTCTGCCCCTTCTTTGGGAAGACATAGGGACATAGATGTCCTGGTGAGGAAAAGCCCCAAGCAGGGCAGAGCCGGGCAGGCCAGGGGCCCAGGACAGGAAAGAGATGGCAAGGCTGAGGACGGGTGGCTGGGCGGTCACATTTCCTCCTGATCCTGTCGGTAGCAAAGGTGGCCACCCACGGGAGCTGGGCCCAGTGCCCTGGGCTTCTCTTCCCAAGTAGCCCAGAGTCGCCTCCCTGCGCCGGGTGCCCAGAGGACAGAGATGCCCGGGGGACAGCCCCGCTCTGCCCTGGAGGGGGGTCTCAGGACAAAGGGGTGTCACATGGAGTCAGGCCCAGGGTGTTGACCAGTGCCAGGCAGAGCCCGCCAAGGAGGGCGGGAGTAGGAGGGACACAGCTGGGCAGGACAGGACAGGACGCAGGGAGAGCTGGGGACTGGGAACCAGGCTGACCCCGCAGGCCACACTGTCCCCTCCAGGGAAGGGGGTGTGGTAGGACACGTGAGGTGGTCCATGCTCAAGGGGCCCCGAGGTGGCCCATCGCCCCTCTCTGTAAACTCCTGACAGTTGGGGGCCACCAGGGGGCCCCAGGTCCATGGCCTCAGCATGGAGCAGGCCGGCCCCCACTTGGTGCCGGCCACATCCGCCCCGGCCGCCGGTGCCCTCCGGTCAGCGGCCCCGACAGAGGCCCTTTACTCACGCGGAGTCAGACGACGCGGGCCGGTAGTAGAAGGGCGGCACTTGGGACTCGCAATGGCTCTGCGGCCTCGTTTCCGTAGAAACCATGAACTGCAAGACACAGGCGGCCAGGGTCAGCGGGGGGCCCCGCCCGGTCCAGCGACGATGCTGGCCACTGGGCAGCCACTGTGCTTTAGGGGGACACGGCAGGGCCCTGAGGACCCAGCCAGTGCTGAGACAGGAGTCCCTGTCCCCCGGAAGCAGAGGGAGCAAGACGTGGAAGGAGCTCCCTAAAGAAAGGCCTGGCCAGACGTGACGGTCACGCCTGCAATCCCAGCACTCGGGAGCAAGGAGGGTCACGAGTTCAAGGTCACTTGGAGAAAAGAGGAAGAGAGAGGGAGGGACAGGAGGAGGAAAGGAAGGGAGGGGAGGGAGGGAAGGAAGGAAAGAAAGAAGTGCCCGTGATGATGGTGGCCAGGAAGGCTTGGAGCTCTCCTCTCTCTCTCTCTCTCTCTCTCCTCTCTCTCTCTCTCTCTCTCTCTCTGACAGAGTCACCTTGTAGCCCAGGCCGATCTCGAACTTGCGATTCTCCTGACTCAGCCTCCTGAGTCTGGATTACAGGCGTGAGCCACCATGCCAGCTTGTCCTAAATCTTGAAGAATGTAGAAGAAACCTTTAGAAAAAACCTACGCCCACTGGCTCACACCTACAATCCAGCCACTCAGTGAGACAAAGATCAGGAGGATTGAGGTTCAAGCCACCCCAGACAAAAAGTAGTGAGAACCCATCGCAACCAACAAGCTGGGTTAATCTCAATTATCAAGAGGTCAGAGGTAAGAGGATTGCAGCCAAAGCCAGCCAGGACAAAAAAAAAAAAATCAAGACCCCTACTTGAAAAATATAATTAATAAAAAGGCACTCAACAGGTAGAGTACTGCCTAGCAAATGCAAGCCCCCAAGTTTCAAACCCCAAGCACTGACAAAAAAAAAAAAAAAACCAGAAAACTTGGGTGGAGAAAGCCTGTCTCCGTGTCCCGAACCCTAAAACCACAAAGGAAAAGGTCGAATCGGTTTGACTAGGCAACGTAAAAAATTTCCACGGTAAAAACCACCATGAGCAAAGCTGAAAAGTCAGCCTAGAAAAACCCTTTTCCAGGAACTCCTGTGAGGCGAACTTCCTGCCATCCAGCACAGGGTGTGGCGAGACAAAGACACTCTGGTGTCACCAGAAACGAGAGAACGAGTGGTGCCAAGATGCTCTGCCTCGTGCCCGGCTTTGGTGAAAAATCTCTCAAACACGCCAAGTCTACCCACCTAGGAATCCAGGCCACCGTCAGGTCCACAGGCCCAAAGGACACGCTCTGAGGTGGCTCTGGGCCTCAGTGACCTCCTAGAAAAGGCCGAGTGTGGCGGTGCTCGCCTGCCAGCTACTTGGGAGCAGAGGGAGGAGAATCTCGGTCCAAGACCAATGCAGGCAAAAGCACAAAAAGATAACTAAAAGCAAAAAAGACTGGAGCAGTGCTCAAGTGGTAGAGCCTACTGCCTGCAAGCACAAGGCCCTGAGTTCAAACCCTGGCACCAACCAAAAATAAATAAACACATAGATAGATTAATTATAATAGATGAGCTAATGAATAAATAAAACACAAAAAGACAAAAAAGGTGGAAGCCCCAGGATTCAAAGCCAGCCAGGGCTACGTAGTAAGACCTCATCTTAAAAACAAACAAAAACCTCCCCAACCAAGGTGGAAACAGGGCGTGTCCAACACAGGGAATGCCAACACATCACAGAGGAGGGACACTGCCACAGGCCACACACAGCTGGCCCGAGGACAACTGCCCGGGAGAGGGGTCGGCCAAGATGCCTCCGCGTGTGGAGCACCCAGAGGAGAGAGTGAATTGTGATCACTCAGGCCAAGGGAAAGGGTGACGGCTAAAAGTCATGGGTGTCTTCCTGAGTAACAAAAAAAAAAAAGCCTCAAACGTCGTGATGAGTCACCCGGCCGCGAACCAGGCAAGCCACCAGGGTCGTGGCGCAGAGTTGCATGCCTGTAATCCCAGTGCTTGGGAGGCCGAAGGAGGCCAACCCGGGTGAGGGCACGAGGCCGAGGAGGGAGGCTGGAGGGAAGAGCTCGTGTTGACGATTTCTTGGGACGGATGTTAATTTTTAAGATTCTAACTGCATTTTGTGAATTGTAAAAATATATCTATACAGACTAAGAAAGAGCTGATGTCCTCCATCTGCCCGGGTCTCTCTCTGTCTGAGGTTTCTTCTGCAAACTTCAAGACATGTGAATGGCCGGCGTGGTGCACATCTGTAATCCCAGCACTGAGAGGCTGAGGCAGGAGGAACGAAGAGTTCGAGGCCTGCCTGAGCTACATAGTAGACCCTGCCTCAAGAACTGAATAAATACAAATTTGAAAAAGATTTTATAGGAGACCGCTGAGAAAAGAACAAGCCAGAAATATGAGGAGGAGGAGGACCGTCCCTGCAGCCAGGGTCCAGGTCTCCAGTGCAGCCTGGAGTAAGCTCTGGGCCTGGTCAACGCCTCCTTTCCCGTGACTGGACCCCCAGCCCCTCCACACAGAGTCCCAGGCCCCTTGCAGGCAGCGGGGAACGGGGCCGGAAATGGACACTGGTCCTGATCCTGTTTGACACTGAGGCTTTGATCCTCTGTCCCCACCAGGGAGGGACAATCCAAGGACCATCTGTTTCTTTTCAGAAAGGGAAACTGAGGCAGCCCTGGCAACAGAGGACTGATATTACAAAGCAATGTTCACTGAGGGTCCAAGGCAGTGACCCAGGCAGGCCAGGGACAACCCTCGCTGCAACGGCGCACAGAAGCGCCATGGTACTCGTGGACGCTGATCCACAGGGGGGACCAGGCTGCCATCTCCAGCAGCAGCTCAGTGACCGGCAGCCATTTTGGCTGCTTGCCGGGTGTGGGGGACAAGGGTGGGAGGACCACATGCCCGCTGACCTGTGGCCCTGCCCCACCCACAACAGCCTCCTACCCACCTGTCGCACCTGGACCGCAGCGTCCTAAGGGTGTCACCCTACAGATCCATCCCTGAGCTCAGAAGCCCCTCTACCTGTAGACCCCCAAGGTGTCACATGGAGCCACCCCGTGTGTCAGCCAAGTCAGCTCCCCATCTACTCACACAGGTTTGTCCTATGTGGGTCCACCTGCCACACCCTGCCCCATCACCTGGACATCTGCTTGTGCCCATCCCCCGGCTCTGGGACAAACAACTTCGTCTGCCTTGCTTGGCCCTCCATGTCTGACATGTGCTAAGTGCCGATACGCCATGCCACAGGCTGGGGACCAGGGCTGCATCTCCAGCAGCTCCAGTGAACCGCAGCCATTTTGGGCTGCTCGGGTGTGGGGGGACAAGGGTGGGAGGACATGAGGCCGCTGACGCTGTGGCCCTGCCCACCACAACAGCCCCTATCCTCCCTGCTCCGCACCTGGACCGCAGCGTCCTAAGGGTGTCACCCTAAGATCCATCCCTGAGCTCAGAGCCTCTTACCTGTAGACCCCAGGTCACATGGAGCCTCACCTGTGTGTCAGCCAAGTCAGCTCCCCATCTACTCCACACAGGGTTTGTCCTATGTGGGTCCACCTGCCACACCTGCCCATCACCTGGGACATCTGCTTGTGCCCATCCCCCGGCTCTGGGACAAACAACTCGTCTGCCTTGCTTGGCCTCCATGTCTGACATGTGCTAAGTGCGATACGCATGACTTAAATGGATGGACAGGTGGATGGACAGGTGGTATGGATGGACGGGTGGGTGGGTGGATGGGTGGGTGGACAGACGGGTGGCGGACGGGTGGGCGGGCGGATGGACGGGCGGATGGACGGGCGGATGACGGGCGGGTGGGTGGGTGGACCGGTGGATGGGTGGATGGATGGGTGGGTGGGTGGATGGATGGGGTGGATGGATGGATGATGGTGGATGGGTGTGTGATGGGTGGTGTGGATGGGAATGGATGGGTGGATGGATGGATGGATGGTGGATGGGTGGGTGGATGGTGGATGGGTGGATGGTGGATGTTATGGATGGATGGGTGTGGTGGTGGTGGGTGGGTGGTGGATGGGTGGTGGGTGGGTGATGGGTGGGGTGGATGGATGGATGGTGGATGGATGGGTGGATGGACGGGTGGGTGGGTGGATGGATGGGGTGGGTGGTGGGTGGAGGGTGGATGGATGGATGGGTGGATGGATGGATGGGTGGCTGATGGTGGATGGATGGGTGGATGGGTGGTGGATGGTGGATGGATGGATTGATGATCATAGATGACAGATGGATGGGTGGGTCATGGATGATGATGGACAGGTGGATGGATGATAGATGACGGATGGTGGGTGGTGGGTAGACTAATGAGTGGTTTGCCCTTTGTTCCCCCATGGCTCCCACAGGGATCGCAATGACAATGAAACCCTGTGTGCCGAGACAGCCTGTGACCCTGGAGCAACAAGAGCCCTCAGCTGCCTGGAGCCTCAGGGCAGAGTCCCCAAGTGTCCAGAGAAGATTCTGTGGTGTGTGTGGCAATAGGACGTCAGGCCCCCCGCCCATGCCCTCTGCCCCCTTCTAGTCCCGTACCTCCACTTGGGCCTCACCCCAGGCATCCAGGCGGACGGACTTGACCTTGCTGACCTGGGGGATGTTCCGATGGAACCCAGAGCAGCTCAGACAGATGAAGACCCCCAGCGTGTAGGAGGCCCAGTCGGGATCTGAAAGGAGAGACCGGAAGTCAGGGAGGCTCAGTCAGGGCCCTGGAGGGTGGGTACAGCATCGGGTCAGAGGTCACAGGCCCCATGTGGGACAGAAGGCCCCCTGAGGGCCACCTGGTTCCATGGCCTAAGCCAGGGTCCCTGCATCCCACCATGCAGTCACCCCAGCGGGTTGTCCTGTGGTGTGGACAGAACGCTCCTAGGACCCACCACAGTTGCTGAGAGCCCGTCACGCGGGGTCCACGCAGGGTGCTTGACCCGGGGGACACCCTCGTGCCGACGGTCCTCTGTCCAGGAGCCCCCTGCCTCGAGGCTATCTGCTGTTGGTTCTTGTCACAGGCCCAGCACTCAGCATTCCAGAAACCCCAGCAGGACTGGGCGCAACCCTTCCAGGGTGGCTGCCCTGGGGACATCTGTGTGACAGAACCATCCCTGGACAAGAGGACAAAGGAGGAGAAAATAAGAATTCTGACTATAGGACACCTCGCAAGCTGTGCAGCCCAACCCGATGGACCTGCCACATCTGGGAGAGAAGCTGCAGGTGGATGGCGGATTGGGGACATTGAGGGGTGAGCCAACACTGAAGTCGGGGGAGCGGCCACTCTGTGGCCTGACCTTGTATGCAGACCTATTTAGGGACTGTGCATCTAGATATGTAGTTTACTTTTTTAAAAAGTTCAACAGAAAGCCCAGCACTGGTGGCCTACAGCTGTAATCCCTGCTACTTGGGAGACTGAGATCAGGAGGATTGTGGTTCAAGGTCAACCTGGACAAAAAGTTAGTGAGACCCCATCTCAACCATAGCTGGGTGCAGTGGTGTGCACTTATCATCCCAGCTATGCGGGAAGCTGAGATTGGGAGGATCGAGGTGCAGGCATAAATAACTCAAAAATAACGCGAAAAAGGGCTGGGGACTTGGCTCAAGTAGACAGAGAGAGGGACCCTGTTCTCCCTGATCAGAAATCAACATCATTAACACTTAAATTCTCCCCAAATTAATCAATAGATTTCAGTGGAATTCCAAGCAGATTTCCAGCCCAGTTTTTTGGGGGAGTTTTGGTGGGATTGGGGTTTGAACTCACGGCTTTGCACTTGCAAAGCAGGCAGCTCTATCACTTGGGCCGCATTTTGCTCTTGGTTATTTTTGGAGATAGGGTCTCTAGCACTGTTTGCCCTGGCTGGCCTCGAACCACGATCCTCCCAAATAGCTGGGATTACAGGCGTGAGTCACAGCATCCAGCCCGATTTTTAAAGAATTCAAGCTGATTCTAAAATTTGTGAAAAAGACATAGGATACTGAAAACGACTTAGAAAGAGGACAAAGATGGAGACCAATGCTATAGTTTTCAGAACATGTCGAATCGCAGTCATCAGGACAGGAGTGGGGCATGGGACAGAACAGGCTAAAAACAGACCCTCTCATCGACGGCTCTAATTATTGACCAAGATACAAATTCCAAACAATGCTTTTCCCACCACTAGACACCCTCTGCATACGCAAAAAATAACCCCAGGCTGCGGCTGGCGGCTCACACCTGTAATCCCAGCTACTCAGGAGGCAGAAATCAGGAGGATCACGGTTCAAAGCCAGCCTGGGAAACTAGTTCGAGAGACCCTATCTTGAAAGAACCCATCACAAAAGAGGCCTAGTGGAGTGGCTCAAGGTACAGGCCCTGAGTTCAAACCCCAGTCCCACCGAAAAAACAAACAACCCTACAGATGCTGGTCAGCCGAGGGAGATGGTTTGTGTCTTTAGTCGTGGGGGGCTGCAAAGGGGCCCAGAGACATTTGGAGGATGAAACAACCCTCATTTGAACTGTGACCGTGGTCACTTCCTCCTACTGTCCCTTGAGACAGGTTCACACCGCTGTGTATGGTGACATCACAGCCGGGGGCCACCGTGTGAGATGCAGGAACCAAGGGGCCTCGCCCCCATCCCCAGTCTCTCCAGTGGCTGACTCTGTGCAGAAGCCATGGCGCGGGTCAGGGGCGACCGTGCTGCTCAGCTGGAGTCCCTGGACTGCCGGCCTGGCACACGGCGTCCTCCAAGTCCTCCCGGGTCTCCCTCCTCCTCTGTCCCTCCCCCACCCAGTGCTGGACCTGGGGACCTCCCTCCCTCCCTGCCCGACCTTCCAGCTGAGACCGCAGTAGTCCAGTCACACAGCGGGGACGTGAGCACCATCACCTGCCTCCAGAGCCCACCTGCCCACGGACCTCCTTGCTGGTCCAACACAGCAACACAGGGAAGTGACAGCCTGGGGCAGAGAAGTGACAAGGACAGGGACCCCAAGTGAGGCGGTCCCCCAGCCGAGCCATCCAGCCTGGTCAGCCAGCAAGACCTCTGCTGGTCTGTGGCCTCCCGGGTCAGCAGGGCCCCCAGCACCGGCTGAGGCGTCAGGAGGTGACGATCCACTTTGACCTTGACCCTGACAGGGGTGAAGGGCAGGGAGGCGGCTCCAAGAGCCTCTGAATTCTGTCACCTCAAGGTGGAGTCTCCCAGGGCTCAGGGACACTGGTATGTCCCAAACTTCAGACGTGGGGAGGTGACGGCCTGTGACACTGCAGGTGGGGTGAGACTGGGATTCCAGGCAGGGAGGTCCCAGCCCTAGCCAACGAGACCCCTGGCTCTTCCCGACCCCTGGAGGTGACAGTGCCACCATCTTCGGCCCCCAGCTCCCTCCAGAGCTGTCAGGAAGAGGCAGAGAGAGCTGGAAGGAGGCAGTGTTGGGACCCGAAGCTGAGCCCGTCTTTACTCAGCCTTCCCAGTGGCACCCAGTGCCAGGCGCCAGGGTCACCATCCTGAACAAATGGGCCTCTGCCTGGGGACCCACACAGGCTCTCACCCCGGTTTCACAAATCAGCTCTTATTTGCACCAAAGGAAAGGCCACAGGAGAGGTGGCATGGCTGGGCAGGAAGCCAGGAGGCCTTCCTGGAGGAAGGAACACAGGTGGCTGAGTCCTACAGATGAGGAAGACAGTGGAGGCCCAGGCAGAGGGAACGGCCTGTGCAAGGGCCCCGCAGAGGGAGGAATTTGACCAAGCCATAGCAGAGAGCCCAGCCTCTGGCCTCATCCCAAACCTTAGGCCCAGTATCTCAGAATTGACTTTGTGCCCTTGTTCAGGGCAGGGCGCGGTGGAGCACACCTATAATCTCAGCTACATGGGAGAAGGAGATGGGGAGGATCACAGTTCCAGGCCAGCCCAAGCAAGAAGTTAGCGGGACCCATCTCAACAAAGCGGTGGCATGCTGGTATATGTCTGCAATCCCAGCTATGCAGGAGGCACCGATAAGAGGATGACAGTCCGAGGGTGGCCCCAGGGGAAAACTTGAGAGCCTATCTGAAAAATATGGTGGCTCGAGTGGTGTGTGACCAGGTCAATTCTCGACCAGCTGCCTCTGCACGGACCCTGCATTTCGGCTGGTGAGGAACTGACTGGACTCCCATCACCCTGACCAGAGAAGCCGCTGGACCCCAAGCAGACCCCCTCAGCCATCGCTGAGGCCATCCAGGCTGGGCTAAAGCCCCCATTGTCTAGCAAGGCTGCCAGGAGGACCCCCAGGGGGAGGGACGGACTGACCTTTGGTTTTCCAAGTGGCAGAGACTGGGGCCTGGTAGGCTTCCTTCATGGCCAGGCTGCCCACACCTGTCCCCCAACCAGCCAGTGCCAAGCGACACACAGGGGCCGGCAGCCCATGTATGTGGGAGCTGCCACTTCCGAGAGCCTCCAAGGACAGGTGGCCTGGACACCTGCGGGAGGCGTCCCTCTCCCGGGTCCAGGCTGCCCCTGCCCTCGGGGCAAACACACAGGCGTGGGCAGGGCCTCCTCCCCTCTCTGGTCACTTCTGGCCACCCAGGACCCCAGAATTCCTGCCCAGAGGCTTGAAGTCAACTTCCAGGGCCGTGTCACAAGCCCAGTGTGACCCCAAGCAGTGGCCGGGGCACAGGCAGGTGTGGGGGAGGGACAGAGGGCTGAGTCCCCAGTCCCTCCCGGTGGCACAGCCCTGTCTAGCTGCCGGCCACTCCCGGCCGCTCCCAGGAGCTCCAAGGTGACTCAACGTCACTGCTTCCGGGTCAGCCTAAGCACCTGCACAGGTGAGGCAGACCTGGGGCCGAGCCAGGTGGGCAGGTGTGTCCCTCTTGGCCGAGGGCCAGCAGGGCAGAAGGGCAGCAGTGGCCCTGTCAGTGGAACTCAGGCAGAGAGCCCTGTGGCCAGTTCTGGAGACATTCGTCCTTGTCACTGCTGATGCTCAGCTGAGGCCCTGACGTGTCAGGGGGTCTTCTGCTCTGGCCAGGCACGGACGGGCAGCTCAGGTGGACAGTGGGGTCCCCAGGCAGGATGGGCCCCCTTGGGGTGCAGAGGTGACCAGTGCCCACTGGTCTCCAGAGATGGCTCGCCTGGCCTGCCCTCCTGTCTGCCATGGCGTCCCCACGGCTCTTGTCATTTGACACTCCTCTGTCCCCAGCTGGAAGGTGAGGACCGTGTAGCTTCCAGTCACAACTGATTCCCAGGCAAGGCCTGGTCAGTGGCCAGCAGGGTCCTGGACAGTGGGTGAGTGGCTGGGCTGACTCTGCTCTTGGCTTGGCCCTCCTCTCCCCACGAGCCAGATGCCCACTTGCCCTGGGGCTGCCCCCCTGCCCCCGTGGCCCCGTGATGGCCCCACCCCACGCCTCCCACCTGGCTTTGGGGTGTCCTTCCAGCCCCAACTTCCCATCAGACACACCCGGACTTCCCAATCCCCTCTCTCCTTTTTTCCCCTTTGGCGGCACTGGGATTTGAACTCAGGGCCTCATGCTTGCCAAGCAGCTGCTCTACCACTTGAGCCTCTCCATCCGTCCCTTTTTTTCTTTTTGGTGATGAGAGTTTTTGAGCCAGGGTCTCAGGACTATTTTCCGGGGCTGGCTTTGAACCTCGATTCCTCCTGAGTAGCTGGATTACAGGGATGAACCACCGGTGCCTGGCTGCAAGTTTCTTTTTTTATAAAAGGAGAAGGAAACGTTGAGATGCTGCCTCAGCCTCCTTCCCACACCACTCGGCCCGCTGCAGGCTCAGGGGTCCCCACTGACCCCTCGGCAGGGCGCCCGTCCCCACCTGCCCACCAGTCCACTGGTCCACTTTCTGGAACCACAGGGCTCCTCGCCCCGTCTCTGTCCACCGCACCCCGTATGCTGGTGAATTCCATTGCCTTGGATGTGAACAGACCCAGGGTTCTGCCCCCGTCTCCTCATGGACCTCGCCACGGTCACTCTCAGGACTGACCACGCGGCCTGCAGGCGTCCACCGCTCCATGGCCGCCCACTGACACACAGCAAAGTCCCACGGCGGTGGCCGAGGCCCGGGGCCGCCTTGCTTCTCCTTCATCTCAAAGCCCTGCGCCCTGAGCAGAGCCCACGGTGCACACGTGTCACAGCTGGCTGGCATCGGCCCCTGTCCCCACAGGGCCACCCCCCAGCACCCTCCTCCCGTCCTTGTCCCCGTATGGAGCTCAAGTCAGTGACCCCTCCACCCCTGTGAGCTCCTGCCTCGTCCAGGGTCCCCGATGCCTGTCACTGAATCCAGACCACCCTGCCCGCTGTGACACCCCCACCCCGTTCCAGAACCTTCTATTCATCAACTCTCCTTCCTCCTGTGCCTTGACCGGTCCAGCCAGACCAGGTCTCTGGACCGGCTACCCACATCCCAGTTCTGCAGGGCCAGCCCCGTCCACCGTGCGGACACAGCCAGATGTCTGTCCTCGTCCTCTGCCAATCCTGACGAAGTGGACATCCACTGCCACCATGCCGCGCCACCGCCCCGCACAGCCGTCCTCGCCTCCCGTCTGTGACGTCCCTCGGCTGCCTCGTCTCCCAGCACAAGGCTCACGTGCACAGGTGGAGGACCTTGGCTAAAGGCTCCGCCCAGCAGGCCTTACCTCTGTCCCCTCCCAGCACACTGCCCGTGTCACCTCTGCTATGCTCGGGGGACACGCCCGCTGGTGCCCAGCAAGGGCTGGGTGAATGACTCTGAGTGTGGGGTCCAAGCAGGGTGATCCCCACTTGGTCACAGCACCCTTGGGCAGGGAGAAGCCAGTGGGGCCACAGCTGGCCCCACAATCCAACAAGTCCACTCCGGGGTAGCCTCAGCCAGCGGTGCAGATGGGGGGCCCAGGCCCGGGGGTACAGATGGGAGAGGGGGAGACTCTGTCTAGGAGGGAGGCTGGTCAGGCTCGGGCCTCCGGGCCTCCACCCTGAGTGGGGGCTTGCCGCCAGGACTGGCCGCCGTGCCTGGCCACTGTGGGCCCTGCGACTTGAGCACAAATCAAGAAGGGAAGGATGGTCCATAGTTCCTCAATTCAACACATGATAGAATATTACTCAGCCTTGAACAAGGAAAGGCGTTCCGAGTCCTCGGGCAGCATGGATGAACCTTGATGACATGAAATAAACCAGGCCCAGCAGAACAGATCTGATGCGATTCCACTCACCAGAGGCCCCTAGGGCATCAGAGCCCCAGAGACGGGAAGTAGAAAGGCCGTGCCCAGGGACAGGAAGCTGGCACTTAATGGGGAAAGAATTTCAGTGTGGGAAGATGAGTTTGGTGGAAGGACAGCACTGTGAAAGTGCTCAACACTCCTGAACGGAGTGCTGAAAGTGACTAAAAGGGTAAGTCTGATGTTGTGTATATTTTGCCACAATTAAAACAAAAAACCCAGAGCTCCCTGTACCCCCCGCACAGAGCCTCCCCCATTCCTGAATTCCCCCAGCCAGGTGATTCAAAGAGACCCCATCTCAAGCAATAAAAGCAGGGTGTGGTGACACACGCCTGTCACCCCAGCTACACGGGAGGCAAGAGGTAGGAGGATCACAGTCCAAGGCCAGCTCCAGGCAAGGGCTGGGGTGTGGCTCAAGCAGAAAGCACCTGCCCCAGCAAGCATGAGGTCCTGAGTTCAAGCCCCAGTACCATCAAAAAGAAACAAAGAAAGATTTCTACCTGATCTCCAGAGCCAAAAGGCCAGGCAGTCCTGGAAGGGCTGCTTGGTTTCACCTGGTGTCCAGGTGACCAGCACCAAAGAACCATGGTTTTACGACCCAGTTCCCAACCGAGTCAAAGGCTGAGACCTCTAAGCCTTGGTTGGCGTCTTGACGGCCCGAGGTTCGGGGAGGCTCAGAGGCTCGCCCTCCCTCCCACCAGGCAGAGACCTCACATGCACCCACCTGCTCCCAAGTTCAAGGCTGGGGAGCCCACCTTGGGGTGGTAAAGGGCAGGTGTGGGAGGAGCTCCAAGGGCTGCAGAGACCTTCAGCCTCCGGGGACCTCCCACGGCCAAGTGGGGTCTGTGTACCCCAGAGCCCAGGCCCGGTAGTGTTCTGGGCCTGCCCTTCTGTCCTGCTGTCCAGAACAGATGTCCCCTTGGGACACCTTGTTCCTACTGAGCCACGAGCTCATCCGCATGACGGTCCCTCCCCAAACCAAAGGCCCCTTGCCTCCTCCCCAAGCTGGCCACAATGGGACAGGAGGCTCTGCTGCACCCCACAGCAGCACAGGACGTGAGCAGACCAGCCGAGAGACAGAGAGAGCCTGTGTGGACACGCCACGGGGTCACGAGTCAGGCAGCAGGGCTGTGCCCACAGCAAGCGGTGAGGCAGAGGCTGGAGGTTGGTACAGACAGCCTGGGTGGGTCAGCGGCAGCACCAGCTCCGTGTGGGGTCACCGTGTCCCCCAACACAGCCCAGATTGACAAGGCCTCAATTTCCCTGGCTGCAAACTGGAAGCTGGCCACAGTGTCCTGTCCCTGCACAGAGCTGCCCAACAGAGGGGCAGGCTGCTGATGTCATGGGTGATTCTGAAAACTGGTGGCTTGGCTCAAAGCTGACAAGAGAGCCCAGCACAGAGCGGGCTGCTGCCTGGCAGGGGCTCTGGAACTCAGGGGGACCGAGGGGCCAGCAGGACACTGAGAGTGGGCCACATGAGGTGGGTCCCACTGGATATCAAGGAAGCCCCTTTTCCTCCTGCTAGCTGCGTGGCTCCCGTGGCTGGAGTGCAGAGAAACCACTCCTGGACAGAGTGTCCAGGGAGGACTGGGACAGTGCCCACACCAGCCCCGACAGCTGACCAGCCAGGCTCCTGGGCATGGACAGGTCTCTTGAGCAGGTGTCAGAAGGGACATGGAGCGTCCAGGCTGAGCCAGCCCAGCTGATAAGAGCCTTGCATAGCACAGGGCACTGACACCCCAGGAAGCCAGGAAAAGGCCATGCCACCCTGCCCAGTTTCCCAACAAGGCTGGTCACTGTCTTCCCTCAGGGACCCCTGGGCACACTGCAGCAGATCCCAGGACTGGGGCCATCAGAGACTATCCCAGCCCACAGGGTGGGGTCAGAGACAGCTGAGGACCAGGTCCTAATTTCAGGGTGTCCAGAGGCTGTGTGCCTCCAGCCAGCTGCCCCAGGGACCCCAGGACCTGTGGGTGATAGCTGTCCCTCTATGGGTGGGGTGGGCAGGTGGTCACACCGGCAAGGACCAGCCCGGGGTTGAGAGCACAGCCTCTCCTCTCATAGCTAACGGGGCACCCGCTGGACTCTAGACCTGGAAATCCCCCAGACCAGGTGTGATGAGGGCGAAGTTGGGGAGGTGCCTCTTTGCCCCACCTGTCCCCAGGGCCCCAGGTCTCCCCGCCACCTGCCCTAGAGCAGCTAGGCCAGGCCAGCCCATCCCTGGGTCTACCCAGGAGGCCATGATGTAACCCCCAGGTGGAGGCAGGTGGTCCTCATGGGCAGCAGGGGCCTGGGTTGAGGCCGCCCCGCCCCGCAGCCAGCCGCAGCCCCAGCCATTTCCTCTTTCTTTGCCGGGGAGGTTTCGTAAGGCAGTGGCCCCGGGTGACAGGGACACACACAGAGGGCAGGGAGGGGGAGGGGCGGTAGGGCGGGAGTGAGGATGGGGGACCAGGGATGGGGGGGTCGGGATGGGATCCAACTGGAGAGCTGGGGACAGGGGATGGTGGGCCAGGAACAGGGGGCCAGGGATCAGGGAGTCGGGGATCAGGGAGGGGACAGGGAAAGGGGGATCCAGGGAGCCAGGGATGGGGAGCAGACATCCAGGGGGGCCAGAAGGAGGGGGGCCGGGGATGGGAGTTCGTGAACAGGGACTGGGGGAGCCGGGGATGTGGGGACCAGAGGGTGGGGGGGTGAGATAAGGGGGGGCGGACACAGAGGAATCAGGAACAGGGGGTGGGGAGGGAGACCCGGATCCAGGGGGCGGGGGTTTGGGGGTCCAGGGAGCTGGGGGGCCGGAGGACTGGGAATCAGGGAGCGGAAGGCGCCGGCAGGTGCAGGAGGGCCGCGCCCCGCCCGAGTCCTGGTCCTGGGAGGACTCGGTACCGGACCCACGAACCGCGCCCACCCGACCACCCGCGCCCCATCCGCCTGCGCCCCCGATCCAACCACGGCCCCCGATCCGCACCCCGATCCACCCGCGCCTCGATCCACCCGCGCCACGGGATCCACCCGCGCCCCGATCCGCACCCCGATCCACCCGCGCCCCAATCCACCCGCACCCCGGGAACCACCCGCGTCCCGATCCACCCGCGCCCCTCCCGGCCCGCACCTACCCGGGGCGCCGCAGTCGGCGCAGCGCGCGTTCCCCGGCCGCCGCAGCAGATCCAGCACCGCCCTCCGCCGCTCCTTGGCCATGGCCGCCCGCGACGCCCGCGACGCCCGCGACGCCCGCGATGGCCGCGATGGCCGGGCCCGCAGCTCCGCCGCTCGCTAGGGCCCCGCGCAGGCCGCGCGCCGCCGCCGCCCCTGCGCCATCCCGGGGCTCAGTCCGCGCGCCGGTTCCGCATTCCTGCCGCCCGTGTCGCCGGTGTCGCCGGTGCCGCCCGTGTGGCCGCGGCCGGGGCGCACGGCGCGCTCGGCTCCGCTCCGCTCGGCTCCGCTCGCCTCGGCTGTGCGCGCGGCACGCGGGCGCCCCCCGGCGGTGACGCCCGTGTCACAACAGCCCACGCGGACACCGAGCGCGCGCGGGGGCCCCGCAGAGCCGCCGCCCTCCCACTCTGCCCATGGACACCGCTGCTCCTTGGAGCTGGGGCAAGGGTGGCTCAGGCCATCCATCTCTACCCAGGGGACACAGTCGGGGGGTGACCAACGCCAGCGTCCAAAGGGACTGAGGGGGAGGGGTGAGCCAACCCCCAAGACTGTGCCGGAGCCCTAAGCCCTCCTCACCCACAGACAGGACAGCAGTGGCCACAGGGAGCTGGACATACCCTCCCCATCAGGCAGGAGACATGAGGGGTGGGGGATCTCCTGCCAGGCCAGAGTGGGGTGTCTGTGCACCCCAGCATCTTTTAAGTCCTTCCTTCCCTCCCTCCTTCCTTCCTTCCTTCCTTCCTTCTTGCCTTACTTCCCTCCCTCCCTCCCTTCTTCCTCCCTCCCTTCTTCCTCCCTCCTCCTTCCTTCCTTCCTCCTCCCTCCCTCCTTCCTTCTGCCTCCTGAGTGCTGGATGCAGGCGTGTCACCATGTGTGGCTCCATTTTTTTAAATCATGGTTGCAGTGCAGAACTGTGAGAAGCAAATCAAAGCTTTGCAAATCCAGTACCTGCTTGAAAATTTACAGCCTTTCCCACCCCACTCCCTGCTGTCTTAACAGCCCCCCTCGTCCTCCGGAATCTTCCTCCACCTGCAGCCTTTTCGCAAACACCCACGGAAACCCTCCTCCTGCTGTCTACCACGCGTGGGGTGGGGGTTGGTTCCCCTATGGTTTGGGTCTGGCTTGTCCCCAAGGGCCCGGGTGTTACAGGCATGGTCACCAGGGTGGAGCTACAGGGAAGAGCTCTTTAGGTCACAGGGGCTGGGGCCCGGCCCCATCCTCACTCTCTTTTCTGTTTCCTGGCCGTGGGCTGAGCGGTGTTACTGTACCTCATGGGCCTCCCCCATGGTCACAGTGACCCTGGACAGGAGTCTCTAACACCATAAGCCAGAACAAGATTCCCTCTTTGTAAGATGGTCCCCTCAGGTGTTTGGAATAGCGACAGGCTTAAAGGTTGGCTGTTTGGGGTTTCACTTCATAAACCTGACACCCCAAAGTCCGCACAGGCCGTCCGCCTTTTTAATGACTGCAGCTACTCAAAAGGTCACCAGCCCAAGGGCAGTGGACAGGCCACACCTGCTACCAAGGTCCAGGTGAAGTCATGCCTGTGAGTGGCCTCAGTGGGATGGGATGTTTGCGATGTGACCAGACCATGCCCGGCGGTCCTCTGCTTAGGTGGCACCTGCTCCCTCACGCCCTTGTCCACACCAGGTTGCCAATCTTGCACCTCTGAGGGTCCTGTGACATCGTGTGCTCTGCCCCTTTCACTGACCGCAGGTCTTCCTTCCACAATCCACTGAGCCTTTTTTGGGTGAGGACAGGTGGCATTTCCTTGTCTGGGCCTTGTGCCAGGCTCGGAAACTGCCACACGGCACGAGCTTGGAGGATGACACAGAGGGAGGCTGGCACTGGACATCAGGGAAAATACCCGGGTGTGCATTTTCTCATTTGGCCACCGTTTAGACTTGGGGAAACTGAGGCACTTGCCCAGGCCACACACGGCTCAGGACTGGGGCAAACAAGAAACACTAAAACAGAGATGCAACCCTACAGAACAGAGATATCCAGACCACAAAGAGAACAAATCGTTCAGGAGAGGGGCAGGAAGGCCACAGCGAGGCCTCCGAGGACACACAGGTGTCCAGCAGACCAGAGCTGCAGCCAGAGGGGCCAGCGTGTGCAGGGACAAACTCCTGCTTGGTGATGTTGTGTGCCGGGCAGCCTCGGGGGTGGTCAGCCTTCCCTGTCTTCCCCTGGACCCGGACTGGGAGGCAGGAGGCGGTGACGATTACAGACAGGGTCGTGTGCGCACGGACCAGAGGTGTGGGATCCCAAAGGTACAGCCTGGCCCTGGGTGGCCACACCCAGACCAGCACTGGCCACAGGCAGCTCGAGGGCTGCAGGGGCTGGGGAGGGTGCCAGGTGGGCAGGTGGCTTGTCCAGGAAGCCCTGCTGGCCTGTGAGCTCACTCTGCCTGGAACCCCTGTGACCTACCGGCCGAAGCCTGCAGGTTCTGACCAAAGTCCCCCATCCCAGTTCCCAGGCCTGGGCGGGGGCCCGACAAGACCTCTTGGCCATGCTGGGCAGACCATGGGCCTCTGATCCAGGGGTATTGCACACCCTGAAGGCTCAGCAGTGTCCCCTGAGCACAGGAGTTTGTGCCCAGTGAGTCTAAAAGCAGCTTTGACTGGGAACTGGTCTCTCACAAGCCACATGAGGCCAGGACTCCTGAGGATGCCCTCCCCAGTGGCCACCTCCTCCTTGAAGCCCCCCTGACTGCCAAGGTAGGCGGAGGCTTCAGATGAGGAGAGTGACCTCCACCCTGAGCGTCAGGATTTGTACAAGAGGTGGCCTGTCCTCAGAGTCCCTTGGGGGATGGCAGTTACTGGACAGAGACTCCCCAGTCCAGCCTGGGAGGAGGTTGGCTGGGCTGAAGGCCAGACTCCTGTCAGGATGGAGACTGAGATTGCTGAGAGATGAAGGTGGGACCTGGAGGGCAGCCAGTGCCCCCACAACGGGCTTCTGGCATGGATGCCATCCCTGGAGGGAAGGGACATTTGCTCTGGGGCAGGGAGCCCTGAAGCCTTAAGTCATTTCCTTTCCCTCAAGACCAGGAAAACCTGCATGTGCCCCTTGAAAAAGCTGTAGCTCCGCGGAGGGCAGCCTGGAGCCCGCCTGGCCACCCTCCTTCCAGCTCGGCAGATGTGTAGATTCCTCTGCTCATTCTGGACCTTGTCCGATCACCTGCCATGTGCCCAGGCCCTGTGAGGTCCCTAACAGGGCTGTCCCTATCCTCTAGGGGGCAGCAGGTGACAGACAAGACCCAGGACAGAGGCAGCCTGCCTGGCCAGGGGCCTCCTGGGGGCTGAACCCTGAGCTGAACACGTGGTCTCAGAATCACAGGGGCTGGAGGTTCAGGGGACAGGGTAGGGCTGTTCCCAGGCTCTCAGTTTTTGGGGTTCTCGGGAGCAAAAGTCAGGCACTGGATTTTCTATTGAATTAGCTCCGGCCTCACCCTAGGGAGGGAGGAGAGAAAGGGCCAAGCTCCCAGAACCACACTGACCTTCGTCCCCTGCCCCAGACATGGGCTGGAGAGCACAGAGCCAGGACCGGATGTTCTGCTTAGTGGGCTGGGTTTCCCAGCTAGCAGTGGTGTCTGACCCCCCTTGGCCACCACAGGGCTGTAGTTGTGGCCGTCCCCCTCTGCCACAGCCTCTCCCTGCTGACCCTGGCCAGGGCCTGAGCTGGGGTTTGGGCCAGCGCGCCAGAGGGCTGCCCAGGAGGTCAAGTTCAGGTGAGGACAGCTACGAAAGGGCAGAGACTCTCCAGCAGCTGCTTCCCGGGGCACTTCCTGCTTGAGGCCCGCCGTCCCCAGCCAGCTCCTCCCCGCCCCTGCCCAAGGGTTTTCGCCTCAGGAGCTTGAGGACGGAGAGGTCTCCTGATGCCACCACCCCTCCCACGGCCCAAAGGCAAGGACAGCAGCCACAGAACACCTGTCCTGGAGCAAAGGTGGCTCGGGCCTCACATCCAGGGGTAATGCACACCCTCAAGTCCCCTCCGAAGGGGTCCCTCTGGATTCCTCCCAAAAGTGACAGGCAGGGATGTACCCCCCTTGGCCAGGGGCTGCTTAGTGGGCTGGGTTTCCCAACTAGCAGTGGTGTCTGTCACCCCCCCCAGGGCGGACAGGAGGACAAAAGGAGTGAGCCTGGCCTGACACCCCGGCCCCAGACATGTCCTCACTCTCAACCTTGTAGCTGGTGACCTGCTTCCCGGGTCATGGCTCGGGCTGCCCCAGGCAGTCACCCTCACGGGGACACGGGGCCCTGCAGGGCAAGGTGGCCTGGCACTGGATTCCCAGTCCTCCTGGTGGGGACTCCAGGCTCACAATGGGATTCTGGGAGCCCCTCTTCCTTCCCTGGTCTGAGCAGCAGATTTGAGGATTACAGGCAATTTGGTGAAACCTCAGGAAATTGACTTCTGCGGACTCCATAACAAAGACACCGGACCTTGGTCCCCCTGTGTAACGCTCCGGGGGCTTCAGTGCTGCTACTGTCCAGCAGGGGGCGACAGGCCACCGTGGCTCAGCTTCCCCAGGCGAGGGCTGGCGGTGAGCAGGAATCCTCTCCCTCCCGGCCCCAATCGCCTGGCCTCGGGCCGACACCGGGCCCCAAAGTCAGCACAGCTCCCAGCGTCCAGCGGGCTTGCCCTCCTGTGCCGGGGGTGTCCCCTCCCAGCACCGGCCACACACCATCAAGGGAACCTGCTGGAGGGTGACAGCGGCCTCAGCTGACGTCCACTGACTCTTGGGTTTGGTATGTGCTGAGGCGTCGGGGGACGGGGGTTTCCGCACAGAGGGTCTGGAGTGAGACCTCTGGACACGGGCCTGTCCCTCAGCCTCACCCACAGTCACCCCCAGTGACTGCAGCAGCCGGGCCCCTCTCTCTGCACCCCAACCCGGCTGTCCAGGAGTCGCTGGTGACAGTCCCTGAGCTGAGAGGCTGTGGCATGCACGCAGCTGCATCACGGTGACGGCCCTGCGGTGCCCTGCGCCCCCGTGGGACGTGTAGGGTGGGGCTTGCGGTGACTTCCCGCCCCGGCCGGGCCTCGCGGGCGGCCTGGCATGGCAGCTTCCCGGCTGCCCCCCCACATGGGGCCCCTGCGTCCCTGTCCTTTGTACCCGGCGAGGGCTCCCCTCTGGCCCACAAGAGGGTGCGGTGCGAGCGCCAGCGAGGCAGGGGCGGGAGGCCCAACCTGACCTGGCAGCCGGGAGGAGGCCTGCGCTGCAAAGGCAGGGACCAGAGCCACTGCCGCCTGTCACCCCGGGCCTTCAAACCAAGTCGGCAGGCGCAGGGCGCCCTGGCCCCGCTCGGGGAGGCACGGCGAGGGGCCACTCAGAGAAGACCACGGTCCCCCGTGTGACAGGTGCTGAGCGGAACGGAGGGTGGGAACCCCTGTCCCCGCCTGCAGCTCGCACTGGTTTCTTCGTACCCCACGGACGTCCCTCGCTGAGCCCGCTGGTGGCAGTGGCTCTGCGTGGCCTGGGCTTCGTGGTGGCTGTTGTGGATTCCGTGGGAACAAACAGGAGGCCGTGTGCAGCCCCCCAAGTGCACCTGCTGCTCGGGCGCAGGGACCGCCCAGTCCCCGGGGCCACCGACACGCGTGGCTCACGTGGGTGTGCGGGGCAGGACCTCGTCCTCAGCACTGATTTTCCACTCGGTCCGAGTCGTCAGAAGGCACTGGTGACAACCGGGGGCAGAATCCGTGCGGCTGCCTGCACCGGGCCTCCTCCACTCAGGTGGACGGTGACCACGCACTGCCCACACCTCCCCTCGGCCCGGGCGCTGTACCCCAGGCCCTGCGAAGAGAGGTGACCATTTTGAGCTTCCGAGAGCCTTTGCCCGGCTCACAGAGCGTGCTGGCAGCAGTTCTGTGATGTGTCTCGTCCCAAATGAGACTGGAACAGCCAGGGGGCCAGGTGACTGCCTGGCACCTGCACCGGGTGGCACTCAGCTCCGTGGCACTCGGTGACCTGTCACATTTGATTTCACTCCTCTGAAGAGACGGGGACTCTCGCAGTTTTGTTCACGGTATTGTGAGTCACCTGCTTGGTGGCTTCACAGAAAGTTCTTTAATGTCTCTTGCGATAACGAAACCCCTGCTTTCTTGCCCATATTGTGACCAATGTCACTAAAAGAGTCCATGTGGTGCTGGGCGCCAGTGCTCCCGCCTGTAATCCCAGCTGCTCAGGAGGCAGCGATCAGGAGGATCACGGTTCGAGGCCACCCCCGGGCAAATAGTTCATGAGACCCTATCTCAAAAAAACCCATCACAGAAAAGAGCTGGTGGGGGGGCTCAAGTGGTAGAGCTCCTGCCCGAGTTCAAACCCCAGTGCTGTCCATGTGGACACAAGGCGGGTGAGGTCACACACATGCCGGGACAGATTCCCGGGAGACACATGGAGGGCGCGTGGACCAGGAGAGGCCCATTGGGTGGCCAGTCCAGCTCCAGCCTCTGGCAGAGGGTGAAGGCCACACGCCCTCGTCCAGGGCCCCTGTGTGTGGGGGGAAGCGAGATCTGACAGACGTCCTCGGGGACACGAGCTTGTCCCCTCCCGTCCAAGCAGCACACTGTCACTCAGCGGCAGCAGGCCTGCCCCTCCACTGGGACACATGGCATCCCAATGCCACCGGAGCCACCATGCTCACCAGGAGAAAGAAACCGCCCGGCGAGACTCAGCGGCAGGAGGAAGTCACCACAGGCACAAATTTACAGAGGACAAAAAATTACAATGCCTGGCAGTGACTTTCTTTAAAGTAATGGTTTTATTGTTCCTATAAAAATGATGCATGCCCGTGATAAAATATAGTCATAAAAATACAAGGAAGAAAGAGCCACAAACAGTTCCTTCCCAAGGTCCCAGGCACCTCTCTGTGTCTGGTACGTTAGAATGCGTGCGGCTGCTGCCACACGGGGACCGAGACGGCGGGGGACAGTTTAAACTTCCCGTCCTGCCTGTTAAGTACATAACTGTTCTTTTCGTCATTTGCCAGCGAAAAGCAGCATCAAAGATTTCAGATAAATTTGGATTTAAAACTTGGTCCTGAGCGGGTCATGGTGATGCACACCTGTAATCCCAGCTTCTCAGAGGCAGGAGGATCACGGGTTCAAGGTCAGCCTGGGTAAAGTCATCGAGACCCTGTCTCAAAAACAAAACACAAACGAAAGGGCTGTGGCCAGCGTGGTAGAGCCCGCCTGGCACCCGGGAGGCCCTGGGCTCTGTCCACCCCAGAACTGGGATCCTCCTGTGTGATCTGCAGCACAGTTGAGGTCAGTGCTGAGTCGTGTCTCCTGCAGCGGTGGCCTGGGGAAGGCCACGGTTTCTCAGGTGCCACCTTGAGAATCACTGCAGTCCTTAACACCTGGGGACATGTGGGGGTCAGAATGTCCCCCAGCTGTCCTCGTCCTAACCCTTGGACTGAGGACACGGCACCCCCTGTGGGAACAGCTAGGGTCAGAGGAGGATCTGGAGACGGGTCACCTGGGGGCTCGCGGGTCAGGGAGAGAGGTTAGCATGGGAACAAGGGTCAGCGAGGTGAGGACACCTTCCCCACCCCCCATCAGATGAAGACAGAGGACAGGCCACCCCAAGGACCATGGGGTGTCTGGAGTTGGCCAAGGCTGGCTGGAGCAGATCCCCCCAGCCTCCTGGAGGACTCAGTGGCCTCACCTCCATGCTGCCGTCCATGGACAGTGGTCACCAGTGCTGGGACAGGAAGGGACAGGGGGACATGGCCACTGAGGTTGCTCTGCTGTTGCAGGCAAATGGATGGGGCCGGCGTGGGGCCGGGGATCCAGCCACAGCGCCCTGGCTCCCCCACGACATGACCCACGTGAATGAGGCCGAGGGCAGGTCCAGCTTCCGTCCTGGGGCTGGACGGGCTCTGCCGGCCTCCAGGTCAGTCACTGCCTTTCTGGGAAGGGGACCACAGGCCCTGGGCTGTGACCACGGACGCCTCCCACCCTCCAGATTCACGCAACACAGAACAGCTGGGAGATGTGCCGGGTGGCGTTTATTTACTGCTTTGTTGACAAGGTCTCGCTATGTAGACCAGGCTGGCCTCGAACTCATGATCCTGACTCAGCCTCCCAAGTGCTGGGATTACAGACCTGCACGGCCAACCCTGGTGAAGTGTGTCCTTATGACTGATGGAGGACGACAAAAATCACCCGGGAAGCTTTGGCAGGAGGACAGGCCACGGGTTCCCACGTCCCCCATGGGGAGCCGCGGGCCGCACTCCCTTCCTGGGGTCCACTGGGACCCTCGCCCGCGCCATCGCCAGAGGAGAAGCAACCACTTTACCACGTTTTATTTCAAGGTGGTTTGACGCTTCCAAAAGTTGTGCAAGGCATGCAGAGGAAGCACGGAAACTGAGCACCTACAAACGCAGCCCGGTCCCAGTCAGCTGCAGGCGCTCGCCGCCAACAGAGAAAGAATCCCACTTCCCGTATCGCACTCCAGCTTCATTTAAGGAAAAAGGGAGATGGGGGGGGCGGAGGCCACACCTGTCACCCCTGCGCTCAGGAGGCCGAGGCAGAGGATCGCGAGTTCAAGGCCAGCCTGGGCTCCACAGTGAGACCCTGTCCCAAAAGAAGTGAAAACCGTGGGTGGGGAGGGCCGGCAGGCACCTGTGCGGAGGGGCACTGCCTGGGAGCAGCTGCCCCGATGGCCCCTGTGTGTGGGGAACACCGCGTCCTACAGCAGGAGCGCGTGTGCCGAGCGGTGGCACACTCAGGACTCACTCTGGCGTTCTGCCTCCTGGCCTGGCCCCGGGACCCTGTGACACACGGTGTGAGGAACAGCCACCCCGAGGGAGAATGGGGTCTGAAAGGATAGCGTCTGAAGAAGGCTTGGAGCATCTGGAGAAGAGCGAGTCCCGCCAAGGGGATCCGCAGGCAGGCGCCACCCTGGCATCGGCAGTCCAGGATGGATGCAGCCCTCGACGTCCTCTTCTCAAGACTGACTCTTTGACTCCGACTTTCCAGCCATCAAATCTCTAAACCCCAGCTTTTCCAGTGGCTCCTGTGCCATGAGCTGCCTAGAAGACACAGAAGCTGTCATGGTGGAGCGGGAGAGCAGGAGACCCCTACACTGGGGCTCCAGGCACCACACTCTACACCCTAGAAAAGTGGACCTAGCCAGTGCCATGGCTCACGCCTGTAATCCCAGCTACCCAGGAGGCAGAGAACAGGAGGATGGCAGTTTGAAGCCAACCCAGGGCAAATAGTTCCCAATACCCTATCTTCAAAAAAACCCATCAGAAAAAGGGCTGGTGGAGTGGCTCAAGTGGTAGAGCACCTGCTTAGCAAAAGTGAGGCTCTGAGTTCAAATCCCAGTGCTTCCAAAAAAAAAAAAAAAAGACAGATGAAAGTAAGGAGGAGAAGAAGAATGCGTGGGGCGTCAGCACAGAAGGAAGAAGGAAAGAAGTTAAGACGCACACACGCACGTACAGCAGGCATGTGCAATCCCGGCCTGCGTGGTCAAGGAGAGTCACATCGATCCTGACTTTAACAACCAACCAACCAATATTCCACAGCCAGAATAAACCTGTCAGAAACACAGCCCCCGAAACTCGCCCGAAGTCACCCGTGCCTTTCCTCCCAATGTCCCCGAGGATCAGTGCAACACAGATGCATGGGCATGGTGGCCTGGCGGCACCTCACCCCCAGGGACAAGTCCAGACAGGTCAGGACCCTCCTTTCCCGGGGATCCCAAGGCAGCCACGCCCGGGAAGCAGCCCAGGCGGGAGCGGCTGCAGGTCTGTGCGTGAGTGACCCAGGGGCTGGGCTTGGGACAGGCGGAGACTCCCTCAGCCGACAAGAAATGTGCCATTCTTCTACAGATGCGCTAGTTTCAACAGTCCAGCAGGGGTTGGACTCATGGTGGCCCTGGGACAGATTCAAGACCCCCAGTAAGCTCTGCGGAGGTGGGACGAGGCTCAAAGGAGGTCCTCACTGCCAGAACCCAGCACCTCAAGTCCCAAGTGAAAACCCTGGTGCACCTGTGCACGAGGGCGTCAGGCAGAGTAGAAGGGGGCTCGGGTGGCCGTTAATGTCAACCTGTCAGCAGACAGCTGACAAAATAACCAAAAGGCAGGCTGGCCGGCCACTGTGCAGGCAAGGCTACCGGCTTTTCACATTAAGGATTACTTTCAGAAGAGCCGTGGATCGGGTTTTTTTTCAGAAGTAAACTCTGGTAAGACAGGCAAAACCGACCACCGTCACTGTCATTTAAGTAGCCTGTCACATTCCACACAGCGTTAAGTAGAGCAAACACACGGTGCACATGCTGGCTGACGGACAGCCTGAACTTGCCTCTCCATCCTGCACTCCAAATACTCTTTTGACTCATTTCTGCACAAAGCATTTTCAAAATTATTGTCACGGAGACACTTCACGAACTTCTCCTTAAAGCTTTTACATTCACCTAGAATGAAAAGGAAAACAGTGTCATGCTTTCAAAGTGAAAATGTGACCTGCAAATGCAGCAGCCTTGAGAACACAGCTACTGTGATTTCAAAACTTGTTTCCTTTGCTGGGCGCCAGTGCTCACGCCTGTGATCCCAGCTACTTGGGAGGCTGCGATCAGAAGGATTGAGGCTCCGGCAAATAGATGGTGGGACCTCGTCCCAAAATAACCAGTGCAGAATGGACTGGTGGCCTGGCTCGAGCGGTAGAGGCCTGCTTTGCAAGTGTGAAGCCCTGAGCTCAAAACCTCAGTCCCACCAAAAAACACAAGTACAAAAACCTAGTACAGGGAAAGTCCACATTGTGGACTGAGGTGGCCGGGGAAGGTGGGGAGCCGACGGCAGGTTCCTAGTAAGATGTCGGGAAGGAAGCAACCTATAAATACTATTTTTTGGCGGCCCTGGGGTTTGAGCTCGGGGCCTCGCACTTGCTAGGCAGGCGCTCTACTTGCTGCTTGGGCCATCAGCCCATAAATCTTCCTGATTTCCACAGAGGCTCACCCAACCTGAAAGTCTACCCACAACACCGGAGACGGGCAGCGTTTCTCTGCTTTGCAAGTCACCACTGAGGAACCACTGAAGCCTCAGGTGCAGAAACCCTGGCTGCACAGCTGTCACATCTCCTGAGGCCCCAGTGCGGGTCACGGGGACAGCACCTGTTTAGCAGGAGCAGGGCTCAGGTGCAAACCCAGCGCTCCAAAAATAAAAGACTGATTAGGTGACGGATGGCTGATACAGACAGATGGATCCATGACAGATTTATAGATGATAGACATATGACAGACAGGTGATGGATGATTGACAGATGATATATAGCTAGCTGGTAGAAGCTAGGGACATAACTGAGATACACAGATAGACAGATGATAGATACGTGACAGACAGACGGCAGGATCTTCTTGCACAGCATTCACTGAGGAACAGGAGCATTATTCACTCAGGAACATAAGTGGCTCCTGTGCCTTTGCAGTCCCAGTACAGGTGTTGGTGTCACTGTCCTTATTACATCACGGCCCCGGCCCCTCCTGTCACCCTCACTTGGAGGGTCCATGTCAGGCAGCTGACCTCAATCTGTGAGGGTGGGTGAGCCTCAGTTTCCCTGCCTGTGCCCCCAGATCCAGCACTCCAGTGCCCTATAAGCCCTGCCCCAGAAGTCACTCTACCTGCCCAGGCCCCGCCCCTCAGGCCCTGTAAGCCCCGCCCTCTACCGCCCCAGGCCCCGCCCCTCACGTCCCTCTACCGCCCCAAGCCCCGCCCCTCACGTCCCTCTACCGCCCCAGGCCCCGCCCCTCACGTCCCTCTACCGCCCCAGGCCCCGCCCTAGTCTGGCCCCAACACCAGGCGCGCCGTCCGCGGACAGCGATCCTGTCCGCGGCTCTTCCGCCCTCACCGAAGTGGTCCAGCGGGAAGCTGCCTTTGTCCGGGGGCCGCGGCTGGAAGCTCTTGGTCCCGAAGTTCATGGCGGTCGACATGGCGGCGGCGGGAGCAGCGGGTGCGACGAGCAGCGGACGCAGTGCGAACTGCTGAGCGCCGAGTAGGCTGCGCGGAGCGCCGAGCAGGTCGAGCGGCCGGTCCGTTCCCCCCCCCCCTCAACCTCCCCCTCCCTCCCCTCCCCTCCCCGCCATGGCCCCGCCCCGCCCAGATGACTCCGCCCCCGTCGCCATGGCCCCGCCCTCGGGCTCCTATCCCGCTGCCCCGGCCCCGCCCCCGCCGCCCCCTGTACCCTGGGCCACCTGCCCTCCTCTGGGTGGTGGAGGAGGCGGGTCACTGTCCACCCCGAGGCTCTGTGCGTGGTTCATCCCACCTCCAGCCACAACCTCCTCCAGTGTGGCCGGCTGCCGAGGCCTGGCCCTGGACTCCCAGTCCACCCGGGCCTGCGCCTCCTCCCGCTGGCCGGCCAGAGCTGGCACCAATGTCCACACACCGCCAGGAGCAGGGACCTCAGCCCCGAAGCCCGAGTTTGCTGCAAAACCCCACGTGCGGGGCTCTGAGCCCACTAAGAACAGCACAGGGAACGCCGCACCTCGCTCGCAGACGGCCACGCTCGGGGTTACTCATTAATGCGTTTCCGGGCTTTTGTCCCCCGCGCCAGCCCTGTCCACTCAACTCCGTGGACACCCGGTCGCCCGGCCAGCAGGAGGGGTCCCCAGGGGCTGGGCTTGCAAATGGCTCCCACTCATTAGCAGGGCCACTTCTATTTGAGGTTCACAGGGACGAGAAGTGGGGTGGAATGGCCACTTGGGGTGCGTCACAGAGAATCAGCCGCAGGGGCCCGAGACAAACGCCTGCTGACGAGTAGCTTGCTTGTCCCTGAAGGATGGCAGCTCTCGCCCTCTGACCTTGGCTGAAATGATTGCTGCACTCTCTTCAGACGGGACTGGGATTTGAACTTGGGGCTTCGCACTTGCAAAGCAGGAGCTCTGCACTTGAGCCGCTCCTCCAAGCCTGTTTCGTGCCGGTTACTTTGGAGATGAGGATCTGCAGAACTATTGCAAAGCTGCAGAGCTGCTTTGCAAGTGCAAAGCCACAAGTTCAAATTCCAGTCCCATCAAAAAAAAAAAAAAAAGCCAACAAAGGCACATGGAGAATGGGGTGTGATTTTTGGCCTCTGGAAGGACACAGGATGAGTGACCCCTTAGTGGGCTCCCTTACCGGGTGTCCATCTAACTTGGAAATAGGGTCCTTGCAGTTGAAACTGAGGTGGGGGTCTCCAAATGAGCCCATCATGGAATGAGGTGGAGTCTGAATCCAATGACCAGTGTCCCAAGGAAAGGACAAGATGCAGAAAGAAGGGACATGTGAGGCCCATCTGGAGGCATAACCAGGTGCAGTAGGGCATAGCTGTAATCTCAGCACTCAGGGGATGAGGCAGGACGATCACAAGTTCAAGGCCAGCCTGGGGTACATGGCAAGATGCTTTCTTGAGCCAACCAAACAAAAAGCAGCAGAGACCAGGGAGACGTCCACAGGCCAGGGTTGCGGCCACACCAGGTGCTGGGTGAAGTGCGAAGCAGGTTCTGTCCCCCACCGCGGGTCCTGGCCTGCAGAGCTGTGAAGTAAACTGTGTCCTTTGCTGTGGCCGGACATAAGAACTGTCCACACCCCCTTCCCCGTCCCCTCCGGACCTGCCCAGCTCTCCCCACGGTAGCCCCTGCACACAGCCATCCCCAAGCACCAGGCAGGTCACAACGCAGACCCCCATGTCCTCTATGACGAGTCATTCCCCTGCCAGCTCAGCTTGGTGATGTCCCCACCATGCCCAGACACATTTTCAGTGTCAAACTAACGGTCATTTGGTCATCTGAAGCGCTGTCCCCTGGTGGAGGCTGGCACATAGCAGGAGCTCAATAAATGCTCCCTGAAGTCATGAGCTCCACTGGATGCATGGTACCCAGCCTTTGTACCAGTCCTCATAAGGTGACTCGGATGTCCAGCGTGGTGGGCACACGGTCCCCAGGCGGCCACCCGTCTGGCCCCAGGCAGTGCAGGGGACGCAGGAGGCTGCAGGTGTGTGGCGGGGGCAGGGAAGGGCCTTGACCTCCCTCCACGCTGCAGCTCTGCGGGGAAGGCGTGGACCGTATCCGGGGGCCCTACAGGGGGACAGAGCTCCAGCTGCGTCATGTCGGGGCAGGCAGTGGGAAGCAGGCCCAGCCACTTCTGGTGCCAACAACTGTCCCCTGTCCCCCTCGTCCAACCCCCAGCTTGTTCTCAGCGCGGCGGTGCCGCCTCCCCAGCACGTCCACCAGGGTTTGTGAGTCAGGACTGGGGTGCAGGCAGAGGGACTGTCAACCAGGCCACCTGTGGCTGAGCGAGCCTGCCCAGCCTGGGCTGCGGCCTGTGGGTGGCCTCTCTGGGCAGCTGGCGACCCTCTCTGCCCTGTCCATGCCCGGGCAGCTGTGTCCCTTGGCCCACCTCAAAAGCCCACGGGTGGAAAGCTGGGGCAGCTTGCAATCTAGACGCACAGCAGTCACCTCTGCAGGTCCCGGGGTTCAAGGCCCTTGTGAGGGGTCCCAGGGGCTGCCCGCTGTCAGTGGCCTCACTGGACACCGATTGGAGAGGCACCCGATGGGCAGGGGACAGGGTTCAGTGCGTGGAGGACGCCCTGACTCTTGTGGCTGGGAAGTCAGGGGGCCCCTTCCTTTGGAGACGCCCCCAAAGCTCTGGTCTCATGGGGAGACCATGCAGGACTGGCTGGACCAGAGTCAGGGACAGGACAGTCAAGGTGCTGTGTGGCCTTGGTGCACGTCAAGGGGACGTGGACCCTTTGGAGGCCGGGCCCTGCCGTTCCCAGGCCCTCGCCTCCCTGGCCCCTGCCCCAGAGCAGGCCCCACATTGCACACAGCCTGTCACTTTAAGCCGCCCGCTGGGCTGTCCCCTGCAAACCGCTCGCTCCACATTCTCGGGGTGGCGGGTGGGGTGGGGTGGGGTGCAGGCACGCCCTGGGGACGGCGCTATAAGACACAGGGCCGATGGGGCCCCAGACAGTGGGGCCTCGTCACCTGCGGTCCACATGGCCCTGCCTCTCCTGTGGGCGCTGCTGCTGGCCTTGGGGCTCTGGCGACTGCTCCGAGCCTCTGCCCGGGACCCCTCCCCGGCCCCGAGGTGGCCCCCCGGGCCTCGCCCGCTGCCCGTCCTGGGGAACCTGCACTTGCTTCGGGTGTCACAACAGGACCGGTCGCTGATGGAGGTGGGTCAGGCAGTGACCCGCAGCACAGACGGGCCACACCCGGGGGCAGGTGGCACAGCCTGCAGGCTCTGGCGGTGAAGGGGAGCTGGCAGTGAACAAGTGCACGGCTCCCTCAGGGCCACCCTCTGAGGGGCCATGGGCGAAGGTCCTGTGGGCAGCTGTCCTGCCCTGTGGCCGGGGCTGTGTGGTTAGGGGACCTGTGGAACGCAACCCTGCCTGCCAGCGCTCCCAGGTCTTGTCCACTCAGCACACCCAGAGGTGGCCACACGGCTACCTGGTGTCCCCCCTCTCCCTCAGGCCTGTACGTGGGGACTGCAGCCCAGGGCTGAAGTGGCCCTGCCCACCTTCCCTAGGGTGGACCCCGCCTGGCTGCGGGCCTTGTGGCTGGGCAGCAGCCGGACAGCAGGACAGCCCTGGCTCCCGGTGTGTGCGAGCCCAACAGCAACACTTTCCTCTTCTGGGTCTCAGCCTTGTGGCCTTGAGTGGGGAGGTGACCGGAAGGGAGAGGGACACCATGTGGACAGAGGGGCAGCAGGAGGTGGGCAAGGCCTCAGGGGGCAGCTCTGCTGGGCACTGCTGTCCTGTGTCCTCAGTTGGCCAGAGGAGCAGAGAAAGGTCTCTGAGTCACAACTGATCAGAGAGCCACTGGACACTGCTTCTGTCTGTCTGTCTGTTGCTATGGGGTGGAGGCTGGCCACAGGGAAGCCTGGGGACTCGGGTGGAGTGGGCCCCATCCACTCTGCATCAGGCAGCTCTTGGCTTTCAGAGTACGGCACCCTGCCTCCTGGACTCGGGTTCAAGACCTCTGGGGATGCCGGGCACCGGTGCTCCCGCCTGTAATCCCAGCTACACAGGAGGCGGAGGTCAGGAGGATCGCAGTTCGAAGCCAGCCCAGGCAAATAGTTCACGAGACCCTAGATCAAAAACCCTTCACAAAGAAAGGGCTGGCGGAGTGGCTCAAGGTGAAGGCCCTGAGTTCAAACCCCAGAGCCCTGGGGTTTCAGCTGAAAAGAAAACCCAGTGACAGCCATAGGTAGCCAGCAACAAATGACACCCTGCCCCTGGAGGGGCCCGGAGGGATCATGGGGTCCTCCAGAACAGGGCTTTGGGGTGCTGCCCTGCACCCCCCCAGCTCCGAGCCTGCCCCACACTCGCTGAGGGGCTCCCGGAGCCCCTGGAGCTGGGGGCCGCCCGGCTGAGTCCTGCCGTCCCCCACAGCTGTCGGAGCGCTACGGGCCGGTGTTCACTGTACACCTGGGACGCCAGAAGACCGTGGTGCTGTCGGGCTATGAGGCAGTGAGGGAGGCCCTGGTGGGCAGCGGGCAGGAGCTGGCTGACCGGCCACCCATCCCCATCTTCCAGCTCATCCAGCGAGGCGGGGGTAGGTGTGCGTCGGGGTCCTCTGTCCGGCAGGGTGTCCCCGTGCAGGCCAGGTGCCCCAGAGGCCAGCAAGCAGGGTCTGGCGATCACAGGCCAAGAGGGGGCCAGGCCGACCCAGGCCATCCCCAGCAGAGCAGGAGGAGCCTGGAGGGGGACACCAGGCCCCGAGGGGACCCGTGCTCATGGCTCACGGTCCCCTCCCTCCCCTCCTTCCCGCGTCCCCCACAGGCATCTTCTTCTCCTCGGGGGAGCCCTGGAGGGCCGCCCGCCAGTTCACCGTGCGCGCCCTGCACAGCCTGGGGGTGGGACAGGGGCCCATGGCTGACACGGTTCTGCAGGAGCTCGCCTGTCTCTCGGGGCAGCTGGATGGCTACAGAGGTGAGTTGGGGGCTGGGACGCCCCTCCGGGGGACCCCTCGCCACCTGAGTCCTGTCTGTCCCTCCCCAGGCCAGCCCTTCCCCCTGGCCCTGCTGGGCTGGGCTCCCTCCAACATCACCTTCGCCCTCCTCTTCGGCCGGCGGTTCGACTACCAGGACCCTGTGTTTGTGTCCTTGCTGGGTCTCATCGATGAGGTCATGGTCCTCTTGGGGTCACCCAGTATACAGGTGAGCGGTCACTGCCCTGCCAGGCTGTGTCCCTGCCAAGCTGGAGAGAGGGACCCTGGCTCTGGTCCACAAGGGGGCAGGACTTTTTTGGGGGGGGGCCTAAGCACTGTCCCCCCACAACCCAGCCCTGCAGCCCTGGACATGGGTCAAAGGCTGACATCATTGACCTGTGACCTCAGGCCAGCTCTCTGGGAAATGTGACATCTGGTGCAAGGGGGTCCCCATCCTGCCCACACGCTGTCAGCAATAGGGAACCAGGCGGCCCAGGTCCCTCAGGTCCCTCCCACCCTGGCATCTTCCCACGGTCATTGTCCCCAGCCAGATCACAGCAAGCACACAAATTGGTCCTTCTTATATTTATTAATTTATTGCGGTACCGAGGTTTGAACTCAGGGACTACCCCTTGAGACACTCCCCCAGCCCTATTTTTGTGATGGCTTTTTTGAGATGGGGTCTCAAGAACTATTTGCCCTGGGCTGGCTTTGAACTGCAATTCTCCTGATCGCTGCCTCCTGAGTAGCTGGGATTACAGGCGTGAGCACCAACACCTAGCTACAAATCGGTCTTTCTGATGTCCAGTCCCCTCTCTTTCTGGGCTGTGCTTTTCAGTCCCCAAAGTTTGAATATTACACACTTACTGGAGCCTGGACAGGGGTGCACTGTCCCAGAATGGCTGCCAGATGAGGCCACGGCCACGGTGAGCACCTTCTGACCCACGGTAGCCAGAGCACAGCTGTCACGGTTCCTCATGGGCACCAGGCTGACCCATCCGGCCTCAGAGTCCTCTCTGGGGGACAAAGGCCGCGTGGCTTCCTCCAGGCTCGGCGCAGCAAGTCCAGGCCGTGGGACAGCTGGTCGGCCACCTTCCCTCACCTCCAAGCACCATGTGGGATTTCCTGCTGGTGACTCGAAGTGTCCTGGGGCAGCTGGTGTCCATTGACCACCTGCTGGGGCTGGTCAGACGACCTCTGCTCTGCAGTCTGAGCCAAGCATCTGCGTGTGACATGACTTGCTCCATCTGGGGTCCCCTCCCAAGGGCAGCCGTCTGTCCCCCTGCTGCTTTAGCGACAGGAGGAACTTAGCCACAGGCCAGAGCTGGACTTGCACAAAGCTGTCCAGCCGTGTCACGGTCAGGTGGCTCCTTCCTGCGCACAGCGAGGTCCCTGAACTCCAAGATGACAGCATCCAGTGCACCTGGCCGCTCGCCCTCCAGTGGCCGCCGGCAGCCCTGCCCCACCGCGTCTGTCCAGAGCCTGGGGCGCCGGCCCCGGACCAGGTCACACCCCACCCTGCCATCTCACCCTCTTCCCAGCTGTTCAACACCTTCCCCCGGCTGGGGACGACACTTCAGCTGCACCGGCCCGTCCTGAAGAAGATCGAGGAGATGCAGGTCATCCTGAAGTCCGTCCTGGACGCTCGGAGGACTGCCCTGTCCAGGGGTGGCCCCGTGCGGAGCTATGTGGACGCCCTCATCCAGCAGGGCCAGGTGTGGGCAAGAGCGGGGTGTCTGCATGGACCTGTGTCCCCGCCCCAGGGGACTTGATGCTGGGAGCCTGAGAAATGGGGCGTTCACAGCACCTGGCGTGGGGCGCTGGTGGACGGGTGGGCACTCAGTGGACACTGGCTCCCTGTCCTTCCCACACCCGTCCGGGGTCGGTCCACGGGGGAGGGGACGGACCCCAGACCCGCAGCCAAGCCCTGTCCGCCTGCCTCACAGAGGGACGACCACGGGGGCCTGTTTGCCGAGGCCAACGCCCTGGCCTGTGTGCTGGACGTGCTCATGGCTGGCACGGAGACCACCTCGGCCACGCTGCAGTGGGCCGTCCTCCTGATGGCCAGGCACCCAGACGTGCAGGGTGAGCCCAGTGCTCGGCTGGGTGGCCTTCTCCTCGGTGGGCGGGGTCCCCAGGTGAGCGGATGGGACGGGGATCCCACGGTTATGGCGCCCATCCTCTGGCACAGGCCGCGTGCAGGAGGAGCTGGACTGTGTGCTGGGCCCCGGGCGGCTGCCCCGGCCGGAGGAGCAGCGGTCCCTGCCCTACACCAGCGCGGTGCTGCACGAAGTCCAGCGGTTCATCACACTCCTGCCCCACGTGCCCCGCTGCACGGCGGCCGACACCCGGCTGGGCGGCTACCTGCTCCCCAAGGTGGGCCCGGCTCAGCCTTCGCTGCCACTCGGGGTGGCGGGGGTCTGGAGTCCGGCGATGGCCATCTCGGGGCTGGGGTCTGACAGCCCAGGTCCCCCCGTTGGAATCAGGGAAGGGGTCAGTCAGGAGGCCTCTCCTCCTGTGTCCCAGGGGTTCTTCCGTTGCCCAAGGGTCATTGCTGCATGCTGGGGTCCCCTCTGTGTCCTGGGACCCTCTCTGTCCTGCCGCTCCCTGCTCCGGGGGCCTGAGACCTCCCCCCACAGGGCACGCCTGTGATCCCCCTGCTGACCTCGGTGCTGCTGGACAAGACGCAGTGGGACACACCAGGACAGTTCAACCCGGGTCACTTCCTGGATGCAGAGGGGCGCTTTGTGAAGCGGGCGGCCTTCCTGCCTTTCTCTGCAGGTCCAGCCGGGGGTCCTCGGGGTCCCCCTGTCCCCCAGCCCCCCACGCACCCGGCACCCACCTGCTGCCTTGCTTTCCCCGCAGGCCGCCGAGTCTGCGTCGGGGAGAGCCTGGCCAGGACGGAGCTCTTCCTGCTGTTCGCTGGCCTCCTGCAGCGGTACCGTCTGCTGCCACCACAGGGGGTCAGCCCGGCCACCCTGGACACCAAGCCCGCCCCGGCCTTCACTATGCGGCCACAGGCCCAGGCCCTGCGTGCGGTGCCCAGGTCCTAGGCTGCTCCACGGCAACCCACCAGAAGCCACCCTCCCGCCCCAGCACCCCAGCCTTGCCCAGCTCGGGGGGGCCTGGCGATGGCCCTGAGGACAAGTGACAGCCACCACCGGCTGTGTGCCAGCAGACAGCGTCCACTGTGTGGCTGGGCCACTCTGTTCAGTGTGGAGGCAGGACCCTCGTCCGGGCACCATGGTTGGACAGAGGGACAGGACAGGCAGCCCCCTGACCACCCCAACAGCCCCAACCCAGGTCTGTCCTCAAGGTCCCAGGCCCTTCCCAGCCTCCTACACCCCAAATACCATGGACTCCTCCGCCTTCCCCAGGGCAGTCGGGTCCCCTAAATGCAGCCTGGGCACTGTCCCCGCTACTGTTCTCTCCAGGACTCCACCCCCACCTCAGACCCCACGAGTACCAACAGGTCCTGTGGGTCCCTTCTCCTCCCAGTTACCCACCCCATGGCACCTGATCAATCCAGCTGCCCAGCAGGGCAGGGTCCACTAGGCCCGTTCACACCGACACCTGTGGTTTTGGGGTGACATCTCCATAGATCAGCCCCAGGCCAGTGGTTGCAAACACTCCCCGTGCTGGCCAGGCCTGTAGATCTCACTGGTCACTCTTGGAGCTCCTAGGGGACCGTGCCTCAAGCAAAGCACTGCTCTCGTTCCCCTGGCCAGTGGGTTCCTCGAGGGTTGGTCACACTCATCCCCAGAGATGGGCACTGAAGCCCGAGTCCCCACCACAAATGTGCTGGGGACCCCGAGCAGATCTCTCCCACCCTGGGCCTCAGTTTACCCATCTGTGAAATGGGTCATGACACATGCAGGTCCAGTGAGCCTCACATGGGGATGCAGGATCAGGGTACCCCACACCGAGATGCCAAGAGTTTTAGGGGTCAGCATGGGACCAGGCCATGCACACAAAGGAAGGGCCGGCTCCTGGAGGAGATGCTCTGACTCCAGGAAGGTCACTGCTGACCTCCCCAGGGCTAGAGCCGCAGGTGCCCCGTGGGAAAGAAGGCCCCGGGTCCGTCACACCCATGACACAGCTAAGAGGACCAGCTGTCTTGTGGGAGCTCTGTTGTCCCCAGGGTGCACAGCTGGGGGACAGGAGCCAAGTGACCCCATGCGGCCCCGATGGTGCTGAGACGCCCCCAGGCTCTGTGGGACTCGACGTGTGGCTCGTGTGCCGGAACCTCCACTCACCTGGGGACCCGTGCTGCACCCGGCCACCCTCTAACCAGTTCTGCTCAGGCCACTGTACCAGGAGCCAGGCGGGCTGGACTCGGGGACAGCCCGGGCAGGCTGTGACAAGCGAAGGAGGCTGGTCCTGCCCCTGACCTGAGGCTGGCGTCGAAGAGAGGGTGGCAGACGCGACCTGAGCAGCACACAGGTGGCTTCTGTGACGAGCCTGCATCCCAAGGCCACCAGGGCGTCGAGTCTGCCGTCTGGCGCTGGCGGGGGTCACGGGATGAACAGGGCTTCCGGAAGGAGGAACACACCCCAGCCCCACACTGGGGAGCCTCAGATGAGCAAAGATGGACACCTTGGACCACACTGAATGCTGTGACAATGTGGACACTGGAACTTGCAAGAGGGTCCCAGCCTCCCGGTGGCCCCAGCCTCAGCCCCCCACCTTCCACTGGCCCGAGGATCGGTCACAGGCTCCAGCCTGGGTCACTCTGGCCTGATGGGTGACTTTGCTTCTCTGAAATCCAGAAATGCCAGATGCTGGGGTCTGCCCAGCTGTCCAGGGGAACCCGCGTGTGGGCTTTGGTGGCAGGGGGACAATCCCTGGTCTGCTGCAAATGGGGGTTACGGGGCGCCCGTGGACAGAGGACGAAGCTGGGGTGTGACCTGCCTGCAGCTGGCACAGCCCTCGGGAGCCGCCGGGGGATGCACGGCCAGGGGGTGCGAGGGCAGGGCCACGGCCAGCGCCGGCGTGGCGCCAGATGACGGCAGCCCTGGGCAGCTGGACATGAGGAACGGTGGCCCCAGAGAGGACAGGGCCCGAGGTGGGATGGTCAGTGCACAGGGCCTGGAGCAGCCAGGGCGTCCCGTCCTGCGGTGTGGAGCGGGGAGTCCTGTGGTCTGCGGGTTTCTCTTTTCTTTGGGTGGTGGTGCTGGGGTTTGAACTCGGGGCCTCACATTTGCTAGGCAGGCGCTCTACCACTTGAGCCATCTGTCCAGCTTGCGACGCTGCCTGTACTGGGCGGCCATCTCGGCTGGAAGACCTGACCCCCCTCCCCTATCCCCTCCTTTCTGACCTTTGGCCATGAAGCTTCTGAAATGTCACAAACAGCGTCACACAGCAAAGCCCTGGTGTCCGGCTCCTGTCACTCGGTGCGGTCAGGGTGCGGTCCACGCTGTTGCACACAGTTCTGTCCTTCTCAGTGCTGAGAGGCACGGCTTTGCCCAGTCATGGCGGTGGACAGGCTGAGCAGGAAGCCCCAGGGGACATCTGTGTCACCTCCCAGGAGCCCTGGGAGGGAAGGGCCCCTCCAGCAGGTGTCCAGGTCCCCACCAGCAGGCAGTGGGGTCTTGTCATGCTGCCAGGAAGCCCAGAGCGATGGCCTGGACCCCTCCACCCGGCCGTCCTGGTGTTTTGTGGGTTTCTGTCACTGGCACCCTGACTGTGAGCGTCTGTCCTTGTACTTGGCTGACCGGGGCAGTGCAGCCCACGGTGGCGTCTGTGAAGTGTTCCCAGGAAAGTGCGGTGACACCCAGGGCCTCACCTTATGGCACTGGGAGTGCTGTGACCCCTCACCTTCTGTCTCCAAGGGCCCTGGGGTGACCAGGACTCCAGCTGCAGCAGTGGACAGGGCCAGGGCCTGGTGTCGGCTCAGGAGCCCCGTCCTCCGTGGGTGGGGGCAGGGAAGACCTCAGCGATGTGCCCTTAAGTCACCTCCAGCCCCAAGGGGCTAGGAATCTTTGGTGGCAGGAGATGAGAAGTGGCCAGGGAGGGACAGGCACGGAGCCCCTCGGGATGTGTGGCCTCCTAGGCTCCAGCCATGCCGTTTCGGTGCTGCCCTGGACATGGTGTGTTAAGGTAGTTAAGCCCGAGGGACACGGGTCAAGGCTGGGGACACTGCCCTGGCCAGGCTAGGAGTAGTCACAGGGTGCTGAAGACCCTTGACCCGGAATAAAGGCCTGTGTCTCGGCTGACCACCGCACGTCCCTCTCCCCATGTGTGTGGTGCTGCCACTGGGCCTGAGTGCAAGTGACCAAGACCAGGACTGCACCTTGTCCACAAGACGTGGGGACATCACCTCTGCTCCCCTCGATCAGCTGGCCTGGCTCCAAGGCTAGGGTGGACACCCACAGGGGTAGCCAGTGTGGCCAGGCTGGTGTGTGTTCCCATAAGCCAGGTGGGGCCGTGTCCCCTCTCCTGCCTCAGGAGCCACCCGGTGCCTCGTGCCAGGTTGAAGCTGACCGTGTCCAGTGGGGCGTGAGACTCCACCTCATCAAAGGCCACCTGGCCGGCAGCCCACCCAGTGCTGGGGACACGGAGGGATCATGTGTCCTGGCTGCAGAGGCCACTACAAATGTCCCTACACGCCGGGCGCTGCCCTAGGGAGGCCATAGCTAAGGACGGGCGGTGGCCCGACGCACTCAGCCGAGGAAAAGCGGGGCCACGACCCAGAGTGTGAGCGAACGCCGAGCAAGAGCCACAGCCCGACGGGCGTTTATTGAAAGCGTGTCCGCCGAGGCCCAGGGTCCCCCAGGGTCCCCGCTGCGCCCCCAGGAACTGAGCACAGGAAGGGGACACAGGTGCGTGGCTGGGGAGCGCTGGCCTTGGGGAGGACCTGTTTCTGCAACACCGCTGGCAGAAAAACAGACATCTGGTTGACCGCCACTGCCCAGGCTTGAGGGCCATGGGTGCGACTGGTGTCCTGGGCCACTGCAGGGAGACCACGCCCTGCTCTGAGGGCCAGGGAGAGGAGGGAGGGTCCTTTCCGGGGCCTGGTGACCTGCTGGCTCCTGTGGCTCCCACTGGGAGGAGGTGGTCAGTGGGGTCAGTGCGTGCTGAGGCTCAGTGCTGCCCGCTGGCGACAGTGCCCCCCACCGTCCCCCGGGCTGCAGGAAAGCAGCTGCAGCACCTGCCGGAGACGCCCGGCCTTCCCCACCGGGGCGGCGTCCACGCCCGCCGCGTCCAGCTCCTGCATCAGGGCTTCGGCCTTCTGGACGGTCAGCTCGCGGGCCCTGCCCTTCAGCCCCTCCAGGTAGGCCAGCAGGGTGGAGAAGTGCTCGTCAGGAACCTGAGCGGGGAGAGGAGCGTCAGGGCTGGGCAGGGTGCCTGGGCACAGGGACCCAGCAGCACACAGGTGAGGTGTCCACTCAGGCCCCAGGAGACGGTTTTTCCCTGGCCCTGCGGGGCCATCCAGCCCACTGCGTCCTCACACCAGGACCTCCAGCAGAGCTGTGTGCAAAGGGCACTCAGGTCACCCCTGTCCTGCTCTGCTGAGGACAAGAGGCCAGGATTTGGGAGAGTGGGGCCGGCCTGCCGACTTACCCCCCCGCTCCTTCAGACCTGAGGGACCGGCGCCCACCCTGCCCTCCTGAAATCCAGCCACAGTGACAGCAGGGTGGTGAGTCTTCCAGGACAAGGGGAGGCGCAGAGCTGACAGTGACAGTAACCTGGGGCTGACGGGCTGGGGCTTAGCGGGTCTCAGAAACACAGGAAGCTGAGACTCTAGGACTGTGTGCCGGTCACTCCCGGATGTGGGAGGCAGAGGGCCTGGAAAGAGGGGACCTAAGGCAGCTGGCATCCCGCAGGCTGACTGGGAAATTCACCTTGGTGACAGTGACCACTGTAGCCTGGGCCTGGCACAAGGACAGACACACAGGTCAGAGAAGCAGAGCAGAACCCAGAAACGACTTGCTTGCTTCCAACAAAAAGACGTGAAGACAGGTCAATGTCTTCCTGTGACTGCTGGGACAACCAGCCACCCCATACAACAGTACAAAAGTACGAGCTCCAGTCTTCCTCACACCGCACCCACACAAACCTCGGCAAGACGGGCCGATGTCCGAGGCCTGAACTAACTCTACAAAACTCAGTCGGGCGCCGGTGCTCACGCCTGTAATCCCAGCTACTCAGGAAGCAGAGATCAGGAGGATCAAGGTTCAAAGCCAGCCTGGGCAAACAGTTCACAAAACCCAAACAAAAAAGACTAAAACTCTTAGGAGAGGACACAGACACACCCGTGTGACAGGGAAGTGAATGTCCCTGACTTCTATTTTAAGATGAATTCACCCATTTTCAGTCCCCTGCACTTGAACCCAGTGCGGGGAGGGCAGGTTCAGGCGGCAGGCGCAGGCCTGTGCCCAGCCGGACGTCCTGGCTGTGTCTGGGAGGTGGTGGGTCTGTGGACAGGCACCCCGCACCCTGACACGCACACGCCGCACAGAGCCGGCGCGGCGGGAAAGGCCAGCGCGGGCAGCTCCAGCCCCGCCAGCCTCCAAGCCCTGCAGAAGGCCGCCTGCGTGAGGACAGCCCTTCCCAGCGCGGCCTTGACCTCGCCAGCTCCGGCCTGGCGTGCACCCACCTTGTCCCTGTCGTACATGTGCAGCAGGAGCCATGTCTGCCTTGTCTTCTGGAATCTCCAGCTCGCGTGCTTCTGGGCCCACCTAGGGAAACCGAGTCACACCTCAGGCGTGGGTGAAACCCGCGGCAGGTGTGCCTGGGACCATCCTGGTCACAGGAGGGCCCCAATCTGCCTGTTTTCAGAGCTTGGCCCATTCCAGGGGAGGTCCTCGGGGCTGGACACCGCAGGACAGAAGGCTCTGTGTCCACCACGCGACACTTACCCACAGAGGTAGTCCAGGGCCAGCTCCGCGCCCGAGCGCCTGGCAGGTGGGGCCTGGGCCACAGTGACACCCGCCTCCTGCAGCCGTTTCTTCTCCTCCTTCTTCCGTTCCTTCTTCAGCTTCCTCTCCAGGACCCTCCTCTCCTCGGGGGACAGCTCGGGGCCTGCATCCTGCATCTTGCTCACTGCTGCTCCCTGGAAGTCAAGGACAGCACCGGATACGATTGGGGTGGACATGCCGGGGTCCCTCCTCACTCAGGACGAAGGCTGTCCCAGGGGCCTGGCCCCCGCAGGTGACGCACATGCAGTTAGCTAAATGCAACAGTCACCTGTCCCCACCCCCTGGGCCTGGTCCCCACCCCGAAATGGAGACAGCTTGGGGGCCAGGAGCCTGGTGCTGTCCCCAGACATGGCCACCAGAAGGCGGACAGCAGACAGTGTGCTTGGTCCTTTCTGGCAAGCCTGTGGCTGCCGGCTCCGCCTGTCCTGGCAGGACCTGGAGGTGGGGACAGGACACACTGGGGTGCTCCTCACTGCTGGGGCAAGGGGGTAGCCGCTCTGTCGGGGTTTTGGCCTCCTGAGGCAAAACTTCCAGCCACACTGTGCCAAGGATGCAAGGTCCCCACCCCAACGCCCGGCCCTTCCACACAGCAAACAAAAGACACAGGAGGCACAGAAGAGCCAGTAGCAGCCAGGCCACTCCCGTGGGGGACAGGGGCTGACATGGTGCCAGCAGCTGTCCACCTCCTCATCTTTCCTGGAAAACGCAGAACGGCAGTGTTTACTGACGGGACTCGGAGCCCGGAAACCGTGGAGTGTGCGTCAGGAACCTGGCAACCCTTCTGGGAAGGGTGAGCTGTCCCCTCGGCCCTGGTTCCCAGAGTCCAGTCCCCAGGACAAAAATAACAAGACAGGGCTCCCTCCTCCTCGTCCGGCTCCCCACAGATGTCCACCCCAGCACCTCCCAATCTGCTGAGGTAGCAGAGCCGCCCTCTCAGCTCCTCCCTCGCCCCCCAAGAGGAGCTGGGAGGCTTTGGGCCGGGGTCAGCAGGGGCTCAGGCCTCCTGCATCTCCATGCACAGGAGGCGCTGCCTGGACGGCACGCACCCTCCACACGAAGATCTGGGCTACATGGAGGGTGGGGCACAGGGACAGCCCTGGGTGTTCTAAGGGACAAGGAGAGGAGGTGTGTGGGGGGGACCTGAGCTCCAGTCGGCTCCCGTCAGCGCCTTGTCACTTCCTGGGCCTGGGGAGCTGAGTGGACCAGCGCCACAGAAATTCTAGTACCAAACAGCAGCGAACAGCTCTCCCGGCACGGGCCAGGCTGTCCACGGCTAGGCCGGGGCCACCGCACCCCCAGGGCCACAGTTAAACCCTGCTGGATGTCAGAGCCATGGAGGGCCCGGCTGCTGACCCTGAGGCAGGCCGGCAGGCTGTGTGTGGGGGTGAGAGGCACCTGTCTGCCTCCGCGTGGTGGCACCTGGTGTGACTTTTTGAGTCCACCCAAACCCAGGGCTGTGGCCTCTGATCTGACACTCGGGCCAGAGAGCTCTGCCACACCAGAGTGCAGCTTGGACTGCTGAAGATTGCTGGTGTCTGCAGCCCCACTGCGCCCTCCAGGAGGGATGTCCACATCTACTGGGCACCGGTCAGGAGGGCTCACAGGGACCAAGGCCAAGACCCTGGGGCAGCAGATATGTGAACACGATTTGGCCAGGGGCGGACATGAGAGGCCCAGGCCACGCGGGTCCTGCAGAGGCTCAGCGTCCTGCTGTGTTAGCACACAAACCCGGGCGCTACGGTGACGTCTTTAAAGCCAACCAGAGTTTTGGCTACGGGCACCCCCATAGTGAGCAGTGGTCAGTGCTCGGGCTCCAGCCCCGAGGAAGCTAAGTGGGTTCCAGGGAGGGGCCACACCACAGACGCAGCCACTGCCCGCCTGGACACGGTGCAGTCAATGGGCCTCTGGACAGAAAATGGAGACGGAACCTGAACCGTAAGCACAAGCCACGAGGCCATCTGTGTGTGGCCCGACAACCCTGTGACTGACCTGTGCGGCCTGCCGGTGGGGGCAGCTGCTGGGTGTCCCCTACTGGACCTCAGCTCTGAAGGCTGCAGGGTGGCCCCTCTGCTTCCCTCACACGGGCATGGCCCTACCTTCTGGTCCTCTTCACATCAAAGGGGCCTCCAGGGACCACACCTGGGGCCCTCACAGTCCAGCTCAGCGCTCCCACCCTGTGATGTCCCCAGGATGGGACAGAGGACGGCTCCTTGCCCCAGCTGTGGCTGTTCACCAAGTCCCACCAGGGTCCCTAGAACAGGCGGGGCTGCCACTGTCAGTGCCGGGCTGCAGGAGGTCATTCCAACCCCTCCTCGGAGCTGCACAGCGCAGGGCTCTCGTGACAGGTTTCGTGGACGCAGCAGGGGACACCCACTGCTGCGCTAGGATTCAGTGGACGCGAGGGGCCGAGGGAGCCCAGGCTCTAAGAGCATGGGGTCAGCGGGAGCATGCTAAGAGAGAGAGAGAGAGAGAGGAGAGAGAGAGAGGGAGAGAGAGGGAGAGGGAGAGGGAGAGAGAGAGGGAGAGAGAGGGAGAGGGAGAGAGAGGAGAGAGAGAGGGAGAGAGAGAAGAGGGAGAGAGAGGGAGAGAAGAGAGGGAGAGAAGAGGGAGAGAGAGAGGGAAGAGAGAGAGGGGGAGAGAGAAGGGAGAGGAGAGGGAGAGAGAGAGAGAGAGAGAGAGGGAGAGAGAAGGGAGAGAGAGAAGAGGGAGAGAGGGAAGAGAGAGAGAGGAGAGAGGGAGAGGGAGAGAGGGAGAGGGAGAGGGAGAGGGAGAGAGGGAGAGGGAGAGAGGGGGAGAGAGAGAGAGAGGGAGAGAGGGAGAGGGAGAGAGGGAGAGGGAGAGAGGGGGAGAGAGAGAGAGGGAGAGGGAGAGAGGGGGAGAGAGAGAGAGAGGAGAGAGGGAGAGAGGGAGAGGGAGAGAGGGAGGGAGAGAGAGAGAGAGACTGAGACTGACCTGTGGTAAGAGGCTGCAATGGCACACCTGTCTTTGGGAATGGAGACACTGGGCCAGGTCCCCTTATAGCTGTGGGCCAAGTTGAGGAGGACACCTGCAGGAGGGTGGCTGGGGCAGCTGCTGTCATGTCCCCCTCACCGAAAAATGTCCAGCTGCTCTGGGTGGACTCGATGGCAGTTAGGGAGCACCTCTACCTGTCCCTGCGTTAGTGACCACAGGAACTCAGAGATGGTTTCAAATACACCAGAAGTGTGCTTCCTGGCCTGACCATGGTCAGAGCACAGAGCAGGCCACCACGAAGGGCAGTAGCCTCACGCACCATGGTGTCCACAGGTCTGAGCCTGTGTACATGGGCTCCACGCTGGGTGCCCCAGTGGTCCTGGCCCAGGTGAAGTCCTGACCTTGCTGCTGCCATGGTGTGACAGCAACCTCAGCCACTGAGGACAGGCGCTCTGAGAGGGTCAGTGAGACTCCCGCAGGACAGCAGGTGCGGGACACAGCCAGGCCCGGCCACGGAGGCAGGCAGGCGTGCGTCAACTCGGTCTGAGACCCCACCTTCTCCAGCTGCCCCCTGGAGACAGAGGTCCCCATCAGCAAGCAGCGATGCGAATGTTGTGGCCCTGACCACAGGGGACTTTATTCTGTGGCCCATGTTAACACCAAAGCATTTTAAGAGGAACGCAAGAGCCAAGCAAAGCCAGCGAGGCCCTTCTGTTTTTCTTTCTGGGCGGCACTGGGGGCCGAGCTCAAGCGCCGTCCACTTGCTGGGCAGGTCCCCAGCCTTTTTGTCTTAGGTGGTTTTCAGAGTCTCGGGGCCAGCCTCAGACTGCGATCCTCCTCACTGAGCCTCCCGTGTATCGGGGATTGCAGGTGTGCACCACCAGGCATTTGGCCTCCTTGAGACCCGAGCCTCGGTCCTGTGACCAGAGGTGACTTTAGGCTTCTGGTCTGCCTTAGGAGTGCACCCTGGGCTGTCCAGGGAGCCCCGCTAGAGACTCTGTGTCCAGCGCTCTGCATGTGGGTGAACATGGAAGATGAGCTGTCCTCCCCATGGACAGGTAGGAGGCGACCCTGGCACACTGCAAAGTCTCTGACCACGGCCCTGGGCACAGCCACCTCAATGCTGGCATCCGAATGTCTGATCTGACGAACAGAGGAGGAAGTAAAACTGGGAATTTCAGCAACATATTCCCTCTACAGTTACATGTTCTTGGGATTACACTTCAAAGGACAGAAAACAGTTCGGTGCACGTGGAGGACCTTGGCTGGACACACACCTGAACTGACCAAGTACAGGTGTCCCGAGCAGGGTGGCTGGGGACCTCAGACTTCTCCCAGTACACAATGCTTTACCGTGGAAAGTCATGTGGCACTTCTGAAATACACTTCAAACAAAACCTGTATTACTTTTAGTGCAATGAAAAACGCAGACTGCATTCAATACGTGCTTTGAAAATGAACCACAAACCGGGAGTGGTGGTGCACACCTGTAATCCCAGCTCTGAGGAGATGGTGGCAGGAGGATCTTGAGTTCAAGGCTGGCCTTGGCTACAGAGCCAAACTCTGTCTCAAAAAACAAACAGAGACAAGAAGAGAACCACAAGACAAAAGCTGCAGTCATGAACCAGAGAGAAAAGCTCAGAGGTCCATGGGGAGGGGACGGTGGTTGGAGAAGGGGCCATCTCTGTCCTCCGCCCTGTGACTCCTGGGGAGACGGACGGGAAACCCTGGTCACTTCATTTCAAAAGGTTCCTGTGCACTCAGCAGAAAACCGAAAGCAAGATCCCCAGGTAGCTGATCTGAATGAGAATGGGCTCCGGGTTGTTTTGATATATATATATATGTAAATTTTTTTTTCTTGGCGGCACTGGGGTTTGAACTCAGGGCCTACACCTTGAGCCACTCCACCAGCCCTTTTTTGTGAAGGGTTTTTCGAGATGGGGTCTCATGAACTATTTTCCAGGGCTGGCTTTGAACCGCGATCCTCCTGCTCTCTCCTGAGTAGCTGGGATTACAGGCGTGAGCCACTGCGCCTGGCTATATAATAAGGTTTTGAGATAAGGTCTTGCTCTGTAGCCCGGCTGGGCTGGAACTTGAAATCCTCTGTCTCAGCCTTCAGTGTTGGTGTTACAGACACGAGCCGCCATATGTGGCTCAGACTCCTGATTTTGGGATCTGGGAG